ATGTACCTTGGCGGCGTGGCACTAGACTTTATCGATTAGTAAGTTTAGGTCAGTCCGACAAATACACTGGTGGCTTGAAGTTGAAGGCGGAGCTCCCGTTCCCTTGTTTTGGTGGTGCTAGATAGGACGACCGTATTGCTTTTCACAAGCGTGGTAGTTGTTGACTGTACGGTGTTCAAGGTAGCAACCGAAGGCGATTGCCGTACTGGATAGATGACCAGCCAGGTAGGAGAAGCGCAATGGTGAGTGATTCCATTGAATTACCGAAGCGCTGACCGAACGGATATTTGTTTGCGTCAGCGACGTGTTTCTGAAAGCTGTAACAAGATGGTGTTGCGTGCAACATTGTCCGAAGTATATTGAAAATATACGTGCTAAAAAATGATTCACTTTCCATGTTGTGCTGCAGAAGACAAGCGGGTATTTCAGTGTTATGAAAGCGACAGCTTGGTACCTCCTCTCTACTGATCTGTCGTCAGACGTCGATGCCTCCGATCCCTTACTATCGGATTTATATCGAGACGAAGAAAGTGGGTGCTTAAGCTGACAAATGTGCTTGCAAATAGCCTTGATAGTCCTTCAACTTCGCTCTGTTTACCTACTATTGGAAAACGATGGCTGCATCAATGAGGAGCTTATCTGAGAAGAGAAGCATTACTTGCACAGTGCAGCGACAAGCTTACGGCTGTCATATTTAACACTTCGAATCAACAACCATTGCACATCTATGCTTCCAGCCTATCAGTTTAACATTAACGCTGACGATAGAAGAATCAAAAAGCACGGCAACCGGACTACCCTTTTCATGAGCAGGCGAAAAGCGTAATCATTACCAGTGGCTTATTCACGAGACAAACTTCGGCAAGTCGCCCGGACTTTCTTCCTTGTGTCACTGCACACAGTGATGCTCATCGTTCTTCTTGCGGCAGGGCTTTCATAGTTAGCGATGCTGCTATTACGACCACCCGAGAGGCCTAAAAGCCGGATCCTGACAAATTTGTGCTGTTCATGTTTTTCAGGTGCATATTAAACCCCGAAGTCGCTTTACTTGGGACTTGTTCGACAATGCACAGGACTATATCATAAGGGCGTCTGAACATGGTGCAATTGATCAGCTTGCAGGGAGCAACAGGAGTCGCAATGTAATCAACCTTCATCAGATTAAAGCCTTCTTCGACGGTATAATGGTCTATTCTACGCGACGCGAGCGTATTTTAGATCTTGTGGAATGTGTGCGGAAGAGGAGTAGGCGCATCGTAGCCTGTTACTGAAGCTGGCATCTAATGCCGACGAGAGTGTGAGAGTTTGCGGATCCGTTCACGCAAAGTCAAGTGATGCTTTCAAAGCCACTCACATGACATACTCGCGATAGAGTTTATCCTTTGGTCCACAAATAGCCTGCTTAAAACGATCGATCTTGGCCACCAAGAGATTCGAATCATTATGTAAAGCTGGTCTGTGCTAAGTCTGCGCTTCGGTCGGCAATGTATGCGCTTGCATTCAATTTACTGTCTCGAACAGTCACGTCCCGTTGGCTATTGGAGGCCAGTGATATGCTACACGAAAGCTCGGCACACTAGTCATCTTCATCCTTGACCATTGCACCCCATTCTTCTTCTCACACTGAACGAAATGCGTGAGCCAACGATACTCACTTTTGTAGCTAGACGTACAGATATCATTGGGAATGATCTTGACGCTTCATTTGAATCCTAAGTGTACCTTGTGCAGAATCATAAATTTGTCATCTGTAATGGACGTACCTACAGCTGGAAGCATCGAGGCATAATTCTTTCGGTTTGGCTCTACTCGGCCACCTTCTCCTTGGCGTGGTTGGTTTTGATCGCGATTTCCATCGCTTGACATGAGCCGACGACCTCTTGAGAAGGCGACGACTACTTTGACATAAAGCACCTGATGCGCAGCAACAGCTCGTGCTTGTGTGCAGCGCAGCAGCTTACAACATATCGTAATACGCCAGCGATGTGATACTTGATCATGGTCACTATTGACAGAGAGCGCTAGACATTCAGCTATTGCATCACAACATTTACTTGTGGTATGCCGTGCCGCCCCAACTTCGACTGTGAGCTTTGCGCCCTTGTAAAGATGCCACAATCGTTTTCCTTGTCCAGGTATACATACCGTGACGAGTGCTCACAATACTCAGTTCCGTTTTTGACGCATTGCAGAGCGATTGCAAACAATTTTGGTTGCAATGTTAGTGCACCGTCAACTTAGTACTGCAGCAGCCGCAAATGTTGAGGATGTAGACATCAATCATTTACAAAATACTTGCTTCCTGAACATTTGCATATCTGCAAAGTCTCTCCCTTACCGATTTGAAAAGATCCGAACGGCATGACGGGTAGCTGTAGCTTCATTTGTACAATTGATCTCGAGCTATTACACACGTATACGTGATTCAAGGACAGTATCCATCCACGCATTGTTGCTAATAGTCAATCCGAGCTTGTAACCAACGCTTAATGAGGACCGTCGGCGCGAACGAAAACCTGCAAACTACGTTTCACATGGCTTTGCGCTTTCGTTTCATCGAACACAAGAGTTGCGATTGTCCAGGCTCGAACTAGTCTCACCACGTTGGCTTCTGAGACGTGTCTGTTGATAGTCGCCTTTTGTAGAGCAGCATGACTGGTCGACGTTCAGTCGTGTGCTAGATTCCGTACAGCGCAACGACATTACTTCCTGTGTCCCACGCCGTCAGAGACTGTTTCTGGCGTCTTTGCCCAAGCTTACTGTCAGACATCAACAATTTGGTCAGATGCAATCGACTAACCACGAACCTGCTATGGCTACGTTGTTGCTACGGTTCCTGCGTACAAAACACCACTTGCGCACCAGTGCATTGACGACTGCGACTCCGCTTCGATTCAATTGACGTGTGGCTTCTCGATTCCATGACTTGCACCAGTGGTCGAATTCGAACCGCAGTAATACCTCTTGCCGTTCGTTCCACCATCGAGTACCACGAACGACATTTCCTCGAGATGGAGTCAGTCACCCGGCGTTCGTATTGGCGCCAGAGCCTTTGTCAAGTGTCACTGGAATAAATGCGCCCTTGGTGTTACATGCTGGTCTTTGACGTCCAGTTCAGTCACTGCCATTATTGACGACTCTTTTGATCAGGCGTTCGAGCACGACAAGTGTACGAAACTATACAGCGTTTGGACCGAATATCTTCGCGGTCTGGAATCCGTCTAGCAACACTGCAGCACGTGACAATGAAGGGTCTCAGTCACTCTCTATCGGGCGATGCGCCAAAATATACCATCAACGAAGATGCAACTCAAAAGTTCAGCTATCCAGCTTGTATGTCTGAGCAGTGTATTGACACTTAAAGGTGCGATGTCCACCCTCAAGAATAAAAGCAAAGAACGCGTCGGGAACGATGTGTTGACGAGTTGCATTTCCAAGTAATTTTTTCGTTTGAAGGTGCACCGATGTGTGGGTACCAGGTCAACAGCAGAGCATCACCACGCGACCTTTCGAGACGACCGGATCCAAGTGGCGGAGCAATTGTTGGCTTGATAGACTGGCATCGATCGGTTATGATTTATGAAACGGCCCAGGTCGCTTGACATGCCAGTGTCATGCGACAAGGCTGTAAGGTATTGAACAACGTCGTTGACAGGAATGTACACAAAGCACGATGCTGGCTATGGGGTAGGTGCAATTCAGACGCTTATCTGAATGTCCGACAGGAGCTCAGACTGTGCACATCTTTGCGAGTTTTAGCTTGTCAGACTTCGTTCGACCTGAAGCTCGGTCGTCTTTTTTTCGGTGACTTTCCTGCGTTTGTGCTGCCTGCGACTCTGATCTTTTATCCACATTGAACCTGATAACTGGTGGTGCAACTGAAGACGGTGGGCACATTGTGTCAACTGCAGGAGCAAGTCTCGCATGGTAGACAAAGACGTCGAAAACATTCCGCAGCCATCTGTCGGACGCTGGTCAGATAGGCGCGTATCAATCTTGAAAGGCTGTCGAACAAGCGGTCGAGTGCCGGTCACGAGAGTCGCGCTCAGAGTTATCAGGTCTGACAGGGAAACCCACTAAGGCGCAAAATGATGAGGGCCTTATCAACCAGGTAGATGATTTGCGCGGGCGCGATAAAGAAAGTGATCGTAGATCGACCCGACCCCTCAACCAATTATTACTGTTTACCCCCCTTGCTTGCATCCAGGCTTTCCGCGAGTCCTGCTTTCCACCATTGCGTCGCCGACACGCCATAGATCCCGTGCAATTAACCTGTCACGCATGTCCTTCTTTTTAGCTGACTAGTTAGTTGCGGCGCCATTCGTTCGAGTTGCCGGATCTAAACCGACTATATGGTGCTCACAATACTCGAAGGTCAGGCGTACTGCTGACTAAAAGTAAACCTGACCTCGATACGAATATCGCGTTCAGGGATACGGTGCAGCTTTACTGCTATATGGAGGTAAAATAATAACGCGAAGAGCGACGGAGCTTTTTGCTGCAGTAGGACTTCCTGCTCCTCCTTCTCTTCTGACTACCAAGCAAAGAGTCCACCCACTCATGAGCTGCCCGTCTGTAGACCACCGCTCCACACGGTCCGACCGCAATCTCATTTTCCCATTTGCTTCCCCGGCAATACCTGCATCACCACTTGGCTCCTACCATTTCTCCATCTCCACTCGTTCAACATGGGCATCCCCACACAGTACCAGCAACAGAGACTCCACAACGTACAGCTCACCGCTACGATTCTCGCCCATCTATCAACACCAACACTACCAGCACTCCCAGGCCGACGACAAAACGCCACACAACTAACACGACTGCCAAGTCTTCACTCCCTACTATCTCTCGACACCGTGGCGAGTTCTATCCCCATTTTACCGCCTTTGCAATGTGCCGTAGGTCTCATCCACCTCAGCACCCCACGACGCGACGCCCAATTTCGAGTCACAAGTCCACTGAAACCTCTAAAAATAGACTCGCCGACGAGTCCCAGCATGACGTTGCCTAACCCTTTCTGCCAAAGAGGAAGTACCAATCAAATCTCGACGTGCTCATCGAGTGTTGGTTGCAGTGGTATCAAGACGCGACGTCCTCTGTCACTTCATGACTTGCTATCTACCGAGGCGACGTCATCATCATCGTCGTCATCCATTGGATTGACCCAGCGGAATAAGAATGTCCATCACCGCCGCCAATGCGGAATCGCGGACTGTCTTAAGTACGCTTTGACTGGCGGCTTTTGTATCCGCCATGGCGGTGGCAAACGGTGCAACTTTGTCGGTTGTACGACGGTCGCCCAGAGCGGCGGTCGATGCAAAGCTCACGGTGGGGGCAGTAAATGTAAAGTCTTTGGGTGTGGCAGTGTCGCAAGACGAAAGGGCTTTTGTATGGCGCACGGCGGCCGCCAGCAGTGCAAAGTCGACACGTGCGGGAAGTGCGCGCACGGCGGCGGGTTTTGCATTGCACACGGAGGCGGCAAACGCTGCGCATCAACAACAAAGTGCCACAAGAGTGCGCAAGCAGGCGGGTTCTGCTACAGTCACGGCGGCGGCAAGCGCTGTGCGGCGCCAGAGTGCTTCCAGGCGGCGCGCAAAGGCGGACTCTGCATTCGCCACCGCAAGCTGGCGGCACTGCAATGAAGCGACTTCAACGTTGCACTTGAAGCAAGGGACCAATCAACGACAAGACCATCACTCACCGACCATACATCTCTATTTCTTATCCTCAAACAAAAACGACATCATCGTCTCTTCTCTTCTTCTATGCTAAAATACAGGATAAACAGCCGAAGCTAAACGTAGATTCTAAAATATAATCTGTATTTCACGACTTTCCTACAGCTACTTCAGACTATCGAGGTCGTATCTTGTCCGTCTAAGCACAGCATGCAGCATAGCAGTTCCATTCACTGCTTTTTATCCAATCATGTACCTCGACTCTTGTAGGTCTCACTCCAATCCCTTCACTTTTCCTTTTCCCTCCAACCACCGAGACGTCGTTAGCTGCCAGTTGAGCAGGCAACGCGTGCGTGTGGCTGTCGTAGCTCGTCCTCTGGCTGTTCCACCGCGCACTCGCTGCCTCTTTCACCTGCTCGCGTCGCCTCTCGACCGAGCTAGACTCTGCGCCGTCCGCTTGTCCCGCTTTCTTCTGGTTGCGAGCGTGCTCAAGATGATGAAGACTCTCTCTCCATCTCTCCCCGTTGTCCTTTCCATGCGTCCAATCTATCCGACTCGGACGCGCATTCTCCCTCGAACAGCGTCAAAATTTTTGCAGTCACTTCACTACCAGATGTTTTTGACAGCTTAGACGTGGACCAACTGCCGCTATTGAGCTGGAAAGAGGACGATGATCTCTTGTTACTTGTAGAAAGCGCTGAGGAGACAGCAACGACAGCGACAACGTGTCGAGATGACGATGGGAATGGACTGCAAGTGGACGTGGATGTTGCAGTGCAGCAAGAAGTGCGAGAAGAGGAGGAAGAACAAGTCGGAGAGCGTCACGAGGACGAAGGGAACGAGTTGGTGGCGTGCGTGGAGCAGGAGGAGAGAGACGGTGTGGAGTGTAGTACTGTACAAGCTAGAGACGGAGATTGTCAGACGAGAGTATGCTGCAAAGACTGCACCACGTGCAGCATTGACCACTCGGGGACATCGAAGGAGCTCTTTGACACGTTGCTTGATGACGTTGTGGATGATGCAGAAGTGGCGAACAAGACGGCATTGTTGGAGATTGTCGCAGCTTCTTGGGACGAGGAGGTCGTGAAGTCGGTAGCGGATTCACCATTGTGTTTGTCTGCACAGTGTCGAGACGCTGGAACTGATGATCTGGACGTGGGACTTTTGACCGACGGTGGGAGTCTCGAGACGGTGGTTGAAGGGCGAGCGACGAGCGATTGGATTGACGCACTGGAGGTGGACGATGTGCCGCTGTTGCTGTCGGAGCTCGAGCAGGCGCAAGCGATGTCGACGACGACGTACTCGGTGGCAAAAGCTGCTGCTTCGAACGTAGACTCACGAGTGTTTGTGCCGGCGTTCACGGTGCGGATCGAGGGTGGCCACCATTCTCGCCCACTTCGTCCCGCGGTCGGACTGTACAGCACCGATCTGCTCGTTGGTCCGCCTGGCGTCTTGTCGGCCACGTCCATTCGCAACGAGCGTGTCGATCGGCTGAAGTCCAAGCGGTCGTGTGGAGCCACACAGCCGGACCCGTCGATCTCCCACAAACGACGTGCTAGTGCTGCGAAACGCCAGCGGGTAAAGGGTCGCTTTGTCCGCGACACGCACACGTTTGTTTCTATCACGGCGCTCCAGAAATAAACCGCTCTCTATTTTTCAGCAGCTTTTTTTTCTCCACCATGTGCTGGTGACGCGGTCTTTATGTTGAGGTTGCCAAGTTGATGTATCCGTTGCAGTGCTTTTGAGTCTAAAAAAGTACAGCTGTGAGAGGCTATGTAGTTTAGCAGGTCGTCTATACACAAACATGATATCTGATCGCATCGATTATTCTAGTATATGTATTGCTGCAAGATTCTCGGCTCAAGCGTTCACCATCACGTCCATTCCTTGATTCCAGGTCAATGTGGAACATCATGACATCGATATTGAGCGCCCGAAGCCGACGTGACGATTCAGAAGTCGAAGTTCCGCCTACATCGTCAGTCACCAACCCGGAAATTGCCGTGGATCGCTCGTGCTTTCGTCTTCGCAGTCGTGGATGGCTGGACCGGTAAAAAAAACTTGCATAAAGACGTTTTTATAGCGTTTTTCTTCGCATGTTTTAACCTCTTTCTGTGTCAAAATGGTTTTGGCAGCGAAAATGAAGTTTACGTTTCCGTACCGAAAGACGTTTCGGGACAATGCAACGTCATTTTCTTCCCTGGAGATGTCCAAGACTTCAAAACTGCCATGTACTGTAGCTACTTGCTGGACAATTTATCTGTGCATAAATACAATAGCATGCATGTATGTTTGTAAAGGTAGCTGACACTTGGTTCATTGCTTTATTTTTGACAGGATGGCAGGACCTTTTGCAGAATATTGTGACTACGCGTACGAGGCTGTAGCAGATTTGTTGAGCCAGAAGTTTGGTGATTCGAGCAATGTGTGGGTGGTGAGACCCAGTCGCTTCAAACATGGAGCTTACAGCAGCTTTGACAATTTCGTGACTTCGAACGATTACGGGGCTGCTACAGGGTGTAAGTGCTACGTATGTCTGCATTTTGTTTGTGCATGAATGGCGCACTTAGTGCGTGAATGAGAGTGGGGTTTCTGTTTGCTTGTCAATGCGCAGATGAATCAACGGCACACGCTACCAAACACCTGGCGTCTCTGATGCAAAGCACACAAGCGACGTTGAGACGACAAGGAGGTGCGTGGACTGCTATCGGCTTCTGCTCGAATGTATAGATCCATGTGGAGGCTTAAGCTTCTGCTGTTGATTGTCAGTGATCGTATCGACAGCAGTTCCGATACACCTGCTTGGGTTCAGCAAGGGTGGTATTGTTCTGAATCAAGTTGTGACAGAGCTCGTGCGATGCTCGTTCAATAAGAAACGATCAATCAGCGGTCAGCATCGACAGGGATCTGCCTTCGCAAGCACGCGAAAATTCTTCTCAAGCGTACGTGTCCGACTTTGTCTGCCCCTTCGTTCGTTTGTTTAAATTGTGGGGCCGTGTGTACTTATAGGTCTACTCGCTCCACTGGCTGGACCCTGGAAACGGATCTCTTCGAGGTTCAATGCCGACGGACGACATGTCTCTCACTGTGCTCTCGCAATATGAGTACGGATAGGACATGCTACGCACGATGCTGATGCTGATTTCACTCTGTGTAAACTGACTGGTTTTTGTGTGTACCTTAGACAGCTGAGGTTATTCGTGCACGTGACGCCGTACCAATACGAGGCTCGCACTCGACCATGGATAAAAACTGAGGTGAACAGTTTTGCGAACAAGATGAACCTCCGCGGTGCTGATGTTCAACTTATAATGTACGTGCTGGATGCAAGTACATACTTCCGATTCGATTGAAGCGCCTTTTTCACCGTAACATATATGCTTTGTTGTCAACTGCTGTCTTAGCTATAATGAGAGCGGTAAAGATTCATTAGCTTCCCATTTTCGTATCCTTCACTATTTTGAAGCCAGCCGATCGATGAGGACGAAAGGGGAGGGAGCCACGAACTCGCCAGAACATGCTGTGCAGCCTGTTCGAATTCAGGTGTGCAAATGAGTCAACACCACATATGAATGAAACGTATTCATTAGTAGTCAGCAAGTTTTGAGTCAAGGTAGTTTAGTTTACCGGGTGTTCTTTTACTCTTGTTGTTGCAACAGTATCTAGGAAAGAAAGTGAACAAAAATACAGCTTGTCCTTCAAGATTGCCCTAAAGAGAACGTGGCACTCTTCAGATACAGTGTTGGGCAATCTACATATTTTGAAGAGACAATAATTAGTCGCCGTCGTCACCATCATCAGAAGCGGCCGTGAAAACTAATCTATCAGTGCTGGTCATAGTAAGGACGACCGCAACCTTGTTTTGTTGGCATGTGAAGCACAGCTGCGTGGAAAACGAATTTAATTAGTCACGTCTACCTCCTGGTTCTCTTGTCTCGTTAGGTGAGCAGCCATCACATTGGACAAAGCATACATAGAACGCGTGCAAGGGATGGCTAGCAACAAAGTGACAACGTCGTTGATCTTGTTCTACTATTCTTAAATTTCTCAATTCTAATGTCGGGCCGAGCATGGAATGAGGCAATCAAACAAGACCGAAGTTGGAAGCGTACAAGTCTAATGGGTCGGAAAAACATGTTGCTGCACAATCGCAAGACTACTATTTCGACGAATGCAAAGTCGGTGACCACCTGTCTTCGTTTGCAATCTTGAAGACGCACGTGTCAATTATAGCATTAGAAGGGCATGATCGTATAGCCAAGATGCATTGACTGCTTAGGCATCAATAGCCTCGAACGATGCAAAAGTCCTATAGCTGCGATAGGCGAGATACACATCAGGATCTTTTCATCATGTCATACTTCGAAGTTGACGATGAAACAAACATTACTAGAAGTGAAAACGTAGAAATGCATTGCAACACCACAGTTTCAAGCCACGCAATACTGGACTTGGCGTGCGAAGCTGCGCGGTGCTGGAGATGTCTACTTTGCTTTTTGTGTATCGCGCGTGCTGATGGCGACATACATGCCAACCTTGTGTGGAAGGTTATGTAAGTGTCTCGCTTTTGCTTCGATGCGGCAATTTGACGTTTCTTCTTTTTACAAATGAGGCCATGCTTTTAAGCGTAAATCACGACAAATACGAATGTGCACCCAGTAAATTGCAGATGTCGTATGACTTCTTCGATACAGAGCCTTTTCCCAGTACGCGCACCTTCGCCAGCCTGATTTCCAAGTATTGGTACCTTTCCCGAATGTGGTACAAGTGTCTCCGGATATTGGGTGTATCTGAACCAAGTACACCACACTCGCGATACTGTTTGCATCACAATGTGCTACCTGTAGATTTAATTAATCAAAAATCCCTACAGCAGGTCCGTGGCTCTCGCGGTTATCTCATGCGTGGGTTCTTTGGTATTTCAAGTACTGGCAGTCAAACAGATAACGGATGACTAAAATAAACCAATCTGGAAGTCTATCTTGACTTCTTTCCGATTGTGTCGAACGTTCAGGCGATCTACCTCAGATTATCGATCAGGGCGGGCATCATGGACTTTAGTGGATTCGCCATGTCGCTCAAAACTGTAAATACCAGCTACGCATGCCTTGGATGCGAGGATTGGCATCGATGTAGTAGTGGCCGGTGCCTGAATGGTTTTAGGACAAGGTCGCAGTATAGTACGGTCTTAGTCACCACAGTCGTACATGTTTCCTACCGCTGCTGCTACAGCTTGCCATCACACACATCTTGTATGCATTCGAAAATCAGTCTTGAAGAAACTATGCGTCGTTGTAGCAAGTTTCGAGACATTGGCCTCAGCGAAAGCTCGGTCGCTCCCTAAAGTTGGCGCAGCGATGGTAGAACGTGTGCTTTCCGCCCTGTTTACTATCTGGTGTATTGTAGTTCAGCCGCACACGAGATCGGGCGGTGCTTACACTCCATTCGGGAAAGGTTCGTCTATTGGGAAAAGTAGATGTTGGGAAAGGTCCCACTTCATTGGGACAGGTGCTTGTCGCGGGAATTCTTCTTCGAAAAGGAAAAGTAATGGGTGGGCCAAAACTAGGACTGGGACAGACTCCTCGGAAATTGCAGCTATCGCGCTTTACTTCGATTGGCTCAATTTCTAGCAGACATCGTCCCAAAGATGTTCCGTCGATGCTGCGTCATCCCTCATTTCATCGCCAGTTCTCGTCGTAGCGCCCAAGTTCAGTCCTCAACTCGCGCCTTCGCCATGACGACCGACACTTGTGACGCCAGTCAACCACAGAACGTTGCGACATTTGCTGCTGGCTGTTTCTGGAGTGTCCAACTGGCGTTCGACCGCATTCCTGGTGTGCTGGAGACTTCGGTTGGGTACACGCAGGGTACCGTGGATCACCCCACGTATACCCAGGTGTGCTCAGGAGAGACGAAGCACGCTGAAGCCGTTAAGATCGTGTTTGACGACAGCAAGTTGTCGTACGACGCGCTGCTGTCGAAGTTCTGGTCCATTCACGACCCCACGTCGCTGAATCGCCAGAAAAACGACCAAGGTACGCAGTACCGTTCGGGCATTTATTACCATACTGAGGAGCAGCGAAAAGCTGCTTCGGCCTCGAGAGAAGAGCACCAAAAGACGCTGTCGAAGCCGATTGTGACGGAGATTGAAGCGGCCAAGCCTTTTTGGGCGGCCGAGGATTACCACCAAAAGTATCTGGAAAAAGGAGGTCAATGTGCCGACAAGGGGTGCGACGTCCCCATTCGTTGTTACGGGTAAAAGACGTGACCGCGCGTTGAAGAACCGCGGCAGACGGTCGATGCATGATTCTTTTTTTGTCTGTACTGACGATCCGACCGCCGGTAATGAATGTGATTCTTTCCTTTGTTAATGTCGAATACGGTCGACGACGTTTTGGAATCCCTTGATGGTAGTTCGCGCTACTGAAAAGACGCGGTCCGTGAGCTTGTCTGCTTGCCAGTCGTTCCAGATGCCGTACTGCATGATCTGAGCCCGTTTCTGAGCCGCCTTGAGATCCTTGAGGCGCTTAGCAAGTGGTGACAAATTTGCACTGTGTCTAGATGCAAATGATAAAAAGTGAGCAGTTAGTTGCTGACAGGCATTATTATGCTAGGCAACGTTCGTCACATACGATCCATTGTCGTATTTCTCCAGATCCTCTGGAATACACTCCGCGTAGCCGTGCGATACCAGCTCTTGAGCAAAGTCTCTGTTTCGTAGTGGCTAAATTGAAACAAGAAGTCAATTATTGAGGTGTTTGCTGACCAGGTTAGATGAACAAAAGCACGAGAATCGGAACAAACCCTTCGCAGCGCGATGCTGCAGATCGCTACGCTCCCGCTGCTTTCCACATGCCTTCGAGCATGATCCAGTCAGTATCCGTAACGAACAACGTGAGTACAACAACACCTTCGTATCACACGACACAATACACAGAACTTCACCGCTGTAACAATTGAATCGTCATGTACTGATGCGATGACACGAAGTTCGAATCAATCCACTCGACCGAGCTCTCGTCCACACGGACGCCGAATGGTCGGATCGCAATCAAGTCGCTTTTCGTTTCCTCTTCCTTTTTCTTTCTCCCATGATCTTCAGTGTGTAATCTTGATGGTAGCACGTCTTGTAGTACAGTGCGTCGTAGAAGTGGTGTGTGGTACACGTACATGACGCTGGCGTCCTGACGTGACTGGCGAACCATCCGGACACGCAGCTTCTTTCGTCGTGCAAATTGCCACAATGGAATGTCATCGACGTGGTCGAACCTGCTTAGCAGCCCGCTAAGTTTGAGTGAGGCCATGACTGACGTGGCGACCGTGACCAGGAGACCCATGCGGAACAGCATCAAGTGCGAATCGATCGTATGCTGGGTGTGTACCACGAAACGGCCCACTTGTCGTCGCAACTCGCCAATCTCTTCATTGTTGCCATCATTTTGAGCCGGTGGGACATCGTGAGTGGTCCTAGGAATTGGCGAATCCAATTTCCGTGCTGAGTCCTCGACGAGGTCGCCCTCATGGTTTCGACCAGGCGAGTCCGACATGATGAAGTTTTCCAAGTGTATGTTGGTGAGCCAACCGTAAAATGTTGACAATTGGGACTTGCACTTGAGTGACGTCGTGACACTGGGGTTGGAAGAAAAGGACATTGAAAAGTTGGAGGATGACGATAAAAGCGCTAATTTCTGCTCCGTCAGAGAGTTGATGAGGAGGCTGTGACAAAGTGTGCTTAGTATTCAACGCTACCTTAATCATGTAAGACAATATGGCGTGTAGTACCAACTTTCGCAGGGGTCTTTCACGAAGCACTGTACTGATCCAAAAGGTAAGACGCGTGTTGGTGTGCGTACCATCTTGCGAAGTGCGGATAGAAAAGACTTGCCCACACTTGCACACAATTATTTTTTCTGAGTGACTTGCACTTCCGGATTCCTTGATGTAGCAAATTGCGTTGCTCGTCCGATTGAGCACGCTTGATACATTGTTAGACCGATGATAAAACACGATGTCAGCGTTCATTCGCAACGATATGTTGTTGGCTGTCTTCGAGGCAAACCACCAACGGTGAATCGGTCCAATTTTTGGAGCCATCTCGATTGCACGATGCGAGGCAAAGTGCAGATTTTTGTATAGTTGGATATGCAACAAGTCCTTAGCTAGAATGTGTCATCCATCGGTAAGTGGCACTGACGCGGATGACCTCCCCAGGTGTGACAACAAGGTCGACCATGCAGTCATGCGATGCCAATAGCACTTACTCTACAAGTTGAGGTATCAGACATAAACCCTGCAATTTTTGCAACATGTAGTCATGGGTATCTCGAATTGCTTAATTCTGACACATCACTGCAATTGCCCGTACGATATTGGTGGGTGGAGGACGCCCATTAGCGTCTTAGCGCCCCGTCAGTCGATGCAGGAGCGAATCTACAGTATTAACAGCAATACTCTCACAATCGGCCTCAAAACCCGGACAAGTTCTCGTAGCCACTTGAATAATCGTCTCACCAATTACCACTTCCGTGGCCTAGACGTCCTCCTGTTGTGGCTTTTCTATCAATACGCGTAAATGAAGGAATGTATCGATCCACCACCCTACCTTTTTACTACATCCATCACATTCTGGCACGCCACAACACATTGACTGGTTTAATTGCTAGAGCCTTCAGCAGAATTGTTGAAACGGAATGGTAGATCGTTGCGCTCGAGCGTCTAATCGAAGGCGGCGGCCATCAATACTAGGAATGAAGAATGCTCTACACGCTATGGTCATGATTTTGCAGTGATCGTGACGAAGGCATCACTCCCTTATAGACAAGGCACGTTGCCGAGCTTACAGGCGATCGAAGCATTTTCGGGTGATATATGATCGTATTTGCGAGCGGCGGTGCTGCATACTCGGAGGTCACTTACATCCCGTCCCAATTACCTGTTGAGCTGATGTTTCTCGACTGACGCGAATTCATACTTGCTCCACACTTGCGACAGATGCAGCATTTACGAAGCACGCGCCACAGAAATGCAATGTCATTCCAGAATCGACGGCGTCGCTAGCTCTATCATTTGTTTATGATGTCTGTAAGGCTGAAGCAATCCGAGTGCAATCCTAAGATACTGAAGCAATTAGGTTGATGTCGTGCAAAACACATGCCGGAATAGCGTGGGATGCGTATAAACAAGTATCGATAGCTCTGTCACAGCTGCTACTGTCGTCGTGTTAGAAAGCCGCAATGCTTTGCCACCTACAGCGGCAAATGTGGCGAGACGATATCTCTCTCGCTAACAAACGACGACATCCTAGTGTCAAGTTGAAGCACAAGACGTGGCAAAAACAAAGTCAAGCCTTGGTCACGCATTGCGGCCGGACTTTCCGATAACCTTCATTACGACGTGCCGCATTGCCTGTCATCAATATTACGACAACGCGTACAACGCGCGGAACACGCATGTACCTCTTCGTGTGGGGCCACCCTCGTATCTCATTGACCAAAACAAATGCATGCCATTCTCTCCATCGCACAACACTAATACCAAGCGTATCGTTGACGTCCGTGCACATACTTTAAAGACAGTGCTCACAATTCACGTGGCTTCTTTCATGCACGTCAAGCTACAAGAAGGTCTCATTTCATGTCATGCGTGTTGCTAACTAGATCGCGCGGTTTGCGCCAGTGCTGGCCACGTCCATGTACAGCGCTGATGCTGACGTTCCAGTCAAAAAAGCATCGACTGCTCTCATCGTATTACGACGACGCGCGGGTTCTGACCGAGCAGACGCCCGGGTTTGCTCAGGATAAGCTCAGTGAACACACAGACACGTTGGAACGGGTGCAGAGCGAGTTTGACAATGTCAAGAAGGCCACGCGTGACACGACGAGCAAGTTTTATCAGGACAACGTAACGCCGACGTTAAACCCGATCTTGGATCCAATTTGGCCGATGTGCACAAGGTCGCGAGCCCGCAAATGGAAAAGTTCGTGCCGCTTCTGCAGAAAGTAGCAGTGAAAGCAAAGAGGCAGACACGGGTGTACTCTGGCTTGAGGCACTGCGTCAGGCTAAGCGGGCGCGGATGGAGGCGATAACGATATTGGAGCAAAACAAACATGTGGCGGCGTATGCACAGAAAGTGGTGGACATTGTGCTACTCATTCTTGCTGTACCGCTGGCGCTGTTTTGGACACGCTTGGTGTTCCGTCTAGTGTGGTGGCTCTTTGTAACGACGGTGTGTGTGCTGACGCGTGGCTTGTGCTGTGGTTCACGTAAGCGTAGCTCAACGGCGAAGTCTGAGCTCGCGAAGAAGACGGTTAGCGTCGATGCTGGCTAGGATGCACCTCTGAATGGCTCTTCGACAAAGGGCACAACTAACAAGACGACGTTGAACACCTCGAAGCGCAACAAAAAGAGCAAGAACTGAGAGAACTGTGTGTGGCAGTGGAGTGATGCCTTGTTGGGACAGAGGTCGGTAGTATGGTGTGTCGAGAGCAAGACCAATGGTAGTCGTTAGCGAATAGTGCTAGCAACACACGACCCGCAGATAAGAGATCGTGAAAGGCGCTGGTGCGGTGATGTGGTGTTTTGGTTGTTCAGTCGTTTTGCCACCCTGTCAACAGCTATCAGCCAACTATTTGGCGGCGTGTTCCTCAGCTTCCAGCAACAAGTCGTTCAGATACTCTAGCTCTCTCTTCTGCTCGGCTCGTCCCCCTAGCTTAGTGAGGCCAAAGTCAATCGACTTGACCTGGCCGGTACCGATATCGAACATGATGTTATTTAGCTGCATGTCGCCATGTACCAATCCCTTGGCGTGCATGGTCTTAAGGGCTTTCATTGCTCCATGTCGAACACCTACACCACAACACAAAGGCGGGAGCTTTCTCGATGCTCGTTGTTGCTCTTCCAATATTGCCTCTTCAAGAGAGCAGCCGGCAGGTTCCATGATCAGAAGTAAAGCATGTTCCACACTTCCACCAGACCTTTCAGTCGGGGAATACAGTCCAAGTCGCTCACCAACTCATACTGTTCGGCCTCGTGCCTCAGTTCTTCGACCAAGTCGATATGCTTCGTTCCATCGACGACCATCACGACCACCGCCTCCCCTACGAAGGTTCCTTCCCCACACAGCCAATTCGAGACCGAGCTCTGCCTTGTCCAAAACTGATGGCCGTGATGTCAATAGTAGCTCCAAGATCAAGCTGCCGTGCTTGAAGCTGACCTCTACTGGGTCGTGACGGGATAGCAGATGGCGACACGTAAAGCCAATCCTCGTCGACTTCCAGTAGAACTGCGAGGTATGCTGTCAACAGTGCAGCGCTATCTTGCTCGTCATAAGGTCCGGCAACTTCGAGCCTCCCGCTCCCCGCTTGTTCGTAGATTCTCTTGAAAAACCACGTCTTTGTGCATGTGGTGAAGGCGCCGTATCGCAAAACGTTGAAGGTCATGTACCCATACAACTGGGCTATCGCCTTGACAACCTTGTCGCCGTTATTGTTCTTGTGCTGATCCCAATGCGTCAACAAGTCCTCGAACCGAAACGCCCACGGGGTTTTAAACTCGACGACGAACTTGGGCTTGCACAACTCGGGAGTATCTTCCGCGATCCATACACGGTCTGGGTCTCCAACCACGTGCTTGTTACCGTAATGTCGTTGAAGAGTCCATGGACACCCATGGCGGCTAGCAAATCCTCCAGAACGTAGTGCAGCGACAAATCGGCATGGACCATGACCATTTACTCACTGGAACATCCGTGTCTGACAGTCTGCGCATGGAGCAGGAGCTGCTTCTGCAATGGCTTTTCAAAGTTCTGCTCGTGTTTCCGAATGACAGCATCCAGGTCTCAATCCGTGAGTGCATGCAAGTCGGTGCACGGCTTGGCCGGGGTGGTGGAGCTACTACTACTCCGCAGAGGAGACAATGTTAGACGTAGGTGTAACGGGGTGAATCGTTACATAACAATTTATAAGAAATTGTTAATAGAATATAACTATAAGAGTTATATTCTCAGAATATTGTCATAAGGACAAATTATCTGTAGCACTTACGAGTAGTTCCTAATTGGTTGATATAGGCCATTATATCAACCAACGAAGACGCGCCACGACAGACGCACGCAATGAGTGGTGAGCAGATAACTGATTTACACATTTGTATTTAGACATAGTTAGATGAAGATAAATAGTGATTTATTGCAGACATTAACTATTATAAATACAGTTCTACTTTTACTTTAACCAAGTACTCGCTTCTTCTTACCGTCTTCCTCTGCACGTACGAGTGTACGTGAAGTCACGAGGCACCGCCTTATTCTGTCATCAGAATAAGTAGCTTGTACTGTCATCAGTACAAGCTTCAGGGTGCCCCGTTACACCTGGTAGCACTTCGTAGTCCGTCCAAGGACCACGTTCACATCCAACCTGAATATGTTGGATGATGAAGATGACCAAAGCTTTCACGCTACGCGTGACGGCTACTCCCATTTGAGCAATGTCGAGTGGGATGCGGTTGAACGGATGGGTTCAACCATGGGCGTCCATGCTGTTAGCGTCATGCTAGAGGCTCTAAAAAGAGATGCCCAATATGCTACTATAGCCAAGTTCATTCAAAATGAACTTGACGCTGAACGCGAGAAAGTAGCCTTGCTTCACCAACAAGGTTCTCAACAATCAGAGTTGTTGAGATAACAGGATGCTCAACAGTTTGAACTGTTGAGACAGCAGCAGGCTGCCGCTGGTCGGTCGATGCACTCGCGTCGACCCGAGAACTTGAAGATTGACATCTCCAAGTATAGGGGAGTCGAAGAGGACTCCCTCTTGAGATGGTTCGTCGAATTAGACGACGCCATAAGGGCGCGTCGCATCGACGACGGGGATATGCAAGTTTCATTTGCCCAGTCAAATCTGGCAGGACGTGCCAAGACTTGGGCACTGGGGCTCAAGTTGCACGACCCATATGCGTTTGGGTCGTTGGAAGTCTTCAAGTCGCGGCTCAGACAAACGTTTGAACCGCCTAGAGCTGAGTTCAGGGCTCGAACCGAACTCTTGAAGCTCAAACAGGGTAAGCGTGATGTGCACGCTTACGCCCAACATATACGACATCTCACGAGTTGTATAAGTTCCAATCCGGTGGATGAACACACGTTGGTTTCGGTGTTCATGCAGGGTCTTGCGGATGGTCCCGTCAAGACTCACCTGTTCCGGCTTGAACTAGATTCACTAGAACAAGCCATTTCCATTGCGGAGCAGGAAGACTTCAGTCTGAGACAGGCTCGCGCCAGCTCGACATCATATCGTCAACCGAGACGATATGACAACGGAGGTCCAGTGCCGATGGAACTCTGTTATGTAGAGAGCGAGAAGGCTCGCTCTACAGGCTACAAGAAGTTGCAGAGATGCAACAGATGTCAAAAGACAGGACACTACGCTTACGAGTGTAGTGCCCCTCGTCCAGTGTCTCGCGACACTGGGCGTAGTGACCGTCCACCCATGAGAAAGGGGCAGGGACGAGGGTCCGCAGTTGGTGCAAAGACGCAACAACGGGATGGACCGTCAAAAAAGCGGACAGGATCAGTAGGTGCCGAGCACCCTACTGGTCTAGCAACGTCAAGAGAATTTGTAGGCCTCTTGATGAAGGTTGCTCCCAACACACAAACGTCGTGCGTTGCTGCTCTAGGTAATGAGGTCTCACTCATTACCTTGAAACTCGAAGTGACGAATAAGTTGTCCCTTCGAGCTCTAGTCGATTGTGGGGCGTCCAACAATTTTGTGCGACGCCAATCGCTAGAAGATGGTCACTTTAAATTCAGTGAATGTGACACACCTCCTACGAGGATGACGGTACGTCTTGCGACAGGCGCATCCGTAACCGTCATGAAGCGTATAGTGAAGATCAACTATACGCTAGAAGATACCCAATATGACGATGACTTTATCGTATTGGATTTGGATGACAAATTTGATGTCATCCTTGGAATACCGTGGCTCAGAAGGTACGAACCACGGGTAAACTGGCAACATCGAACAGTAACGATGCCTGCCGCTTGTTCATCAGATGGCCATCTGATGAACGTTTTGGAGCGTCCACAAGCGTGTGGATGTGCTACGAGTGAGTGCGATGGCCTCACTTGTGGTACGGTCGTTAGTACGACTGCACAAAACCTTAGTGTACCAAACGGTTACACTTCGGAGCAAAGTTCCGGCGGCTGTGAGGAAACACAGGCTGCGCCGAAGGTCCACCACTCGAATAAGTTGGGTGGACTGGGACAAAGATGTATCCCTAGCGGGGAACATCTAGAAGAGAAACAATCGATCGCTCAGGTTAAGCGAAACGATAATCCTAGATCGACTGGAGAGTCTTTCGTAGAGGATCTCGCTGTGGTTGCGCAACCCCAGCTAGAGGAAGTAAAGGGAATAAGTCCCAAGATTACAAATACGGCGGAAATAAGTTCCCCGAAACCCGCGGGAATAAGTCCCCGGGAAGACGAAGGAATAAGTCCTTCGAAGCCTGAGGGAATAAGTCCCCAGGAAATGACAGAGACATTGAATGTCATAGTCAATAACGGATCAAGTGTAGGCGCTTATACACTTGATCTGATTGCGCCTCCGAAGTTAACTTCGGAGATCACTCATTTGCCAACGCTCGAACATAAAAGATTCTTGCGTGATCTGCGTAGTGGCAAAGTCAAGCAGATCTGCATACTCGTCGCTGACGACGAGTGTGTAACCGACATAAGGTCAGCAACAGTGTTTACTGAGAACGAGAGAGTTCTCAGTAGTTCATCTATGGACGAGAGCGTCCTAGATGAAAAGACACGAATTGAGCGATATGACTCCCAATCATGGGAATCGCTCAAGAAAAATCCTCTCTATGAAGATTTGGTTGAATTCAAGGATGTATTCCCTGAAACTGTTCCGTGCGAATTACCGAAGGATAAAGGTATTCGACACGAGGTCGAGCTTAAACCAGGCTCGAAGTACTGTGTCATGAAGCAGTGGCCACTGCCTCGTGAACAAGTACTTGCGATCGACAAGTTCTTTGCCGATCGTTTAGCTGCGGGCCATGTGAGGGAATCAACTTCCCCACATAGCTCTCCGACCTTCTGTGTGCGAAAAGCAACAGGAGGGTGGCGGATAGTGCACGCGTTCAACAAATTGAACGCTGCAACGGTACCGGCTCAGACGCCGATACCGAGGAAGGACGTAATCATTGATGGTATGTCAAAGAGTACCATCTTTTCGTCCATGGATTTGATGGATGGCTTCTATCAGATCCTTATGCGGGAACGGGATATACCCTATACCGCAGTTAGCACGCCTAGCGGCATGCTCTGGGAATGGCTAGTAATGCTACAAGGGCTCAGTAATGCCCCTGCCACGTTCAACAGATGTGTATCACATCTGTTGAGACCAGTACGAGAATTTGCGCCGAGTTATTTCGATGACGTATTCATCCATAGTCGAGCTATGGATGGAAAGTCGGACGTTGAGGTTCACAGGTACCACGTCCGACAAGTTCTTATAATCATGCGAAAGCATCAATTGTATGCTAACCTCAAGAAGTGTATATTTGCAGCAAGCGAAATACCACTTCTTGGGTGCATCGTTGGTAAGAACGGTGTACGTCCTGATCCCGAAAAGATCAAGGCGATCACCGACTGGCCTGTGCCGGTCGATGTCAAAGGTCTTCGAAAATTCCTTGGGCTAGCGGCGTATTTGCATAAGTATTCACGCAATTACGCCTAGATGACTGTGCACCTCTCTCGTTTGTTGAAAAAGAACGAGAGGTGGTTATGGAACGCTGAATGTCAACGCTCCTTTGAGGGTATCAAGCAGAGCTTGATACAATCCCCAGTCCTAGCAATAGCCGATCAGGACAGGCCATTTCATGTGGTCTGTGATGCCAGCGATTTCGCAATCGGCTGTGCATTAATGCAGTACGATCTTGAAGGCGTTGAACGCGTCGTCTGCTATCAGTCGCGTCAGCTGCAACCAGCTAAGCGGAACTATCCAGTGCATGACAAGGAACTCCTTGCCATGAAGTATGCACTCGCGAAGTTCAGAGTCTATCTATTAGGAGATAGACCCTTCGTTGTTTACACTGACCATGCGTCATTACGCACGGCAGTGAACAGCCCGCACCTTTCACAACGAATGGCGCGGTGGTTGTCATTCTTTGCGGAATACAACTTTACGGTCGAGTACAAACCAGGACGACTTAATGTCGTCGCTGATGCACTCTCACGTCGTCCCGACTTTGAACCAGTCGGGAAACCCAACAGTGAGACAGTCACTGTTGCGGTTATGACGTCCTCAGTCCCATCTACAACGTTGTATGATGATGTGAGGCGGGCATACGCCCAAGATGGTGAGATAGTGAAGTTGTTGACACATCTCTCCCAACCATCCCGAGAATCGTTGAAACGATTGTCGCCTGCGTATCGATCTGCATCAGATCGATACACTACTCGTAACGGTTTACTGTATTATACAGCCGTTTCTGGTGACACACCACGTGTTGTCATTCCAGATGATACTGATCTGCGTTTGCGGATCATGTTCGAGTATCATGATGCTCCTATAGGAGGACATCGTGGCCGAGAGAAAACATATCTCACGGTAAGTCGAGACTTTTACTGACCCCGCCAGTATCAGTTTGTGCGAAAGTATGTTCGCGCATGCGAAGTCTGTCAACGAGTGAAGTCAAGTCCTTCACTGCGTGCACCTTTACAGCCTCTACCGGTTCCGGCTGAGTGCTGGGAATCCATCTCAATGGATTTCGTCTTCGGGTTACCCAAAGACGCACGCGGGAATACGGGTATTCTCGTATTTGTTGACAGATTCAGCAAAATGGTACACCTTGTGGCTGTACCAGAGACAATCACGGCAAGTGGCTGTGCTTGTGTCTTTATTGACACCATCTTCCGACTTCATGGGTTGCCCCGTGAACTCGTATCAGACAGAGATCCACGATTCACTGCTGATTTCTGGCGTTCCGTGTTCAAATCAATCGGAACGCGCTTGAAGATGTCAACATCTGATTATCCAGAGTCAGATGGTCAGACGGAACGTGCCAATCGTGTCCTTGAAGAGATACTTCGAGGATACGTACACTCCTTTAAGAGTTGGAGTGAGTTTTTGCCAATGGTAGAGTTTGCCATCAACAACTCGGTGCATGCGTCCACGACGCATACACCTTTTTACGTGAATGGCTTGCGCCATCCGCGTGTACCCACCTTACTAGAGTGTAACTCTGGTTTAAGGGGGGGAGGGACTCGCGCGAGCAAAAACCGATTTGGTTCACGCTCATCACGCTCTGACGAAGAAGTCATTGCGTTTGATGCCGATATCGATAACATCGATATCGAAGAAGACGATGCCAGTGAGAGTGCGGAAGCCCTCACTGAAGAAGATGATCCCAGGGAGAGTGCGGAAGCCCTCACTGAAGAAAAGGTTGATGTTGCTGCAGTGCGCTCACAGCACACTGAAGCTAACGAGTCATCAGATGAGTTCATACTGGCTCGTGAAACGGTAGTCCGTTTTGTGCAAGACTCCATCGCCGAAGCGGTGGATAAGCAAAAGCAAAACGCTGACAAGAGTGGAAGGGCAAACACTCTTTTATTTAATAAAGGTAACTTAGTCCTACTGTCTACGGTTAATCTACCAAAGCATGTAGTGACTAACTTGGGTAGCAGTAAACTACTACCCAAGTACATCGGCCCATTTCGTGTATTGCACCGCCTAGGCAATGCATACACGATCGAGTTACCACGTAAGATGCGAACGCATCCCACGTTTTACGTTGGTCGACTTAAGCCGTACCATCAGTACGCTGCTTCTTCCGATGAAGAACGCCCTTGCGCTCTAGCATCTCGCAGAGAGCCTTGTGCTCCCGATGGTGGGCATCAACAAGGGTCTGAAGAGCAGCTATCTCATCCCGAGACCGATCAGCAATCCCACGAGCTACCCTTAGCTCGTCACGAAGAGATGTCAGAGATCTCTCGTTCTCAAGCTGAGCAAAGGCAAACTCAGCTCGATGCTTCAAGGCAGTGTCCGCCATCTGGAGACGCCTATTCCGCTCATGCTCGAGATCGTCGCGTAACCCTTGCGTTACGCGATCAAAGAAGCTCTCGGGAACACACCGATCCACATGATCGTGTGGAGAGCGTCTTTCCTCCTCCTCCACCTCCATTAGAGGACTCTCGCGGTGTACAGCGCTATCTAGTTGAGCAGCTGTTGAACCACCGCGACGTGAACGGACGTCGGACGAGTTATCTCGTCCGGTGGCGCGGCTATCCCCCGTCCTGGGATTCTTGGGAGCCCCGCTCCCAACTGATAATCGACGTACTGGGTCTGGTTGAGCAGTACGACGCGGCACATCCTGTGCCGCAGAAGGACCGCCGGAGAAAGTCTTCCCGGCACGGTCGTAAAGGGATTTCAGGTTGTCAATCCCTTCGTACATCTCAGTAGAGACACGTACGCGCCACCACGGGCTGGTAAGGAGGTAAGCCTCCTTAGGTGCTCGTGCAGAGTTGTTCACACAACATGGGCACGAGTCTCCCCAAGAGAGGCAGGGTAATCCTTTCTCCCTTGACAGACGATGCAGCTTGTAGCGTGCACCTGTCGGGGTTCGCTTTTCAAACTTATCACGAGCTTTGATAAGTTTGTCGTTCCAAGCGTCACGACCTACATCCTCGAGGTTATGGATGTAGGCGTTCCACGCCTGAAGTAGTGAGGGACCATCACGTTTGTGATTCCCACTGTACCATCGATGCCTAAAGAAAGCATCGATGAAGAATTCATGTTCAGCGCGATAGTTTTTCGCGCTGGGGTCAAGGTGATGGATCCTTGACGAATCGAACAATCGTGTTCGATAACGATCACTCGTCGTCGCCGACAAGTGATCCATGACGGATTTAGAAGGCATCCATGCCTTCTTTTCTGGAGCGAGACGCAACACATTGCGGTCCCGCTCTTCCTGCGACGTGCCGACAGAAGTACTGGCACCTCGCTGTGAAGTGGTGTCCATAGGAGAACCGACACCACTATTAGCGCCCGAGTCTCGCGACCTCGAGCGCCTTCGCTTCGGCGATGGTTCATCTGATTCATCAGATGAACCAAAGATGCTGCGACGCAAAGCATCGTCCATGCCACGCTTGGCAGGCGGCTTAGATTCAATCGCCGTCGATACGGATCCGTCATCCGTATCAGGAGAGTACGAGACACCGAGCTCGTACTCTGTGAAGACACGAGTGTCTTCATGACCAGCGCCTGCATCACCAAGTGACACAGGCTGGGTCGCTTCAGCAACCGATGAGACATCAGTTGCTGTTGTTTCTGCTTCGGCGTCCGCACAGAGACGTGCGGACGCGCTCTCGGCGGCCTTGCTCGCGCATCGCATGGGCTTGTTTACCATGCGATGAGATGTTGGAAAGTGGACGCGGACCAACAAGTGCAAACCCTGTCCCAAATGATTTGGGACGAGTATCCATTTAGTCAATCAGTCACTAAAGTGACTGATGGTTAAGGGGGAGGTGATGTAACGGGGTGAATCGTTACATAACAATTTATAAGAAATTGTTAATAGAATATAACTATAAGAGTTATATTCTCAGAATATTGTCATAAGGACAATATTCTGTAGCACTTACGAGTAGTTCCTAATTGGTTGATATAGGCCATTATATCAACCAACGAAGACGCGCCACGACAGACGCACGCAATGAGTGGTGAGCAGATAACTGATTTACACATTTGTATTTAGACATAGTTAGATGAAGATAAATAGTGATTTATTGCAGACATTAACTATTATAAATACAGTTCTACTTTTTACTCTAACCAAGTACTCGCTTCTTCTTACCGTCTTCCTCTGCACGTACCAGTGTACGTGAAGTTACGAGGCACCGCCTTATTCTGTCATCAGAATAAGTAGCTTGTACTGTCACCAGTACAAGCTTCAGGGTGCCCCGTTACAGTAGGTGCACTCGTGCAGTAGAGGAAGGAAGTAAAAGAAAGGTATGTTGAGTGTTAAGAACTACCTACTTCAACACTACGATATGTATGACCAGAAACGGCAACTGCAACTTGACCATGTCAAATCATACATGGTGTCCGTCTCTCCTTGTCCCACGTGACATCCTGTCACATGGCTTCCGCCTCTCACAGTCCCATCTGTCGATCGTCCCGTCGTGGTCCCACATGTCACGTCGCACGGTTATCAACCAATCAGGTGACACCGATCCATGGTATAGCACTTGAACCTTGAAACCTGTCAAACACGAAAGTTTTTAACACTCCTCCTCGGTGTTAGCCTGTGTGGTCTCCAACTTGAGCATGACCTTAAGTCCTCCATCCTTGGTGCCGGGAACGACTTCGTCAGTATATCTTCTAGCATATCCTTAGATCGCACAAACCTTGGCACCACAGTCCCTTTCTGTGCGGGATGGCATACAAATTTGTGACGTATGTCCACGTGCTGGCGCTCGAGGTGCTCTTCTCTGACTTAAGTTGCTTGATCGCCGCTTGGTTGTCAATCCACATCGGCATGGGCGCACGTACGCGTAGCTTCAATTCGCTCATTAGTTCTTTCATGCCAAGCAGCTCCCGACCAGCTTGCGACGCTGAGATAAACTCAGCCTCCATCGTGCTCGGCGATACACCCGATTGCTTCTTGCACAGCCACAGAACCACTGCACCATCCACAGTTAGTACACACCCCGATATTGACTTACGGTTGGCCTTGCTCGTAGCAAAATCGGCTTCGCTCCAGCATTCGACCTGCACATCCTCTGACACATGTCCAGCACCATCCAGGTGCAGCTTCAAATTCTTGGACATCTTCAGGTATCGCGTGATGCGCTTCGCGGTCTTCCAATCCTTGAGTGTCGGCTTGTGAGTCTGTCTTGTTGTCTTACGCACTGCAAAACAAATGTCTGGGCGTGTGCATCTTGCAATCCATAGCAGGCTTCCCACCAGTGACTGTAATGACTTCGCACCGGGGTCACCCTTCGCTCCTCTTGCTGGTAGGTACTCAGCGTCCTCGTCGTCTTCCACGTTGCACTCGTCTCCGATAGGTGTGCCAACCCCATTGCACGACTCCATCCCGAAGTCTCTCAACAGCAAGTCGATAGTCGGTTCTTGGTCCAGAGCATAGCCGTTCGAGTTGTCGAGCTCAATTCGTAGCCCGAGGAACTTGTCGACAATCCACAAATCCTTAATCGATAGTGAGGCCATGTCTTTAAAGAAGTCGTCCACAGCGCTCTGTTCGGGGCCCGTGACCAACAGATCGTCCACGTAGACGCCGACCACCGTGCATGTCTTGCCCTTATACTTGAAGTTTAGACACATATCCGTGGTACATTGCTGATACCCGCTTTGTCGTAGCTTGAAGTCAAGTAGTTTGCTCCACAACTGCCCAGCCTGTTTAAGTCCATATAACGACTTCTTCAACAGCAACGCTAGGTCATTTGGATTTTTTGCGTTCAGGTCCTTCATCTCTTTCTCCTTCACTGTCATCCCCTTCGAAACCTTCATGTAGATATCCAGGTGCTCCTTCTTTTCAGCCTTGACGTACGCATTGGGTACATCACCGTGGCGCGCCGGCACCTTCCAGCGTCTCGAAAGCACCTGGATCAGCTTTACCGTTCCCAAGTCCATGACCGCTGCGAACTTGAGGGTATAGTCCACTCCGAACACTTGTTCGTTCCCACGAATCACCAAACGAGATTTGAACCGCTCGATGTCCCCGTTCGCGTCGGTATTTGTCTTGTAGACCCATATGTTGTGTAGAAAATGTGCATTTCCTGGTGGCACAACGATCTCCCTGACGTCATTTGCCTTGAGTGCGTCCAGTTCTTCGGTCATGGCCACTTGCCATTGGTTGCGATGTTTAGTCTTGATCACCTCACCAAATTGTTTGGATCTTGCTCAATGACTGCATTCACCACGTCGCAACTGTCAACCGAGATATCGGCTTTGGCCATTTTTGTTTGAAAAAACGATGTGGACCTTGTGCCATGACGCTCTCTGGTCCATGTCTGCTTTCGACCCTTCTTTCATCCCTTCAAACCGTTTCCACGAACTCGTGCACCCGCTCAACGATCATGTACTGGCTCCTCCTGACGTTGTACCGAGTCAAAAAATATCTCTTTCATCTTGGTCATCCTGTGGTGCTTAAACGCTTTGAACGTGTGGGTCACCACGACCACCTTATCCACTGGGATGTACACTTTGTATCCCTTATTTTTGCTTCCTCGCCCAATGATGATGCCCGCCTTCCCTCGCTCACCGAGTAATTTGTTTGTTGGGTCTCTGTGTACAGTGCATGTCGATCCAATAATCACGATGTCTGTCAGTACGGGAGCCTTATTCGTCAGAATCTTCAGAGGCGATGCACTTTTAGGGTTGGACTTGGTCTTACTTCGGTTCAGTATGTACGAAGCGTACTCTGCAGCATCACTCCAAAACGTGTGGTAATTTTGATGCAAAGATCATGCTCTGCACCATGTTCATGCTGGTGCGATGCATCCGTTAAGCCTTGCCGTTGATGGCTTGATTCCTCGCCTCACTTACTTGACGCGAGATGCCTTCCGAGGAGCAAAAAATGTCAAGCGTCTTGTATTCGCCACCTCCATCGGTGCGTAAAACGTGAATCTTGCAATTGAACTCGCGCTCGAAGCTCACCATGAACATCTTAAACTTCAACGCGGCTGCATCTTTCGTTTTGGCCAAGAACACTCAGCAAGAATTTGATCGGTGGTCAATGAAATTAATCATATACCGATTTCCCAATCGATCTCGGGGAGTCATGGGACCCTCGAGATTCGAACAAATGACACCCTCGATCACGTGGATAGGTAAATTCATGCCCGTGTCTCTCTTCGACTGAACTCTCTTGGTCTGCTTTCCCTTGGCACAGTCCAGACACTTTTGACGTATCGAATCTGTCAATCGTATACCAGATTTCGGGCCTTTGGCCATCTTGACAATCGTGTCGAAACAAAGATGTCCTAGGCGCCGATGATAGTCCATTATGGTACCACACTGAACGTCCGAGACAAATTTATGTTTGGGTGGATTATTGACAGTCATCATTGTCTCTCGTGGTGGCTTGGGATTACGATCGCTGCGATTCGTCACAGCGACAACCAAGACGTTGTTGCGACATTCCACATCCATTATGGGCGTTCCGCCTATACCAGATGACAGCACACGTCTCCCTCATCGATAATCTAGCACGCAACCTTTGGCCTCAAGCAATCCGAATGAAAGGATGTTACGCTTGAGGTTTTCCGCGTACTAAACATTGAAGAGTCTCACTGTGTTCACGACTCCAAGTTCAACAACTTGGGTGTCCACGGTCCCTTGAAAAGTGATCCGCAGTACGCTGCCATCAGTGGCGGCCGTCATGCACTCACTTCGACAATCTATAGGGTCGGTGAGCAGACTCGGATCAATAACTAACTGTCTGCTCGAACCACTGTCGAGAATCCATTGAACAGGCGAGCGATTTGGACCATGACCAACTGTGAAAACAAAGTTCGCACCTGAAGACTTCTTCTTCAATTGCGGGATCCGCAACCGAATATGTCCTACTTCTCGACATTTGAAGCAAGTCCGGAAATTGGTCCGTGGGGGTGATGATCTTGGTTTGGGCTTGTCCTTTAAATCCTTCACAAGCTCGACAGCGTTCACCACGTCGCGACCAAAAAATTTCAAGTGAGTGTCTACCTCCGTCGATTGAGCAAATTGTGCCAACTCTTCTGCTTGCCGCAGGTAGTCAGTGCGATGAGTGTCCAATCTGGATAACATCGTCGTTCGTATGTGTGGGTCAGCATAGTGAACGACATTGTCAAGCACAAGGCTGTCTGCACCCCCACAGGCATCACTGACGGCCGTCAAGTAAAAAAAAGGTCCGTCCAGTTTTGGTGAGATGCCTTGGGTGCCGTGAACAGCTTCATGCTCTGTGCCGGTGAGATCTTCGTCGTGAAGGTCTGTAATAGCCTCTGCATCGCGTGCTCGAGGGTTTGACTCTCAAAACACCATGTTTCCACCTGACGACGATAGTAGGTTTGTGCTTTTCCATCTAGATGCTGGCCTAGGACATAAACCTTGATGTCCTCCGGCCACACAAAGCCACATGCACGTTCCGCAAATCCGGCTTGTCGAACAAATTTCTTCCCCACTCCATGAAATCACAACCAAGGCCATGGTAGAGATCCTTTCCATCAAAAGGTTGCAGCGCGAGTTCTGTTGCTGTGCGTCTTGCACGTCGATTCTCGGATGCCCTGGGTGCACCTATCCTCGGTTGGGGATACCCATGCCATGATGGTATCCCGCAGGCAAACCCGCCCTGTTTACGCCGGGGTCGGGTGCCTGACCCATGTTGACTGCCGGGCCTGCGTATCCTGCAGGGGGTATCTCAACACCTGCCTGTTGTTGTCGTCGGACGCCGAAGTAGGTGGCTGGAGACACACTCGAAGGTTCCTGAGGAGAGGTGTGCTCCAGGGACCGGAGTTTCAAACATGCCCCGACCTCCCTCTCGCGACTGGCGACACTCGACTCGGGTAAGTTCTCCCAATGCTTGTTGTTTCGCTCTCTCTGGAAGACCTCCATCCGATTCATTCTTTCTGAAAGGTCCCCAAGCATAACCAGCATTTGGTTTATCGCCGCCATTGGCGCTGCCGACTTTTCTTCCAAATGGTCGTCGCCGTTCATGACTTGGTCGTCGACCACCACGACGTGTGCAGCTCGTTTAGCCGCACCGTCGTCACGTTTAGTTGGGCGTATAACCTGTTACCCGTAAGTGCACTTGTGCATTAGAGGTAGGAAGTACAAGCAAGATATATTGAGTGTTAAGAACTACCTCCTTCAATACTACGATATGTATGACCAGAAACGGCAACTGCAACTTGACCATGTCAAATCATACATGGTGTCCGTCTCTCCCTGTCCCATGTGACATCCTTTCACATGGCTTCCGCCTCTCACAGTCCCATCTGTCGATCGTCCCGTCGTGGTCCCACATGTCACGTCGCACGGTAATCAACCGATCAGGTGACACCGTTCCATGGTATAGCACTTGAACCTTGAAACCTGTCAAACACGATTGTTTCTAACAGACAAGGGCAACGGCGGCAGTCGTATGGCGTCAATGGTGGTCTGCACTGTTTGTGCCATGTCTGTTGAGTATTCGGCGGTAGGAGCGGTAACGCAAGTGGTTGGGTGTATGCTGCTTCGGACACAGCAGGTTTGAATGTGGAACTGGACTGAGCTTGGAAAGGGTCTAGATGCAAGTGATTAGCGACTTGGCGCCCAGTCTTTCTTCAACTTCAACTTTGGGTGGGGGAGAGCAGCCTGTAACTGGGTTGGTCACACGTCGGTTGACAGTAACCGAGTTCTGATAGGGTCAACGAGGCTACCCTTTCAGTCGTGGTGGATCGTACTAATTTAACGGTGATAATGATCGTTGAAAGAACGTCAGCTACGAGGCCGACGTTTGTTAACAGGATACGTGCATAGCATATTGGAGCTGCTACTATGGATAGGAGAGTGTCACGGGACTCCAGATTTGGTCAACGAACCTCATTCAAGTCCAGTTTAGCTCACAGCACCACACCAAAAAATCATCAGCTTGAATTCATTTGCCACCCCACAACTGGTTATAGCAACGCGTCAAAATCGTTTGTGGGGTGGCGAATCGAACTTGGCTGGAGAATTAATCAGCTCATCACACCCTTGGCACCACATCCGTCACATTCAGGCTCGCCAGACCATATTGACGGTCCTGATTGCTCAACCTTTCCATCGCGGCGGTTGATTGACTGCTCATACACACTGAATGAAGCTTTGGAATACAAAACGGCTTCTATCGCGCTATGCGACTCTAAACCTGTGGCGCCTACTATGTGCGTTGTTTAGGACTGGCCTGGCATTGTTAGAATGCACGATCAGGGTGAGCTCTGCCATACTCTAGCGACTTTGTTCACATGCAGAAACGACATTCCTGCACCCTTTGCCGCCATGAAGTACAGAAAATACGTTATTGTTCCATGGCCCTCGTCGAGCATAACTACCACAGCAGGTCGCCCGAAAGAGTAGCCGCCACGATTTCGCATCCTGGAGCGGTCAGCCAGTTGACTCGCGGCGCACTTTAACATTTTCCAATGCCACTCAAGTCACCCCTCAAGTGTAGCCTAGTTACCACTAAGAATGTTTTGCCAGAGTAAGTCTTGATCGCGGCAAAATAAATCTTGTCCTGGCGTCGACCAACCGCAGTGTCGCGGTTGTGCAAATGACATGAGATTGCATGAAAGACGCCGTATTGAACCATAATATATTACAATGCCTTCGATCTAGTGTGTAGCTATCAACACCTGTGGCGTTAAAAAGCCTTGGCTAGCAAACCAGTCAATGTGTTGTGGCGTGCCAGAATGTGATGGATGAAGTAAAAAGGTAGGGTGGTGGATCGATACATTCCTTCATTTACGCGTATTGATAGAAAAACCACAACGGGAGGACGTCTAGGCCACGGAAGTGGTAATTCGTGGGACGATCATTCAAGCGGCTACGAAAACTTGTCAGGGTTTTGATGCTGATTGTGAGAGTATTGCTGTTAATACTGTAGATTCGCTCCTGCATCGACTGACGGGGCGCTAAGACGCCGATGGGCGTCCTCCACCCACCACTGTCGTACGTGCAATTGCAGTGATGGGTCAAAATTGGGCAATTCGAGACACCCATGACTACATGCTGCAAAAATTGCAGGGTTTATGTCTGATACCTCAGCTTGTAGAGTAAGTGCTATTGGCATCGCATGACTGCATGGTCAACCTTGTCGTCACACCTGGGGAGGTCATCCGCGTCAGTGTCACTTACCGATGGATGACATATTCTAGCTAAGGACTTGTTGCATATCCAACTATACAAAAATCTGCACTTTGCCTCGCATCGTGCAATCGAGATGGCTCCAAAAATTGGACCGATTCACCGTTGGCGGATTGCCTCGAACACAGCCAACGACATCTCGCTGCGAATGAACGCTGACATCGTGTTTTATCATCGGTCTACAATGTATCAAGCGTGCTCAATCGGACGAGCAACGCAATTTGCTACATCAAGGAATCCGGAAGTGCAAGTCACTCAGAAAAAAAGCGTGTGCAAGTGTCGGCAAGTCTTTTCTATCCGCACTTCGCAAGATGGTACGCACACCAACACGCGTCTTTCCTTTTGGATCAGTACAGTGCTTCGTGAAAGACCCCTGCGAAAGTTGGTACTACACGCCATATTGTCTTACATGATTAAGGTAGCGTTGAATACTAAGCACACTTTGTCACAGCCTCCTCATCAACTCTCTGACGGAGCAGAAATTAGCGCTTTTATCGTCATCCTCCAACTTTTCAATGTCCTTTTCTTCCAACCCCCGTGTCGCGACGTCACTCAAGCGCAAGTCCCAATTGTCAACATTCTACGGTTGGCTCACGTACGTACACTTGGAAAACTTCATCATGTCGGACTCACCTGGTCAAAACCGTGAGGGCGACCTCGTCGAGGACTCAGCACGGAAATTGGATACGCCAATTCCTAGGACCACTCACGGTGTCCCACCGGCTCAAAACGATGGCAACAATGAAGAGATTGGCGAGTTGCGACGACAAGTGGGCCGTTTCGTGGTACACACCCAGCAGACTTTCGATTCGCACTTGATGCTGTTCCGCATGGGTCTCCTGGTCACGGTCGCCACGTCAGTCATGGCCTCACTCAAACTTAGCGGGCTGCTAAGCAGGTTCAACCACGTCGATGACATTCCATTGTGGCAATTTGCACGACGAAAGAAGCTGCGTGTCCGGATGGTTCGCCAGTCACGTCAGGACGCCAGCGTCATGTACGTGTACCACACACCACTTCTACAACGCACTGTACTACAAGACGTGCTACCATCAAGATTACACACTGAAGATCATGGGAGAAAGAAAAAGGAAGAGGAAACGAAAAGCGACTTGATTGCGATCCGACCATTCGGCGTCCGTGTGGACGAGAGCTCGGTCGAGTGGATTGATTCGAACTTCGTGTCATCGCATCAGTACATGACGATTCAATTGTTACAGCGGTGAAGTTCTGTGTATTGTGTCGTGTGATACGAAGGTGTTGTTGTACTCACGTTGTTCGTTACGGATACTGACTGGATCATGCTCGAAGGCATGTGGAAAGCAGCGGGAGCCTAGCGATCTGCAACATCGCGCTGCGAAGGGTTTGTTCCGATTCTTGTGTTTTTGTTCATCTAACCTGGTCAGTGAGCGCCTCAATAACTGACTTCTTGTTTCAATTTAGCCACTACGAAACAGAGACTTTGCTCAAGAGCTGGTATCTCACGGATACGCGGAGTGTATTCCAGAGGATCTGGAGAAATACGACAATGGATCGTATGTGACGAACGTTGCCTAGCATAATAATGCCTGTCAGCAACTAACTGCTCACTTTTTATCATTTGCATCTAGACACAGTGCAAATTTGTCACCACTTGCTAAGCGCCTCAAGGATCTCAAGGCGGCTCAGAAACGGGCTCAGATCATGCAGTACGGCATCTGGAACGACTGGCAAGCAGACAAGCTCACGGACCGCGTCTTTTCAGTAGCGCGACGAACTACCATCAAGGGATTCCAAAACGTCGTCGACCGTATTCGACATTAACAAAGGAAAGAATCACATTCATTACCGGCGGTCGGATCGTCAGTAGAGACAAAAAAGAATCACGCATCGACCGTCTGCCGCGGTTCTTCAACGCGCGGTCACGTCTTTTACCCGTAACAACGAATGGGGACGTCGCACCCCTTGTCGGCACATTGACCTCCTTTTTCCAGATACTTTTGGTGGTAATCCTCGGCCGCCCAAAAAGGCTTGGCCGCTTCAATCTCCGTCACGATAGGCTTCGACAGCGTCTTTTGGTGCTCTTCTCTCGAGGCCGAAGCAGCTTTTCGCTGCTCCTCAGTATGGTAATAAATGCCCGAACGGTACTGCGTACCTTGGTCGTTTTTCTGGCGATTCAGCGACGTGGGGTCGTGAATGGACCAGAACTTCGACAGCAGCGCGTCGTACGACAACTTGCTGTCGTCAAACACGATCTTAACGGCTTCAGCGTGCTTCGTCTCTCCTGAGCACACCTGGGTATACGTGGGGTGATCCACGGTACCCTGCGTGTACCCAACCGAAGTCTCCAGCACACCAGGAATGCGGTCGAACGCCAGTTGGACACTCCAGAAACAGCCAGCAGCAAATGTCGCAACGTTCTGTGGTTGACTGGCGTCACAAGTGTCGGTCGTCATGGCGAAGGCGCGAGTTGAGGACTGAACTTGGGCGCTACGACGAGAACTGGCGATGAAATGAGGGATGACGCAGCATCGACGGAACATCTTTGGGACGATGTCTGCTAGAAATTGAGCCAATCGAAGTAAAGCGCGATAGCTGCAATTTCCGAGGAGTCTGTCCCAGTCCTAGTTTTGGCCCACCCATTACTTTTCCTTTTAGAAGAAGAATTCCCGCGACAAGCACCTGTCCCAATGAAGTGGGACCTTTCCCAACATCTACTTTTCCCAATAGACGAACCTTTCCCGAATGGAGTGTAAGCACCGCCCGATCTCGTGCGCGGCTGAGCTACAATACACCAGATAGTAAACAGGGCGGAAAGCACACGTTCTACCATTGCTGCGCCAACTTTAGGGAACGACCGAGCTTTCGCTGAGGCCAATGTCTCGAAACTTGCTACAACGACGCATAGTTTCTTCAAGACTGATTTTCGAATGCAAACAAGATGCGTGTGATGGCAAGCTGTAGCAGCAGCGGTAGGAAACATGTACGACTGTGGTGACTAAGACCGTACTATACTGCGACCTTGTCCTACAACCATTCAGGCACCGGCCACTACTACATCGATGCCAATCCTCGCATCCAAGGCATGCGTAGCTGGTATTTACAGTTTTGAGCGACACGGCGAATCCACTAAAGTCCATGATGCCCGCCCTTATCGATAATCTGAGGTAGATCGCCTGAACGTTCGACACAATCGGAAAGAAGTCAAGATAGACTTCCAGATTGGTTTATTTTAGTCATCCGTTATCTGTTTGACTGCCAGCACTTGAAATACCAAAGAACCCACGCATGAGATAACCGCGAGAGCCACGGACCTGCTGTAGGGATTTTTGATTAATTAAATCTACAGATAGCACGTTGTGATGCAAACAGCATCGCGAGTGTGGTGTACTTTAGTTCAGATACACCCAATATCCGGAGACACTTGTACCACATTTGGGAAAGGTACCAATACTTAGCAATCAGGCTGGCGAAGGTGCGCGTACTGGGAAAAGGCTCTGTATCGGAGAAGTCATACGACATCTGCAATTTACTTGGTGCGCATCCTTATTTGTCGTGATTTACGCTTAAAAGTATGGCCTCATTTGTAAAAAGGAGAGACGTGGAATTGCCGGATTAAAGGAAAAGTAAGAGTACTGCAAAATAAAACGTCTCACGAAAAAGCTACGTGTATCCTTCATGCGAAGTGCAGGTGGAAAAGACTCTCCGAAAACTTGCACACTCCTTCTGAGTGACTTGCACACAAAGAATTACTTGATGTGGCAATCTGCTTTGCTTGTCCAATTTAGCATCTATGCTTGAAGCACTGCAAGACCGATGATAAATTACGGTGTCAGCGTTTTTTCGCAGCGAGACGTTATTGACTGTGCTTGGGGTAATCGGCCAGCAGTGCATCGATCCACGTTTTGGAGCCATTTCGATTTGCACAATGCGAAGGATATTGCAGCTTTTGTCCAGTTGGATAAGCCGCAAGTCGTTCTTAGCCAAGCTAGAATGTGCCATCGATCGGCATTTGACACTGAAGCGGATGACCTCAGACGTGACAACAAGATCGACCTTGAGGTACAACGATACCAATGCCACTTGCTCTACAAGTACCTACCTGTATTAGAAATAGACCCTGCAATTGCAACATACAGTCATCGTACGTTAATTGCTCAACTATAATCAGCATGTCAGTTGCACGTACAACAGTGGTAGGTGGAGTGCTCGATAAGGTCTAAGTGAGCCGTATGTAGTCGATTCAGAAACGAACCTACAGCATCGACAGACCCTTTTAGAATCAGCATCAAATATAAAGATAATCATCTTCATTACATATTAGTAAATAGAAAGTTTAGAAACAGACTCACCCCATTGCACCATCGCGCGGAATATGCTGGCTACGCAAAAAATACTGTTGGAGTGTCTTTATATCACATAGATAGAATCTCCTATCTATGTGATATAATTCAATCCAATCGGATCTGATCTAGAAAAGCTCCTGCTGTGTATCCCAACTCGTGTCTCACTTGCATCTAGACCCTTTCCAAGCTCAGTCCAGTTCCACATCGAACCGACTACTTTCGAAGCGGCATACACCCAACCGCTTGCGTTACCGCTCCTACCGCCGAATACCCGACCGACACGGCACAAACAGTGCAGACCACCATTGACGCCATACGACTGCCGCCGTTGCCCTTGTCTCCTCTGCGAAGCTGTAGTAGCTCCACCACCCCGGCCAAGCCGTGCACCGACTTGCATGCACTCACGCACTGGGACCTGGATGCTGTCATTCGGACACACGAACAGAACTTTGAAAAGCCATTGCAGAAGCAGCTCCTGCTCCATGCGCAGACTGTCAGACACGGATGTTCCAGTGAGCTAAAGGTCATGGTTCATGCGGATTTGTCGCTGCACTACGTTCTGGAGGATTTGCTAGCCGCCATGGGTGTCCATGGACTCTTCAATGACATTACGGTAACAAGCACGTGGTTGGAGACCCAGACCGTGTATGGATCGCGGAAGATACTCCCGAGTTGTGCAAGCCCAAGTTCGTCGTCGAGTTTAAAACCCCGTGGGCGTTTCGGTTCGAGGACTTGTTGACGCATTGGGATCAGCACAAGAACAATGACGGCGACAAGGTTGTCAAGGCGATATCGGAGTTGTATGGGTACATGACCTTCAACGTTTTGCGATACGGCGCCCTCACCACATCCACAAAGACCTTGTTTTTCAAGAGAATATACAAACAAGCGGGGAGCGGTATGCTCGAAGTTGCCGGACATTAGGACGTGCAAGATAGCGCTGCACTGTTGACAGCATACCTCGCAGTTCTACTGGAAGTCGACGAGGATTGGCTTTACGTGTCGCCATCTGCTATCCCGTCACGACCCAGTAGAGGTCAGCTTCAAGCACGGCAGCTTGGTCTTGGAGCTACTGTTGACATCACGACCATCAGTTTGGACAAGGCAGGGCTTGGCTGTGTGGTGGAAGGAACCTTCGAAGGAGAGGCGGTGGTCATGTAGGTCGTCGATGGAACGAAGCATATCGACTTGGTCGCAGAACTGATGCACGAGGCCGAACAATATGAGTTGATGAGCGACTTGGACTGTATTCCCCGACTGAAAGGTCTGGCGGAAGTGTGGAACATGCTTTTACTTCTGATCATGGAGTCTGCCGGCTGCTCTCTTGAAGAGGCAATACTGGAAGAGCAACAACGAGCATCGAGAAAGCTCCCGTCCTTGTGGGGTGGTGTAGGTGTCCGACATGGAGCAATGAAAGCCCTCAAGACCATGCACGCCAAGGGATTGGTCCATGGCGACATGAAGCTGGATAACATTATGTTTGATATCGGTACCGGCCAGGTCAAGTTGATTGACTTTGGCCTGACTAAGCTAGAGGGAAGAGCCAAGCAGAGGAGAGAGGTAGAGTGTCTGAACGAACTGTTGCTGGAAGCTGAGAAACGTGCCGCCAAACAGGTGGCTGAGTATAAAGGGGCAACCTTTGTTTGGGGTACCTCGAAACTTCACGTACACTAGTACGTGCAGGGGAAGCTAATTTACTTAACGACTCGTCTAAGTAAGGGTAAAAAGAGAACTGTATTTAATATAGTTAAATTCAGTTCTCTTTTATATACTTAAGCTATCAGTATAACTTTAATCTTTATCTAACTATGTTAAACTACGCCGTCGTATGACGACAACCCGCTCACCACTCATTGCGCGCGTCTAGCAGCGATTGGTGGCAATCTATGGTTGATGTGTCTTATATCAACCAATCTTGGAGCAGCGCATGAATATCATCCAGAAGGGGATTTCATTCCTTCAATATTATCCATCTCGAATAATTTTGGTAGAATATTGTCATGCTAGACAATATTCCTATTGACACCGTTTGGTATCAATTTCATGTTACGGGCTACCCCGTAACACTGAGGGTTAGCAGCGTGCCTGACGGTAGCCGAGTGTTGGTGGACCTTGTCATACCACAATATGCCGTGCTGGACAGCACTTGAGAGATTTATGCCGCTTTCCTTTAGATCACCCTGGGATGAACTGCGAGTAGTCTGACTCAGTTTGAACTCCTTACAGTTCTCGCACCCCTCATCACACTATTGAGCTTTTCGGCCAGTAGAGCCTTCAGCCCACCCAACTATCACACGCCTTGCGCGGGTTGGCAGGGCGGCCACTTCTGCGTGGTTGCTCGTCTACTATATCGGCCTATCTCCGGCGCCCTGTAATCAAACCCCCACCGAATATCGATCCAGGTACCTCCCGGTCCCAGATCCAGTGGTCCAGCACTCGGCCACTGGGGTCGGTGGACAGCACTTGAGCTATATCAGCTTATGAACCGAACTCAGGATAAAGAAACTGCGGACGCCCCTATCGTCAAAATCGAAATGCATCTGCGCAACGGCCTGTTGTATGATGGTCTTGATCAGAAATACATTCCGAAGGAATGTGCGTCTTGATCTGTGAGTCAAAGATTTTCGATAAACGCATATAACTCGTTCGGATTCTGCCAGGCGCGGGATATTAATGCGTTCATCTCTTATCGAGCTCACTCGAAGTCACGTCATTCCTAGCTGCAGCTTGACACACACTCCAAGTAGTTGTATTGTGATGAGCGTTTGGAAGTCAAACGGACACACCCGGTAAGCAATTGACAGATGGCCGGTACAATACGAGCATTCATCAAGCTGGCAACACCATAATGACTAACGTGGGCACTCGAGTCCGTTCGTGTATATTGAACTTGCGACTCGTCAGTGCAATCGCATCAAGTCACAGCTTTAATGAGCGCTGACTGTGGTTCCCTTTTCTTTTGCGGCATGATACTTGCGGCTCTCCTCAAAGTACCCATTGGGATGGTTAATGAGGACGTCGGGGTCACTGCCGGGATGAGTAGCTTCAAAGTACTTCTTGCACGCAATCTGGTAGTGATGATTCTCTGCCAGCGACATGATCTCTCGCTTGTCTCCTTCTGGCACTCCTTGCAGCGCCTTGCGAAGATGCTCTTGCTCAAAATGACGGAACGGACAACCGTGAATGTCGCCGGTTTTTGGTGGATCGCCAGTAATGATGCGCATGCAGTTGGAAGGCGCGTAGTCCTTGCGTCTACCTTCCTTACCGTAGTTGTGGCGTATGTTGTACGCATACTTCTTGTTAAAGTCATCCACTGACATCTTCTTGCAGAACTCTTGCTTCCAGTACGCGATGGCATCATCGAGCTGAAGACCGATACCCTTCAGAAACAGCCCGTACTGCTGTCGTCCAGCGAACTTCAAATGGTGGTTCAGCTTGAGTCCTTTGTGAAGTGAACGCATGCAGAGGGGCATTGATGTAGATGCAAGGGCATCAATCATATCGAGTCGAATAGCATTCTCCGAGCCGAAGACAGGGGTCGAAGAGAAGTCAGCATCAATGTGGTGCTTTGCCAAGTTCGTCAACACTGGAGCGAGGCGGCCGTCCTTGCTTATCAACGAGCGATTGTATTTGCGAAAAGCGCCCGACAGTTCCTTTGACAGCTACAGGGATACACGATTACGTAAGGCCGCCAAACGAACAACAACGGCTAGTAGATCCACCAGCAAAGCTTGACGTACATTAGCACGAAAAGCAGCAAACAGAATCGACACGACGTGCTCAAACGGCACATAAGCTGTGCCAGCTTCGATGTAGACTCGTCGAGTACCAACCAGGTCCAATGCCTCTGTAAACGGAACTTTAAAGTACGCTGGTAGGGCTTGACCGCGGACTTTCGGGTCGTTTGCATCTCGCACAGCCTTCAGCTTGTTCAATTTTGCTTCAACCTCCTGTATCGTCGCCTGGATTTACAACGTTCACTTACAATGTCACAAACTACTTTTTGCGGCATCATCCACAGAACTACCAAGTACAAGTTAGAGGTTCATCTGCCCACCTCTTCATAAGCCAATCCATTCTGCTTCATGAACAGAATCTTTTCGTCCCTCGACAATTTGTCGAGGCGGTACCTGCCACGACAGGCCCAAAAAATACAAGCATACACCGGATCTACTTTCACTCCTTTTTAAAAAGCACTTTTTACATGATACCCCCTTACCGGAATAATGTACTCTCCTGCGTCAAGAACCACCGCCGGAGCTCTTCCGTTTGGCAGAACGCCATGCGCAGAAAAAAGTGCGACAGTATGTCCTTGACCGCATCGTCTTCTGCTTGTCCTGATCGTCGAGAGCCAGCGGAACGCAGTGGCATGTGCTTGTTCAGCGTCTTGTCCAGCCTCCCCTCGCGGTCTTTCATCTGCACACTACGCAGTCGGAAGTTCTCGACGGCCTTAAGTACGTGCAACCGATCGATCGCAAACTCTTCAAACTGCTCGAGTGATACTTCGACCCGCGGTGCCTCGTTGTACATCGACAACATGGACAGTCCATGACGAGGGACGTGCTCGCGACGTCGACTGATGCTGACGTTCTGCATAAAAAAAAAGCTTTTTTCAAATGACAATCAATTGTACCGTGTGCATCGGACAGTCGTTAAGTTCGCACTTGTGACTGTACCCCCGTTGTGGTCCACGTCAAAACCCGATCGGCATATCGAAGTGACTGACCATCATTCTTTCGCTCCCGTCGTCAGACGCGCGTTTTTGTCAGACATAACAAGTGCAACGTCTATGGCTACGTAGCACAATGTGGGTACACCTACGAAAGGTCGTACACGTCTAGGAGCGGCATCATACGATGTAGCACGTGTCACAGGTAACGCCTGGATTCGTAACTCTGGTTGTCGACGACGAGACGACTCGCTATGTATTGCAAGTGACGCGTGTAAGCAAACGCATGGACTGTGGTGTCTCGCTCGTCGAACACGTCGAGTACGGGTGACAGCTTTTTCGCGACAGTGCACTGTATTGTGCCTACTATAAAGCGAATGTTTGTCAACTAACTCGAGACTTTGACGTGCGAGAAGCCCGTGTACAACGACGTGTACCGTTATTTTGTGGGCTCCGAAACGGTCACTCATGCTTCTAGCAATTCGACATAAGATACCTGTGAAGTACATGTGGACTTTCTAGCGCTCGGGATGAGCGTGTTTACCCTTGGCAGGCCGTAAGCGTTTCTTAAACTGTGGTTGTCAGATGTGATGAGACATGAGAGTATAACGCGAGTAAGCACGACAAGTAGCTAGATTGTGTCGGCATGCGCTACGATGCAGGTAGGTATATCCGTATGCAAGGTATGCGGATGGGCATGGTTGCATGAAGAGACTGGCGTGTACGTTGTAAATCAGGTGAAAGCGTGCTTGACGCAGGATGCAGTCATTTCGCATGCATCAACACGAGATACAATGCTGTTTTCCGATTGTGGACAGGTTAGAGTCACGCTATTGCACAGAGCACCTTCCAGGCCGTGACGTATGATGTGCTGGAAGTCCAAGACGGTATGATTAGTACGAAGCGCAGTCAGACTCCGGCAATGGTCAATAGAACGGTCCTTACTAACGAAATTGACAAACGGTCAGTGGAATGCCGACTCACACACATTGCCAAATTCAGTACCGAGATTGGTAAGTATTTCAAGCAAATGCTGGCCACTGGAGTGAAAGCATCTAGCAAGAAACTGAAGCATGTTGCCCAAAATGGCTGAAGTAATTGCTCAAGAACCCATAGCTGACTGGTTGAGGCCGCATCCGAGTTATAGCGGCTTTCTGCCCACTCAGGACCGTGATGAAGAAACCACGTTGCAAAATTGTGCAGGTGGCTGCAGTATCCCAAATCCATGAAGACGTTCACGAGAACATGCACATGGTGGCTGGCGCAGCAGTGTATAAACAAAATGGCAATTCGTTGCACTTGAGCGATCAATCGAGGGCGGAGGCTATCAATACTAAAAGGATGTGGAATACCCTAACACACGATATGGACGTGAGATTAAAGCGGTCGTGACAAGAGCATCACTCTCTACAGACAAGACTCACTGTAGTTACAGGCGGGCGAAGCTTTTTCGCGTAAAAGATTGTAAATGTAAGTGGCGGTGCTGTATAATCGGAGGGTAGTATGTATCCCGTTATACTCACCTGATGAGCTGCTAGGTTTCTCAATTGCACGACTCGTCAATACTCCTCAACCAAGACAGCTTCGCAGCATCTACAATGTACGCGCCGCAGAAAAGCGCGATGTCATGGTACGATCGACGGCGTTTTCACTCCGTCATTGTACATCACGTCTCTCAAGCGGAAACAATATGGATGCAATCCGAAGATGTAAAGCAATTCGGCCTAATGTCGTGCAAACACATGCCGGATAAGCTAGAGATGAGTAAACGTGGATTTGTGTCACAGCTACTGTCGTGATGTTGAAAAGCCGCGTGTTTTGCCTAGAGCGGTAAAAAAAAGTGGCGAGACGATACATCGCTCACAAACAACAACATTTATCGTCAAGTTGAAGCACAAGACGTGGCAAAAACCACAGTCAAGCGTTGGTCCACGCATTGTGGCCGGACTTTCCGACAACTTTCATTACGACGAGCCAAATTAGCTGTCCTCATTTTTACGACAACGCGTCCAATGCGCGGAACACGTATGTCGCTTGTCCACCACCTGTTCGCGAGCGACTGTCCTCGTATCTCATTGGTCAAAACAAATCCAAACTTCTCTCGCCCTCTCACGATACTAAAACCGAGTGTATCCTTGAAGTCCGTCCACATTCGTCGAACATAGCGTTCACAATTCATTTCGCTTCTTAGCTGACAAGTCGAGCCACGAGAAGGTCTCGTTCCTTGTCATGCGTGTTATGAACTGGATCGTGCTGTTGGCGGCAGTGCTGGCCACGTTCATCTACATTGCCGATGCCGACGCTCCAGTCAAAGCATCGACGACCGTGAATACGCAGCAGGTGAAGGACAGTACCGAGGAAGAGGTGGTGACCGTACAGAAGCTGGAAAAGGAGATTGAAACGCTGACAGAGATCGTCAAGGAACTCAAGACGGACGTTCTCAAGGAGAAGAAGGCACACAAAAAGACCAAGCTCGAGCTGAAGGCGGTCACAGGCGAGCTCAATGAAGTGAGAGAGCGCTTGGACGCCCGTGAGGAGGATGTCACTAAACTGAGGGAGACGTTGTCGACGGAACAAGCTCATTTTACTGCTGAGCTTGATGCTGCGTTGCAGAAATTGGCAGACGAGACAAACAAGGCTCAGCAGCTGGAAAGGACGTACGAGCTCATGGAGAAGAAGAACAAGGCGATGGGACAAGAACTGGGTGTAGCCAAGACTGCCGAGCTCACGATGATGGCGTTGCTGTCTTCGTATTACGACGACGCGCGGGTTCTGACCGAGCAGACGCTCGGGTTTGCTCAGGATAAGCTCAGCGAACACACAGACACGTTGGAACGAGTGCAGAGCGAGTTTGACAATGTCAAGAAGGTCACGCGTGACACGACGAGCAAGTTTTACCAGGAGAATGTGGCGCCGACGTTAAACCCGATTTTGGATCCAATTTTGGCCGATGTGCACAAGGTCGTGAGCCCGCAAATGGAAAAGTTCGTGCCGATTCTGCAGAAAGTAGCAGCGAAAGCAAAGAGGCAGACACTGGTGTACTCGCGTGAGGCACTGCGTCAGGCGAAGCGGGCGCGGGTGGAGGCGATCACAATATTGGAGCAAAACAACTATGTGGCAGCGTATGCACAGAAAGTGGTAGACAGTGTGCTGGTCATTCTTGCTGTACCGCTGGCGCTGTTTTGGACACGCTTGGTGTTCCGTCTGGTGTGGTGGCTCTTTACAACGACGGTGTGTGTGCTGAAGTGTGGCTTGTGCTGTGGTTCACGTAAGCGTAGCTCAACGGCGAAGTCTGAGCTCGCGAAGAAGACAATTGGCGTCGATGCTGGCCCGAATGCACCTAACAGCGGTTCGAGAAAGACCGTCACCAACAAGACCATGTTGAACACCCCGAAGCGCAACAAAAAGAGCAAGAACTGAGAGACTGCATGTGGCAGTGGAGTGATGCCTTTGTTGGAACAGAGGTCGGTAGTATGGTGTGTCGAGAACAAGACCAATGGTAGTCTTTAGCGAATAATGCTAGCAAATACGAGCCGTAGATAAGCGATCTACGGCAGGTGTGCGGTGATGTAGTTTTTCGGTTGTTTAGTCTTTTTGCCACCCGCAACTTGTCAACAGCTGTACTTAATGTGTAGCAACAATGATGTCAAAAGACGACAACTATGAACGAGTTGGCTTTAGTGCCGTTTCTAAACCGTTCTTGTTGATATTATACGTGCATTTCGCGGTGCATGCAAACACTCCACCTTAATGCTGCTCATTAGTCGACACGACACGACTCGCTCGTAAAAAGCTTCCTTCTTTAAACTAATATACTAATGGCTCATTGTCGACTTCCAAACATACTACGAAGGTATGGCCACTGTTGCACAAGATCCATGATAAGGGGCTACGGCCGTAGCAGAGTGAGGAAGGGGGGTGCTACAACCCCCCAAACAATCCCTATTTATCGTAATTGTAAGTAGGTATATCACACCCCACACTCAGGTATGCTGGGACCACCAGTACAAGCCCATATTCGTCTCTCGAGGAATCTAAAGCTGCTGTCGCTGCACGCGTGAGCCTGCTACATGACGCGATGAGATGTTTGGATCGAATGATCTCCACCGTCACGATCTACGTTCCGAAAACGATTGTCACTGAGAAAAGTTGTGTTGATAGCACCGATTCTTCTCGTTACCGTAGACGTGTTACTTGCGGCTGTAGCAGTGTTCTGGATCTGGATCATGTGTGTACGTGTTGTGTCCACTGAATGCATCTGATGTGGAGATCCAAGTCGTGAAGGTGAAAGCTCCGAGAAGCCATTTCCAGCATCGAATTGTGCGCTATCACTGCACCTGGGGTGAAAGAGGCGACACTGAACGACGGACTTTCGTTCAAGTGTATGGAGAAATTGTTTTTTGTTCCGAAAGATATCTTTCGCTGTCTTTCGAGTGTCTGTTAGAGACTGTAACACGTTTTGATAGCACTTTGATCCGGTCGATTTTGCAGCTGAATCGCACACGGCAACAGCACGACTGAATTCCAAAAAGAATAAAAATCGGAGCTCACAAAGGTGCTTGTGACGAGCTTGTGACACGTGCTGCCGTGCAGCGTATATGCAAGGCAGGATATGGTAACAAATGTGCAGTAAGGGGTATGGAAACTCGTGTGCGGTACTAGTGATGAGATGACAGTATCATGGTACAGAGTTGGATCATGGGTTTGGTGTCTTGCAAAAGCGGTGGCTCGATTGTGGTGGGACGCACGGAGATCCGGCCTGCGTATACACAGTTGATGCGGTGTATACCCAGGCTGGGTCTCCGAATTTTTCAAAGTGCTGTAGAAATAGCTTATTTTCCGGTTGCCACGGACTTTTCGTCCGCTGCTGATTCGGTATGCCCATGCCATAGGCTAACAAAAATACATCTAAATTTATAACAAGCAAGTCAAGACCTCACTGCAAATAGTCTGCGCAGGATTCTGTCTTGGAGTGATAAAAATGTCGATGACTGGCTTGAGTCGTCACCGACACATTTGTACATGAGTTCAGCAATCGGAAGCTTCATTAGCTTTCAGTTGTTGAACTCGTGCTTGACGGTCTCGTGTTTGGGTACACAGTAGCTAAGCCACCAGCAAAATCCCATGGAGTAGAAATCGGCCCTCGAGCAGTCGCCAACCTATGTTACAGGACGAGCTGATGTCATCGCATTCGTGGTAATTCGTTCTGAGCGGGTACCTTCTATTGCCGCAAATCCATCACAATGCCAGCAATGACCTCATCGACCCACGACACCCGCAAACGCTCCATAAGCTTTGCCATGATCTGAGCATATCACGATGTCGACACTCGGCAACTTCGTGAAATAGAATAGAAGATCATTTACCGTTGGGGTGAGGTCTCGTTGCTCTCCGTATGTTACTTCAGTAGGCTGTCGAAAAATGACAATTGACACGGCGCTGAATCGAACGTTTAACTGGGGGTCTAAATAAACTACTGATGCATATTTCTCACCTAGGATCCTTGATCCGCAATATGCAGACCATCCGTCGTTCGTCACGAACAAATGGCCGTGGGTCGTGCGTCTGTCAAGCGTCAAACATCGCGTTGGTATTTGAAAAGAACCGTAAGCTGAAATTGGTGCACATAGTTGTGTATACAATGTAACAAGGCATTCTTTGTCTGGGTGCCACGAAACTTCACGTACACTAGTACGTGCAGAGGAAGCTAGTCTACTCAATGATTATGCTGAGTAAAGGGTAAAAAGAGAACTTCATTTATTATAGTTAGGCTATTGATATAACCTCAATCTTTATCGAACTATGTCAAACTACGTCGTCGTATGACGACAACCTGCTCACCACTCATTGCGCGCGTCTAGCTGCGATTTATGGCAATCTATGGTTGATATGTCTTATATCAACCAATCTTGGATCAGCGCATGAATTTCATTGAATGGGATAATATTGAAGGAATATTGTCATGCTAGACAATCTCCCTATTGACACCGTTTGGTGTCAATAAAATATAACGGTCTACCCCGTTACATCGCCCTCCCTAACCATCAATCACCCGTTGATTGGATTAAATTCATTGGGACAGGGTGACCACCGTTGTATTACTCTGGGAAAGGGAGCACTTGATGGTCAAATATTATTCATTTGCCAATCTAACGCATGGTTTCTTAAATTACGCGAGCTGCTACTGCAGCAGCAAGAAGGGCGGCTGCACGCATGCGTGCGGCCGCGGAAATTGCCTCTCACACCTCAACAGCAGGTGATTCGTCGCCTGTTGTTGTAAATCGTCCACGTGGTGAGTCACCACGTGCGACAGGTACATCCGCTGCGTCTGCAGCGGGTTCCATGAGTCGTAATCAAGATGAGTCTGAAATAGAGCTCATGTATTCTGGCGAGTCGGATGATGTATCCGACTCGAAGGTGACACCTCGCGCCTCCGGATCACCCGGGGCGGATACTGCAAGAGCCAGGTTGACTGGCTCTGGTCAACATGGCGGTATCATGTCCGAGATATTCGTATCGAGCGATTGTTCCAACGAATCTCTGCCTAAAGCAAGTCCATCCAACGATAGGAAGCGTGGTGATGGTGGTGATGCCTCTGAGCATCACTACGAGCGAAGTAACTCGAGGTTTCGAGGTGTCACTGGTGTCAGTGCTCATGCTGACACCACTCAAGAGTCCAGGGACCGAAACGTCGTGCTCCAAGCTTCTCAAATGGAATCTTTGTGGATGCCACCACCCAAGGAGTTAGATTGAGTGGCCGGCATGACTACCGAGCGGGATCGAATCCCGTTGTTCAATTGCAGGAAGATTTGCCCACCTGATTCCAGAACGGAAACTATCTGTGCTGAGGAAGGTTTTTACACCGACGTGTTCTTCAACCATCGGTGGTACAATGGCAGCCGTATTCAAGACGGCAAAGCTTTGGTGCAGGGATGGAATGCCCTTATCCATTAAATCGAGTGCATTGGCCGTGAGGCCTGGATCGGTAAACATGATGCAGATTGCATCAGGTTTGAGAAGCGCAACCCAGTCGGGGTGCAGTACAAGTTTCAACGGCTGTCAAGAGAGGCAGAATTGCCCTGTCTCTCCTGGGGTGATTCGTGTCCAGGTTGCCTGCACAGCTCAGCCGTGCCTCTAGGGAGGCCTAACTCCGTCATGATCTCTACAATATGGCGCGCATCTCTTCTATAATGGCCGAAGGGATTGATACCTTGCAATTCCTGTACTCGCGTTCGGGGAGGTCATTTTCCGACGGCCCTTCTTCGAACGCAGCGGGTGGGTCTCGTCATGTTTCTCGACGAGACCCGGAACATCAACAATAAGCTGGGCACGAGGCTGCCAGCTGTCCCAGGCTGGTGGATACCCACGCCAGCGGACGAGGTAACTCGTCCGGACGCCATTCATGTCGCGGTGGTTTAAAATACGCTCCACTAGGAAGAGTTAAACATCTCCAGAATCCACCAAAGGATGTGGTGGCGGTGGGAACACCTGATCCGGATCGAGGGTAGGATCAACTTGGTGTTCAAGAGCTGAACCGTGTAACGAAACAGTTGCAAGATGACGTGGCTCATGAACGGACTCGGCGTTACGAGCTTCATGACCTTGTATTCGATAATTACAACTCCTTGTCGCAGGATCGTTCGGACGATCGTGCCGCTTTGCGTTCGCACAACTTGAGAACGAGCGTTCGATTCGTTCTCTTCGCGACGAGCTGGCTGCAGCTTGTCGAGACATCGCTAAACTGTTTGAGCAGGTCGCTTCGCTAGTCGACCAGACTGACTTGTTGAAACGGGACCACTCGAAGGTGGTCTCGGCTCTCGACCGCGGAGGTGTTCTTCACATCTCGAAACGGGCTCGTACTGATAGCACGGGCGCAGACGTCCAATGTAAAACGTAGGATGCGTACGCATCTTACGGGGCAGTTCAATCGTGTATGCGTTGCCAATTTGGCGCAACACACGAAATGGACCGATGTACCTGGGCAGTAATTTACTGCTGCCCACGTTTGTCACTGCGGGTTTCGGTATTTTACTGTGGACAGTAAAAGTAAATCTCCTTCACTAAAGTAAAAATCGTTTTGCTCTTCCATGTTTGCCTGCATTTCTCTTCTGTCTGTCTAGTGTATCTGCAATAGAGTCTTGAATGAAGCGGACAACCGCTTCTCGAGTCAGCAGAAATTTCTCTGCTGATTTATCCATGTTAACAGGAGCGCGCTTAGTGTGCACTGCTGAAATAACGTTGTCTTCATTAAAGAGGGCTTCATCGTCCTCACTGTGGCAGTCATTGGCGATGCTGAATATACCAGCATCGTCGTCATCATCATCATCATTATCGATTTCGATTGCATCGACATCGGCATCCTTCACGTCGACACCAATGTCGACGGGTGACGAGAAAGAACCAGATCGGTTTTCATTCGAGCGAGTCCACCACCCCTTGTACTGAAGTCACACTCTAAGAAGGCGGGTAAAAGTGGATGGCGTAGGCCGTTCATGAAGAACGGTGTATGCGTTGTCGACGCATGCACCGAGTTGTTGATGGCAAATTCCGCCATCGGCAAGACTCATTCCAACTCGTAAACGAGTGGACATACCCTCGAAGTATCTCTTCGAGAGCACGGTTGACGCGTTTCGTTTGATCATCTGTTTTGGGTTGGTCAGAGTCGACATCGTCAAACGTGTTTCAAGTGAACGGAACACGGATTGCCAGAACTTTGCTGTGAAGCGGGGGTCCCTATCAGTAACGAGTTCACGAGTTGGCCCGTGAAGTCGGAAGATAGTATCGATGAAGGCACGAGCATATCCCTGGGCTGTTTTTGACTCACGTACAGCAACAAGATGTACCATTTTTCTGAACTGATCAACAAGCACAAGAATGCCAGTATTCTTGTGAACGTCTTTGGGAAACCCAAAGACGAAGTCCATCGATACGGACTAATAATTCTCTGCCGGAATGGGGAGAGGATGCAAGGGTGCGCGGGATGAAGGACTAGGCTTTAACCGATGACAAACTTCGCAAGCGCGAATGTATTTCCGCACAAACTAATACTGGCGGGTCCAGTAGAAGTCACGACTAACGGTGAGGTAAGTCTTTTCTCTACCGCGATGCCCACTTGTGGGGGCATCGTGACACTCATGCATGATGCGCAATCGCAAATCATTATGAGCCGGAACGAAGACACGAGTTGTGTCGCTGTTGACTGCTGTATAGTAAAGCAGTCCATCACGGACAGAATCCCGTTCGGTTAAAGAGCGGTTTTGAGACGACAAGCTGTTTAAAGCTCACCTGCATGGATAGGCTACATAATCCATCAGCCGCAGAAGAGACTCAACTTCTGTGTATGCTTTTCGCACATCGTCGAGCAGATTCGACGACGGAACACTCACTGTTAGTGTCGCTACAGTGGGATCACCCCTTCTGTTGTGTTAAGCAGTCGGCTCAAAATCGGGCCGACGCGAAAGAGCACCAGCGACGACATTAAGTAGTCCTGGTTTATACTTGACGGAGAAGTTGTACTCCGCGAAGAAAGACGGCCACCTCTCCATTTGTTGCGAGATGTGTGGACTGATTACGGCCGTGAGTAATGACGCATGGTCGGTATAAACGATGAAGGGCCTATCTCTAAGAGATATACCCGAAACTTAGCCAGTACATATTTCATGGCAAAGAGATCCTTGTCAAGCACTGGGTAGTTCCGCTGAGCTGCTTGCAGCTGACGCGATTGATAACCGACGACGCGCTCAACGCCGTCTGAGTCGTACTACATTAACGCGCAGCCGATCACAAAATCGCTGGCGTCACAGACCACATGGAGTGGTATGTCCTGCTTCATAAAATCACACACTAACTAGTCACTACTAGTTGAACAAGAGCAAGCGCCTTCAGAAGGCTATCACTCTTACAACATACTATGTCTTGACGAGGCACTAGTGTCCAACGATTCACAAGGGTAACTAAGCTTTGTCTATTATTTAGCTACGGTAATATACCCTGAAACCTTGTCTGACTGACTTCTACATTGCGATTCTATGACAGAAGTCTTATCCCTCAGCCCTACCCGATAAGGTGCGGTATTACCGTAAGTACGTGATACCAAGACTATACCACTCCGATCCACCGATCTTTACATAGTGTGGACACACAACATATCCAATTCAAAAAGCGCGTGCAACCAATTACAGAAAGTGAAAGATACTATGCAAAATCTGTTGAAGCGCTTTATCTATTCCCAGCGCAAATTTTTACTTACGACACCCTCTGACTTCTATCTATGCAATCTATATTATATTAAATCGAACACATGGCAATGGCATGTGTCACATAGAAATATTTGCCGTGTGCAGCCGTATTCTATTTAGATTGATTCGAATCCAAGTTTGCACGAGATCAAATTTCATTTGGTAGGTTGTAGTAAGTGCGGATGGTCACTATCGCAGTAGCCAGTTCTTCCTTCTCTTTCCTATCTGTTTGGCCCGCCAATATATACAATAGATTGCCACGAGTACATGATCGCTCACAACCATTTAGGAAAGTTCGCTTCGTCATTCAAATTATGTAATCAGCTTGCGTATGCGTTTCTAGTTCGACATCCGAGATGTTATATTCATCAAATATTGATTCTTTTAGCAGTTTTACGGGTTCTGGCAATGTTTAGCTGTCAGAAACCTCTGGTACAGATCATACTGATTCAATGAAAGACACCAAGTCCAATATACGTCGTAAAACTGCTATGTCAACAAACATTTAAAATCTCTCATAGTAATGCTTGAATGCCAAGCTACGTCAGTAGATTACAACAAAGATTCTTACCAAAACGTTTTTGTCTAGTCGGAGCGGTGAAAGACACTGTTGCGGGTTAGCACAGTTTCTTTAACAACTCAGGATCCTGATCATTTAGCAGCTCAAACAGCTCGATATGAGTATGACGGCTGGTTATTATAACACCTCTTCTGGTCAAATACATGGATGGCAGAGTATCAGTAGATCATGGTCATTCGTATACAATTTGGAAGTGCGGCTCAGCAAAAAGTCAAGATGCGCACAAGGATGTACAAGTGGATGTAATTATTTACAAAAATGTACAGCTGGATATAAACGGTTTTTATATTTTGGCGGTAGGCTGATTGACTCTCCCGGTTTGTCTGCCATGTCAGAACTTTCTAGTATGTCACATGGTATCATTTCTATGTTTGCGAAGTTGTATGGGACTGTTTGAATTAAATAATGATTGATGACAAGCGCAAGGGTTTTATCGGAACGGTATGAACAGTTCATGGTTTAAAGACGCGGAAATTTCACAACATTAATGACATATACAACTAGCTTGTAGAAATTTGGCTCGTTTACACTTTTACTCAGTCTATGGATGCCAAAGTAAAGAATGTGGGAAAAGAAATGATGCGAGAATTTCACTTCAGCCTTATGCAGATAAAACGATGAAAGATTGAATCTGAGATACATATATCGATCTGTTTAGTGTAATGGGCCACCCCGGTACATAAGTAGTTTCGATTAAGTTTACATTTTACTTAAGTAGGGGTGTTACTTTCGAAGTAGCGAAAGAAGCACGTCGTATATTTTAGCTGGTTTAATGGGCTCAGTACCATTGTTAGCCAGTAAGATATAGGCACGTAGATTGAGTGGTTACCATGAGTCCAAGGGAACCATTCTTACTCAGGACGATTAAAAGACAAAATAAAAAAACAGAGTTAAAAGTACTTCATACCTAAGACTTGGGCTTTGAGGCTTCCTCAAAGCGTAGAATAGTGTAAGCTAAGTACGAGTTGTTCTATCCCCGTTACACCTGGTAGCACTTTGTAGTCCTTCCCATGCCCGATTTTAGGATGAGCGATTCGTCGTACTTTGACGCTCCAGACGTGAGTCTGGAGCACGCGACTTTTCCCCGTCTCACTGGTGTTGAGTGGGATGCCATAAATCGCCTCGCGGCGATATCTGGAGAGGCAATCGTTGTGTCGCTGATGAAACCAGCGACTCCTGATGGACAGCGTCTCCCCATACTTGACTACGAGGCTCGCGAGATCGCCGAATCCAATCGGCGAGGTTTAACTTTCTCGCGGACTTCACGGAACATGCCGTGAAGATGGAGACCTCCTTCTACTCTGGCATAGGAAAAGAAAGCTTGTCGTTGTCGCGTTGGTTTCGAGAGGTTGACATCGCTATCGCCTCGAGACTTCTCGAGGCTCCTCAAACGAAGGACAACTTCCTCCTTTCCCGTCTCACTGGGAAGCCAAGGAGTTGGCCTTGGGTAAGCTCGTTGTGGACGAGTATGCGTTCCCCACTCTGGAAGCCATCCGGAGTGACCTTCGACTTGCCTTCGAGCCGCCACAGGTAGAAGTTGGTGCGTTCAAGGTTCCTGTACTTGCGACAGGGTGGGATGTCCATGCACTACTACGTTCAGATGGCTCGACACCTGGCGTCGTGCATTGTCACGCATACCATGGACATGTACACACAAGTGAAAGTGTTTGTCGATGGCATGCGTGAAGAGCAGACTCGCCTATCGCTGGAACGCGCGGAGCCTGCCACGTTGGAGGAGGCTTTCGCTATCGCCCTCCGTGAGGACTTCAGAGTCACCAAGGCTTATACCAAGCCTTCAGTTGTTACCGCTGTCAAATCAGCGGGTCCGGCTCCTATGGAGATTTATGCAATCGATTCGTCGGGTGACCGACGACGCGCTACGTTCTACAAGGGTGACGTCCGTAGCGGACGTCAGATGATCTGCTTTCGATGCCAAAAGCCAGGTGACCGCGCGGCTGAATGCCGCGCGCCAGCACCGATGTCGGTACACGCGACGGACACCTATCATGAGGGAGGTGCTCTAATAACTCGTCCAAAAACGGAAGAGACCAGTAGGTGCAGGGCTCCCTACCGATTTAAAGGAAGGTCCGTGTCCACCGGTGGAAGCCCGACCTCCCAATCCATCTGTGCTGCGTGCACGGTCAAATGCCACCACTGCGAGTGGTGATTCACGACTGCTTATTGTAAATTTATATGTCGCCGGTATCCGGCGACCTCTACGAGCGCTCCTGGATTCAGGAGCGACAAACAATTTTTTCCGAAATTTTTGCGTGTCAATGCTGCCACCCAGCATCCAAGTCCACGAGAGACCTGAGACCTGAACAAGTTGTTGTCAAGCTCGCTGACGGGAAACCGTGCCGCGTATCGCGGCGCGAACTGTCGTTGCCGTACACGTTTGACGGCTTTCGCAGTAACGGCAATTTCTTGGTGATTGAGATAAATTATGCATTCAATTGCATCCTGGGCATGCTATGGTTGACACGCTATAAGCCCCAGATCGACTGGTTGGCCAGATCAGGGAGACGTCGAAGCAAGTTCGACGTCAGCGAAGTGTTCACCCATCTCTTGGTGGATCTAAGCGATTGACCGAACGTTACAGTCGTGGATCGTACATCCACGACACCGGCGGTACACAGAATGAGCGATGGCCCTCTATGTACCGCTTGTTCCGTCCCATTACGCTTGAGTGATAATGTCTCCTCGCTTTGCAGCGAGGAGTCTGACGTGGACGAGCAGTGGCTCCTGCGTCATGACGACGCGGTCGAACAGAGGTTCCCGCACGAGAGATCAGTGGTCGAACACGAACAGGTGTTCCCACCTGCAACCCTTGTACTCGAGCAGAGGCTCCCACAAGGTCAAGATGTGGCCGAGCAGGGGCTCGCCACCGAGTGTGACGTGGATGGACAAGAGTTCCCACGTGCGAACATGATGGTAGAACAGAGGTTCCCATCATCGCCCACTGTGGTCAAACAGAGGTTCCCACATGAGCAAGACCTGGTCAAACAGGGGCTGCCACACGAGTTTGTGGCGGTCGGGCAGGGGCTCCCGCATCATGCGTCGACGGACAAGTATGGACTACTCCCGTCGCGCGGTTTCGACGTCCTAGATGAGGACATCCAGCGTCTAAAAGGGGGTGCAGATTTAACACCTGACTGCGGTTCGCCAGCTTTGAGCATGCACCCGAAGCACGATGGAGACGCAAGCTACGAGAACTCAGCGTTAGAATGTGTCCACGCTATTGTGTACGTGGACGGGAGTCCACAAAGGCGCCAATACATTGAGGTCGCGAGTCCACCTCGCGACGCGTCGCCGATTACGAGCCTTCCAGGACTCTCTTGGAAGCATTTTTCACGCGACCTCAAGGGAGGCACGGTGGAACAAGTATGTCTGGTATTCAACGAGGTGACGCATGGGCCGAATGAGGAGCGAATGACGCGCCCTCAAAGCGCTGAACAAAAGTCAGCGCGCGAAGAAAGATTTGCGTCGCAATCTTGAGAGGCTCTGCGCAAATCTGGTAATCCTGCTTACGACCTTGCTCGAGAGTACGCTGACGTGTTCCCGGACAAGAGTCCGGCTGAACTCCCTGCCGACTGTGGCGTGCGGCACGAGATTGATCTTGTGCCAGGATCGAGATATTGTGTGACACGACAGTGGCCGTTGCCTCGAGACCAAGTCGAGGCTATTGATGCATTTTTTGAAGGTCTTCGCAAGGCCGGTCATGTGCGTGAGAGTGTATCACCCCATTCGAGTCCAACCTTCTGCGTGAAGAAGGCCACGGGAGGCTATCGTATAGTGCATTCATTTAGCAAGCTAAACGATGCCACTATTCCTGCCTAAACGCCCATTCCCAGGAAAGACATGGTTCTAAACTTCATGTCAGGTAGCGTCATCTTCAGCGTCATCGATCTGACCGATGGATTCTACCAGATCTTGATGCGACAGAGTGACCTACCACTCACTGCGGTGAGCACCCCGAGTGGATGATATGGGAGTGGCTGGTGATACCACTAGGAGTGAAGAACGCACCAGCCACTTTCAATCGCATTGTATCTCAAGTGTTGAGATCGCTTCGAGACTTTGCTCCAAGCTACTTCGATGACATCTTTGTCCACAGTCGCGCTGAGGGCAACCTCAGTGCTGTCCAAGTTCACCTTCATCACCTAAGGCAGGTGTTTCAATTTTATGCGGGATAACAACTTGTATGCAAACTTTAAGAAGTGTGTATTCTGTGCACCGGAGATTCCGGTGCTGGGCTGCTACTTGAGTAAATCGGGAGTTCGAGCCGATCCAGAGAAGGTGTTGTCAATCTGTTCTTGGCCCACACCCGAGAATTCTACGGAGTTGCGTCAATGGCTCGGTCTAGCTAATTACTTGCATAAGTACACAAAGGATTACGCCGGTTTTATACAGCCTCTGTCGTCACTTCTGAAAAAAGACGCCACGTGGTCGTGGCGTCCCGAACATCAAGCTGTATTTAAAGCAGTGAAGACAAGCCTGGCGTCAGCGCCAGTGTTAATACTCCCTGCCATCAGCAAGCCGTTTCACGTGGTGTGTGATGCAAGTGACTTTGCAATTGGTCGCTCCCTCATGCAGTTTGATCATGAGGGCCGGGAAAGAGTCGTGAGTTACCAATCACGACAGATGAAGCCGGCGGAGAAGAACTATCCAGTCCACGATAAGGAGATATTTGCTATGCGCTACGCACTCATCAAGTTTCGTGTCCACCTACTGGTCGAACGCACTTTCGCCCTGTATACTGATCATGCATCGCTGCGAACAGCGATGAAGAGCCCACATCTGTCACAACGGATGGCACGGTGGGTCTCTTTCTTCTCCAAGTACAACTTCGTCGTGCACTACAAGCCAGGCAAGACTAACATTCTTGCTGACGCACTTTCACGACGTCCGGATTACGATCCTCGTATGGCACTGAGTCTTTAGGCAACTGACGACGACGATGAAGATGATCGATGTGCGACTTGTGTGTCGTAAAATTTAACTCGGGTCACACTCGAGTTATGCCTTAACGATAAAATTGTCGCGGCTTACGCGAACGATCCGGATTATGCGGACATTATTTCCTATCTGCGCGGTCCCAGTGATGCTGCACTGGGAGCTCTTTCGCGAACGAAGCGTGAAAACATTCAACGATACAGTATATATGGTGATCTGCTGTTATACAGCATCGATAAATTCGATGCACCTCGAACAAAGATTGTGAATGACTTGAATTTGCGTGCTCGTATCATACACGAGTACCATGATGCCTCGGTTGACGGTCATCTGGGCCGCGAAAAGACATTCGCGGCTGTCTCACGTGACTTCTTCTGGCCCCACATGTACAAGTGGGCTCGCAACTGGGTTCGCACCTGCGAAATATGTCAGCGCGTGAAGCCATCTCCATCGTCGCAGGCACCCCTGCGACCCCTTTCTATTGCAGCTGAGGCTTGGCGCTCAGTTTTAATGGGCTTTATCTTCGGGCTTGCACCCGATGACCAAGATTGAACGAGTATTCTGGTCTTCGTGGACAGATTCAGCAAATGATACATCTGGTGCCGGTTCATGCACCGATCACCGCGGCTGAAACCGCGGTGCACTTCATTGACACTGTGTTTCGCCATCACGGTCTACCAGACAACATTGTCTCGGACCGTGATCCTCGTTTCACATCTGCTTTTTGGACGTCATTGTTCGAATACCTTGGCACAAAGCTGCAAATGTCTACAGCAGCCCATCCGGACACGGATGGGAAAACAGAGAGGGTTGATCGGGTCCTCGAAGAAGTTCTTCGAAGTGACGCAACTTCCTTTGCGAGTTGAAGTGAATAATTGCCACTCGCATAGTTGCATTCAACAACGCGGTTCACGCGTAAACGGGGTTGACGTCAATATTTGCAAATTCGGCCCGTCATCCTCGTGTACCTACTCTTCTTGCCGTGGGTCAACCCACGGCTCTTCGTGGCTCCACTCTGGCGGGGGGTGATAGTGGTAAACAACGATCGAGTGCAGCTCACGGTATTCTGAGCGCTAAAGTTGTCACCCATCTAAGGTGAAGCCTTCTGTTTTGACGCCACGTGACGTGGCGTCCCTGCTAGCGCAATGGGCTGCACAGACGCTGATTGACCCTTCTTCTGGTATGCGAAGACCTCAAGCCAACTACGCGCCGAATAAATTGGCGCGACCAATTGATGGCATGGCTGTGTCAGAGTTTATACTCCAACTTCAAGCCATCACGAGGTTTGTACGCGATACTGTTCGATCTGCAGTGGATAAACAGAAATTGAATGCAGACAAACGTGGCAGAAAGAACACGAGTACATTCAAGAAGGGTGATCGTGTATTGTTATCTTCTGAAGGCCTACGAGATTCAGCAGTAACCGATCTCGGCGCGAGTTTGCTCGCGCCACGTTTCATCGGACCATTCACGGTACTTAAGGCGATCGGCGACGTAAACACGCTGGACATCCTTTCGTCACTGCAACTTCACCCGACATTTACGTCGTGCGGCTCAAGGAGTATCGTCCAGCTACGCTTCACGGGTTGGCTCCGTCCTCGTAGTCAAAGGCTCATAGGTCGACCTTCCCTAGCCTTGCTCGACGCACCAGCGACATCGGACGCGGCTGCGTCCCAGCCTGCGCATGCCCAAGAACCTGGCGTTCCAGGTTCCGCATCCGTTCAAGCAGCTCGCGGTTCGACTGTCGAATCTCGCTCGCTGTTTTCTCATCCCGCGCAGCTTGATCAAGGCAGCTTCAGCTTCCAGCTGGGCATCGACAGCCTTGTTCAGAGCCGCGTCTACATCGTCCTGGGCAACCAGGACGCCAGCAGTACCATCGCGAAAGCCCACCACCGCTTGTGGACACGGAAGGTCAGAAGCGCTGGATCGTGGAATGCTTATTGGGTCACGAGGACCCTCGTCGCGAAAATAAATCGTCGCGACTCCATGAGCGCGCGGTTCCAACCGCGCGGAAGTATCGTGTACGTTGGCTCGGGTTTCCACTCGAGCAGGATCTGTGGGAGCCGCGCTCTTCGCTTCTTCGAGAAGTGCCAGACGCCGGTCGGGCTTACGAGTCCGTGCATACGCTTGGTTCAGATTTGGTTGACGACCTGAGTGTTCTCGCGGTGAGCGAGAACGAGACGAACGACGACTGTGTCGTGGTGAAGCGTCACCACGACTACGAGAACAAAAGCGATTGCGAGAACGTCGTTGTGAAACGTCACCGCGACGACGAGATGAAGAACGACGACGAGAACGTTGTGTTGAACGTGTATAGCCACGACCACGCGAACGAGAACGTCGTGGCGAGTGCGAGGCACCGCGACCTCGAGAACGAGAGTGGCGAGCACGTGGCACCACGACCTTGAGTACGCGAGTGGTGTCGCCAGCGTGACGCGCCACGATTAACCGCGGTCTTGCGCTCCATCAAGCTGCGCTCAGACCGTCCAATCCAGAGCTGTTCATATTCGCTGAGTAATTACTCAGCGACGTGTCGGTGCCAAGTTTCGCGAGTTGGACGAGGCATCGAGTCACAAGAGTAACAAGATTCGTGTACGTGAACGTAGCAGAGTCGATCTACGTTCCACGCGTTCTCGCATATCTTCTCGCGCAGTACACCGATTGAGTGATCGGCGTGGATATCTTCGCGGTTGGCAAGCCACTGCTGAAAGTTTCTTCCGTCTTCGAGCATCCGGTTCTACCGCCGGATGAATGCACACCAAGACCGCTGGAGTGACTCGTACGAGATACCATCAAGAATCTTTTCACGCAATCCACGGAAACGCCGGAAGTAACCCTGCATCGTCATAAGTGAGTCCGGAGCTCGAGATCCGGACAAGTCGTACAGCACCCAAGGGATCAGGTGCTGATCCATCACGTGGTCAATCGAACTCCCGCTGACAGTGCGCGGGTGTGCTGTGGTGTTGGCGTTTGCGTCTTCAGTCATCGTTTGGCTTGTGCGTCCGTTGGGTCTTGTGGTTGAGCACTCACGGTTCGTGAGTGCTGTCTTGAAAAAAGGGGTGACATAATAGGCCACTCCGTTACATAAGTAGTTTCGATTAAGTTTACATTTTACTTAAGTAGGGGTGTTACTTTCGAAGTAGCGAAAGTAGCACGTCGTATATTTTAGCTGGTTTAATGGGCTCAGTACCATTGTTAGCCAGTAAGATATAGGCACGTAGATTGAGTAGTTACCATGAGTCCAAGGGAACCATTCTTACTCAGGACGATTAAAAGACAAAATAAAAAAACAGAGTTAAAAGTACTTCATACCTAAGACTTGGGCTTTGAGGCTTCCTCAAAGCGTAGAATAGTGTAAGCTAAGTACGGGTTGTTCTAGCCCCGTTATATTTAGTACAAACAGAGATGAGGGTCAAGATCGATCAGAGATTAGATCGAGATCTTAATATCGGTCGGACTGATTAGGTAATTGAGTGCATTCAGTATAACTTAGAATTAGGAATGGAATGCACTATCAAACTTTCGGTAAGGTTAGGTAGCGGATGCAAGCGAAATATAATAGAATATATATACATACTATATTCTTCCTCTAGTTGACCTTACACATACTATGTCGACAAGACCTGACATGAATTTTGCACACAAAGATAGTTCATCAATATAGGAATGTTTATAATAATATGGTGAAGATGCCACGATCAATTATCATGCTTATTATGCTCGGTCAGATGTGTGGATAGGATCGTCGGAGATTCAGCTTCAACGGATAAATCGAAAGTGCAAAGTTTACCTGCTATAATTACAATGACAAAACCGCAATCTAAATGGTATAGGCTAGAGGACTTCATCGTTTTGGTGCACATCGAAATTACCTCAATACGGGCTTAAGCATGCCGGTTTTATGCATCACGCGGTGTCAATATTTAATAGTGAGGGTGCATATCGCGGTTCGGACGATTTCTGGAGATGGTTCAGGAATCGTCCTTAAGTAATATAATTTGATCAATATCGTTGATAAGGTCTATTATGTATTGCTACAAATGACGTGCAGCACCCTCCTATGAGCAGAATAAGTTTGTTCATCGACGACTGAGTGACCGCGTGTCTCAAGGCGACCTGGACACTTAATTCTCATTCAAGGCTAGTTTATGTATCTCACTCATTACACCAAATGTTACACTTTCTTACCAAGTAACAAAAAGGGCTGAAACAGATGGATCTCATAAGTTACCAACTGGTTGCTGGGTTGAACAGAGGTCCATAAGTTCGGGACCTCCTGTTTCAGCATTAGGTGAAGTAGGCGTATTAAGTAAGATCAAGCACCTACAGAACAGGTGATGATATCGCGAATCTGCACCATGTTGAGGTCTGCACCGATCTAAACGTACGATCTTTGAAAAGATCGCAGACATAGCTTTGGTTGCCGCACAAGACAATCTGTGCAACTTCAAAGCTCCAATAAGAATCCCAGAGCGAGAATTGCCACTCCCACGTTTGCAACAGAGAGCTGCATCCAGCCTAACCGACAATTACAACGGTTATTACAAGATCAAGAGCTGATCCCACGGATCAATGAGGAAACATTTGTAATACGGCAAGTCTGTGCAGGATGGAAGGCCGTATATAGCATCAGCAATCAGCACAGCTACTTTTCCACACTGACGCATGACAGACTCGTAATAGCCAGAATGAATTAGGATGTGCTGCAGCTACCTCCTTCCTGACGGATGTGCTTTACGATGGACCAAATCTAGATTACGAAGGATGAGCATTATAACGTCTTTTCGGACTTATTACAGAAAAGTTCGAATAGGTGACAGATCACGTGGCACTTGGCACACGGCGACAACAAAGACCTTGTGGATTTGAACTGGAAAGTACAAAGCAAAGATGGATCGTCACGATGTGTCCAACTGCTACATCATCTTCTCTCTGCGCACAGACAAACTTTCGAATCGATGCCCCGACGGTGAAAGCGCATATCTGCGATGATGCTTTTGTACCAGAGGTGTAACGGGGTCACACTAGCCATAGGCTAATTTGGTTGAAGACCTCCCAGAGGTTATACGGGAGACAGGTGTGACCTTAGATTTTATTTCAATAGGAAATACCGATTAGTCGGCATTCTCTGAGTTACGGTACTTACCGTGGAGGTACTCAGTACCGTCATCATTTGATGACTGAGTGATGTGCCAACAATCCATATAGTTCGAATACTAATATTTGTGTTAGTTCTAGTTTTGGATATAATGGGTACTTAAAGTAGGATTTCCTTGATATAGAATCTTTGTAAACTCAGTTCTCATTTTGGACAGAAGTGTGTAGACTTCCACCCTTTTGCACATCGCGCTTGACGTTTCCGTAGAACTGTCGTGGGTTAGAGAAGTCTTAGACTCCATTATCCCCTTGTGCATATTGTGCGTGAGCTCCTTAAAACTACAGTGGTCTGAGCCAAGAGCTTATAGAGTCCGCGATAAGTTCCGTAAAACTAGAGTGTTATACTACTTCCTTAGAACTAATTAACTGTTAGCCGTAAGGCTCGGGCTTAATCCGTAAAGTCTTCCTCTGGATTTAGAGCTGTGGTAGCTCCGCCACAAGAGGTCAAGTAGGCATGCGAGTCTGAACAATGAGCATCATTGAGATTGTGTCTACAATGCACAAGGGATCTATCTGGCTGATGTGTAGTGATTAGGAGAAGGCGTCAGAAACGTCGCCAAGATCGCACAATATCACACGCTCGGACTGAGATGAATGTATCGGGCATTTCAGACAAGTCTTCGAACTGAAATTGGGTCAAGAGCTTTTGGAAAGTTCTGGCAAGTTCTGCGTTATTGTCAGATAACCAAAATCCGAGGTCCAGTTTTCTTCCGCGGCAACAAAAGAGCACGAATTGAATCATCCATGATGATCATCCTAAATTTGGTTGATAATTTTGGTTGATTACATGAGAAAGCGCGACCTGGCATAGCCACATGAGGGAAGTCGAAGTACTAAGAAGCTACCAGATCTTAAAGATTTAGTCATGTCTATTGCTATTTATGACGAGCACTTGCTAGGTTTAGGATGAGGATGCATTGAGGCTAGAAATGCTAACAAATATGATACATTCTTGAACTTGTTCCTCGAGGTCACTGAGCTAGCGCTTAGCCTCGTCTACCCAATGTATCACGTTATATGCAGTGTCGTAGCATGTCGAGCCTCCCAAACAATTGGAAGCTCGCTAGCATCCATTCCTGTGTACCAATGCAAACCATGAACGTATTCGGCACATTCCCTTTCGGCATTTTTTCGTGCTCATTTACTCTGCAAAGACGCATTCCTTTCTACAAATTCGATGCGTCTCGTGTTTCTCGCGTTCTTGACTCCTGTATTTGTAATGAGATTGTATGGCACCTCAAAGAACCGACTTCAACTCCTTCCAGCCGGTGGAACATGATGAAATATCGGTGTCGAAATCTTTGCATACGAACGAATCCGCTCTTTTGATAGCCTGAACGAAGAGAAGATGAGCAAGTGGATCGGTAATCGACCGACTGCCACTGTCTTATCCCGAATCTCAGTGGCAGTCTAGGCGTTCATTCTGATTTGATCTTCGACCAGGACGAACGCATCTTCACGTAAGAATTCAACTGCACAATCATCAACATCTGCCACTTTGTATGCTACATCATGTTTAACAAACTTACGTGATTATAATTCATCTTGCAGCTTAAGAGTCGTTCTGTTGACTACCGACATGAAGCGGGCTTTGAAGCCGACTATCTATTGTTGCAAAATGTTGATCCTGGCTACGATAGCGACGGTGGACATTCACTCTAGTTAGACATACTGGTGTGCCTGTCTATTATTCTGTCTTGGCTCGAACGACATCTAACTCAATCAGCTTCCTGTAGCAAGCGGGTAAGCTCTTCCTGATAGATTTCTTCTGCTTCTCGAAGTCTTCGGAGTTTTTGCGACTTCAGCCTCGCGATCTGGGTCTCAAGATCTCTCGAGCTCGCAACAGCATCCTTCCCATCTGTGGCAATCGATGCCCCAAATCCGGAGTCCTGAGAAGATGTGCTGTCTCCCGATATTGCTCGCTCATTGCAACGATAGCGGCCTCTTGATGGTGACACAATGTTTGTGGTAGTCCCAATGCAGTCACAGCGGTTCTGTAAATCGAACAGGCACTGCGTCTGCATCTTGAGCTCCCACTTTCCAGCTTCATCCTCCCGAACGATATCGATCTGCTTCGTTAATGCTTTGATCTGCAGTATCAGACCTAGATGCAACGTTTCCAATTCAACGCTTGCATCTCGGTCGAAATGACTGTTTAGATCCCATCTCAGGTAATAGTGGACCCAAAAATGAAGCGACTTCATCGAGCTGGACGGTATGATCACATCTTCGCAAAAAGAGGAATCGTTATAACTACCGGTTTCATCGGTCTCAGCTGCAGTCTCAGTGCCAGGGGTAGTCCACATAGCATTCGCAGATAGCTCCTCTACGGATACCACGAAAGGTGTCATGGACGAGCGAAAATTTGGTGTCAACCCTCTTCCAACAGCTGCACCGTCGCCCGAATTCGAACAAAAGTTGAATGATCGAGAGCGCGGTGCGACCAGTAGTGGGGAGGTAAACTTGGATGCGGACGACGCGTCTAGAGATTGCGGGAATGAAAAGCCCGAATCGAGGTCGCGCATTATTACAAGTTTATGGTGGCAGGATGACTGCATGTTTAGCGCATCTGACTCACTCCTGTGGTCCATGCCATTGCCTCTTTGAGGCAAACCATCATTACCGATACGGTGGCGTTGCGCATCAGGCTCAAAGTGAGCACCCGTGCCTGTATCAGCTAAATCGGTCTTGGGGCGTAATGGTGACAAATGCACAGACCCAGCACTTTTGCACGCTTCCTCAGTGGCAAAATCACAGCGTGTATTAGACCCAGCGAACAAGTCAAATCCATTCCTGACCCTTTCATTAGGTAAACTTCCGTACGACGGCGCTGACGTTCTTTCCAAGCGCTGCCGCCCTGTGGCTGTAGCGCCCACTTGGTACATCGTGCGAGATGCTGTTTGCACGCGGTAAAAAGGATTCACCACAATTGCGTGATCGATCGTGCTGAGATAGGACCACAGGGACTGCGTCGGATGGATTGACTCCTGCTCCAGGCGCTCACGTTCCGAGTTGTACAGGAATGTACCAAATCGGCACGAGTACAGATGGTCAAGAATAAGGATGAGGTACCGCTCGTTGAACTCGAAAGCGCTCGGAAACTGGGCCAGAACTTGCCAGACGCAGTCCATCCACTGCAAAAATATCGGAGAGAATTCGTTGGAATTGCTACCGGTCCCATGCGCCGTTCTATCTCTAAATTTGTGGCCGAACGAACACCACTCCTTCTCGATCAGTAGCTGGAATCCGACAACTGTTCGGTAGTGAGGGTCGATCAACAGCTCTGTCAGCGATGTCAGCTGTGCTGTACGATCCCAACCATCACTGCAATGAATCAAGACGCTTGACTTCTGCTCCTTGACGATGCGTGCAATTTCAACTGCTGATTCTAAAATACGAGAAATGTGGTCCATCCAGTGGGTAGAGGCTAACTGGTCTAGCCACTTGTCGTTGTTTTGCTTCGTCGTGCACAAGTCCATAAGCTTGTGGTAGCTTTTACGCATTGTGTGAATATTTTCGATACCCATGAATATCAGCTTGCACTCTGTCAAAACCAATGACGGCTTCGTTGCCTCCAGAGTGTGTCTGCCTCCGTCACCACCGTCGGATCCATTGCTTCCGAAAGATCGATCCAAATATTGCAAGTCTCTATCGACAGATGTTTCAGCCATGGTTTCTGGTGCAGGAACAGCAGATACAGCAGCAGCCGCTGCTGCATTATGCTCAGATGCAACCATATCTGCATACTTCAGCTTAGCTGTGGCATGTCGAGTCTCGTAGTGTTCAGTGAGTTCATAGCCAGCCCGACCGACAGTCTTTTGTGCGACTGCGTTTCTCCAGGGTCGCGCATCTATGATCACAAGTTTGGTCGAGGAAGGGTTTGTCGCCGCAATCGCTTGAATGAGGAACACGTCTTTATCACACTGCTTTTGTCCAAGCCCGACAAGTGGCTGACTGCTGCGGCAAATCACTGCTCCTGTATGACGATCACGCCACGAAAGAACAGGTATTCGTCCTTTCGACCGAAATTTCGAGGCCACTGCGAGCACCCGATCCGAAGCGGCGGCAGGCACAGCCAATACTGATGGGTATGTTGGACATAGATCGTACTCATCATTAATGTAGCTGAGTCGCCAGCGATCTGTAAACGTAGATATACCCATTCGCTGGAACTCTGTCACCGCATCAAACATCTTCCAGCCATCTACTACACCATTAATACCATCGAATCGTTCGAGCGAAAACTTTGCAAACTCGTCCACTTTTCCTTCTGGTTCACCTAATGCGTGCAGTCGTGCGAGCACATACGAGCGATCGAATTTGCTAAACGTCTGCTTCGACACCAAGCCTTCAAAGACAAATTGCAGCCGGCGAAAGTCCTTGCCTACAACTTCCAAGAGTCCACTATCAGTCTCCACCATCTCCTTTCGCTTCACACGCTCAATCGTTACGAGTGGAATCGCTTGGTACGCTTCATATGACGTTGCATGTAATCCACACGCATCGACGACGAGCTCCTGATTGTCCGTGTTCCTCGTTCCGCGTGCCTGTTCCAGCTCGCATCGTGCTCCACGATCTTCATGCCCTGACCCGTTCCACTCCGGGCTAAACACAAGTCGAAAGTTGGTCACGTACAACCTCCCGACATGTTCCACATGATCGAAAAACCGCAAGCGCACATCGTCATTCCTCACCAGCACGGCTTCACCCGGCAGCGTCTGGAACCTGCCTCTACCATACCGATTCGAACCCTGATTGAGAGTCCGTGCACCTCCATCATCTGTCTCGTCACTCGTCGTTCGTTCTCGATCACTGTAACTTCCACTTGACACGTCTCTCTGATACGCAGGCAACGCCGACAGCAGCACTCGTTGTAATTGTTGCAAGTGTGGTTGCACCTGCTCGTCTTGTCGTCGTCGTCGTCGGCCATTCGACGTGAGAATGTCCCCGTTCCTGGCCTGAAACCCTGACGTACCCAGGTCCCTCGATCCCACATCTCTGCCTATAAACAAACTGGCCCCATCCCGTCGGTCGTCCATGGCGTTGGCCATCCCGTCCATGCGTCCGACCCGCGCCCTCGAGTCCTCCTGGCCATCGAAGAATCCGCCCGTACAGTGGTCCGACATCGAGACGAACCGCCCCGTCCGCCCACTAGCATCTGTCTCTCCTAGTCCGCCCGCCGTCTCACTATGGCGTCGGGTGGCCCTGTGGTCCACGTGCAACTGCCCCGTCTGGCGCTGCTGGACCATTTTTGCATGCGCTTTCTTCGCCGCGACGGAACATTTCGCACACACGCGAACAGGCGCGTGGCAAGTCGAATGGACCAATGGCATGCGCGCAGACGAGCACGTGTCGCAGAACACGTTGCCACAGCGTCGACAGTGGTGGCGCCTCAGCATGAGCGAGAAGGCCGTCTGGCAGCTGTAGCAGCGCTCGGCCAGGCTGTCGGGGACCCAGGCCACGACGTCGCGAGGGAGAGCGTGACGACGAGGGACGGTCGGGGCCGACTGCGGGGACGCCGAGACGACGAGCCGCGGGGCGGCGACGGTCTCCTTTGGCCGCGTCGTTGTGGTCGAGGAGACCATTTGACAAGTCGCACGTGACGCGAGGACGCGAGTGGAGAAAGTGAGGTGGTGCACGTTATTGTAGGACCATAAAGACAAACGGCGACAAGGGGGGGGGCCGATTGTGTCGAGGTTTGTTTGATTGGAGGTTGGTTTGTTTGATTGGAGGTTGGTTTGTTTGATTGGAGGTTGGTTTGATTGTTAGGCTTTTTGGAAGAGGAGGATGCCTTCTTTGTATAGCGCGGTGGCAAGGTCGCGTTGGTCTTGGGGGTCTTCATGAGGCAGATCGCCGACACGGAAATAGTCAGGATAGCTGTTGAGAATGAACTCGATGCTGTCGGCGTCATCGAGTTCGAACTCGAGGGGCGAAATCGCCACTTCGTGGTGCAGCCGCGAGTTTTCGCGGCAGTGGTAGACCACAGCTTTGCCGTCTTCAATCACGAGACGCGCAATGCCGTGACGAAGGAGCTTGAGCTGGGTGTTGACGGTGATCTTTTGCAGCGGACTATTGTCGCTCGTGCAGTTCTCTTCGTCGTCTTCAAGAGCCGGTGGTAATCGATCCATGAGAAAATTCTTGGCCATCTGGTCAGCAGCCGCGTCGAGCATACCCATGGCCTCGCCAAGCACGACTTTCAGCGCATTTTTGAGCTGGGTTGCAAACGCCAGACGTTTTGCATCATCGTCGCGGTCCGAGTGCATGACACCCATATAGGTCAAATAGTCCCGCGGCAACGAGCGGCGCAAATCGACGTTCGTGTCGATGGCAGCTCCTAGAGCATGGGGCAACAGCACTTCTAGGAAATTGCCCATGGAATTCTGCTGACCCGTTGACACGGTCAGATGCAGCGAATGCTTTTCCTCATGCGCACGTGCTTGATGAATGAAGCCTCGTGGAAAATAGAGCAAATCGCCTTGTTCCACATCCACTTCGAGCACTGGTTTGCCGAGTTCTTCTGCTTTAAAGTTTCCACTCGAGTGCCGTGTCAGCATCTCACCAGCATGCAGCGGTTGGTACACCTTCCAGTGCTTGGATCCTTCAGTCTGCATCAAGAACGCTTCAATGTCATCAAAATGAGGAGCAAACCCTTGGGTGTTTTTCGGCGTCAAGTACGCGTTCGCGCCGGCCATGCAGTCCCATTCGTCTTCGAGTGTCGCCAACAGTTTCCACACATGGTCCGAGAACTTCTGCGGACACAAAAGCCGCACGGAACAGCCGTCATCAAAGTGTTTCCACACTTCCTTGACCGTCGCTGAGCTCGAGGGATTGAGCGTATGACGGGTGTCGTCCACGTACTTGGTAAGGTCGAGATCGGTACCATATTCCAGCGTGTGTGTCTGGAGAATGCGGTCGATCTCCTGTCTGCTGAACCAGCCGTCGTAATAGCTAGGAGCATTGCGTTTGACAACCAGAGGCCGTTGCTCCCAGTACTTTTCGTAGAACTCTTCAGGCGTCACGGGGTACAATAGCCACGTAAAGAGCAGTCGGGCTTTCGTGGCGCTGTGCAAATCCGTCTGCGCCACGAGTTTGAACGCATCGACAGCGTCTTCAGCTGCGACATGTTGCTGAACAACGAGAGGAACCAACGGGGCCGTCGAGCTCTTGCGTTTCTTGGCGGGAGGCAGTGGAGTCGGTGATCCTGGAGCTGAAGTCTTCCCCGCCATTCAATCGAAATGGTGATGGACGACGCGTTTACGAGTCGTGGTTGCAAATGGGTACATTTTATAGGTACAGTTCAGGTACGACTAAGTGCGGTTTTGACTGCGTTTTTTTCGTGATGAAAGTGTTTCGACGTTCGATCAGTTAAGTGCACGATGTATCACTGTTGCAGTTATTCGCATTGACCCTTCTGTAGTAATATGCTTCAGCAATTTTGGCTGTCTGACGAGAAAAGCACGTGAAAGATGTTTTTTTCCCATGGTATCCTGCCTTTTGCAGACGAGCGAATTTGTGATGGCGAAGTATGAGAGCGCAGTCAAAATTCGAGCGACAAAAGCATCATATGATCGACTGTGGTCGAAACTGTGTTTGTGACATAGTCAGACCATTTATTGCGGCCTATCCCGACGCGACATTTCACTTGCCGAATTACACCCCTTATGCACGCTGTGAGCTGCGGAATATAGTGAGGGCTGGATTGCGACTACCTCCCCTATGACTCGTGTGCGAGTGTACCTACAATCCGATATCTCCATGTGTATCGGCTTCCACAGGTCATAAAAATACGAGAGCAAGGTTACTACAAAGTTTGCACAACTATCACGTTTGCTGATACCAATTCAGAGAGAAATAAATTGTTCCGCCGCTCTTCCGAGTGTTGGACACCTGGAAGGAGGGACGCTCTTCTCGTTTACGTCAGTAGCTCGACTTCCACAGTCATTCAGTAATTGACTCCCCAGCACACACAGCAACAGTGTTCCCATCACTCTACCCATGTGTCCATTGCGCTACATTCTGCTGCTGCTGTCGCTACTTGTCGCGATGATTGGTCTATCCCAGGCCTTGACTGATCAGGAGGTCTCTGCTGCACTCACAGATGACGGCATGGACAAGAAACGCGGCAATAAGAGCAAGAAGCAGACGCAGCGGTCATCGTTCCGCACGCTCATGGACATGCTGAATGGAAAGTACCTCTACGACGCCTACAAGCTCAGTCGCGGCACTGCCACGAAGGCGACCTAACGAGTGACATTCGCGCGACACACACAAGCAGTCAGACGTCAAAGCTTTTTTTGCTGCTTGCATCGAGATAATCCTGTATATGCTCCTAGAAAGGTATGCTGTATCGAAGTCCGCAACGATCGCTATTCGAAGGTGATTCGCTGTAGCCATCGTGTACAAAACAGCAGAGAAATAGACTTCACGCAGAATAATTGTGACATTCATCGAAAAAGGTATCACGAACGCCGTTGTCTGCTGTGTTAACCAGCTATACCAATATTGCACCGTCGAGCGCTATCATCTCTCGCCTCATCTACCTAACTACCTCACGACTATATGGAAAATAGCTCTTCAGTCGAAACTGTATGCCGTTTTCTTTGCCGTCTAGGACGGACGTTGGCAGACATTGCCAGAGTTCACGACAAGCGGCTCACTTGCTGACTCTTCCGTGAGCGGCATGATCTCCTCGTCCTTCCGCATGGCCTGACGTTGCGGATCGGTGAGCTTCACTTCGAAACGCGGTCGAGCCTCGTTCTCCACCTGCTTGGCACGACCCTGGACGATATGGTGCAGTAGCATCCCTTCAGCCTCATCGATGCCTTTCACAAGTGCCTTCAGCTCCTCGCTGTCACGCACTTGGCTATTGACTAGGAAATTCTCACGCAGCGCCACACGAGCCTCTTGTAGCGCATAAACGTCTCCTCGGAACGCCTGACGACTTGCGCGCAGCAGACGCCGGTACCCACTGAGCACTTGAGTGCGTACACTCATTATTCTTGACAATAATTACTTGACTAAACTCGAGACAAGATGGACGAAATGGTGAGCGCAACTGGCTAAAATATGCGACCTTGGTAGTCACGTCGTCTGGCCGACCTTCCTCTGTTTTGATATCCAGGTTTTGATGTTGTCAACTCAAATCTAGCTCAACCTGGGCCAAAGCTAAAGGTAGTCAGTCATGCGGAGTAACTACCATTCCCTCGTTTTAGCAGCTTCTCGTCGACGTACTCACACTGAGACTCGTAAAAATGTAGCTGAAGCTACAATTTAGGTAGTCACGCGGTGCGATCGTCATACTCCCGTTTCAATGGCCACTGATAGATGCCACCAAATCACCGCAGGCAGTGACGAGATCTTCAAACTCTTTCAATTGACCCGATCCAATTGATCCAATGGATTTGTTCGCGCCCCTCATCAACAGCGACTTGCGCGTGTTGCTTGGCGTCGCTCTCGTAGCAGGCACGACACTGTATTTCCTACTCCTTCGTCTCCAGCCTCGTGATCCGACGCCTGTCACGCTGCAAAGCCCGAGTCAACCAGGCAATTCCCCCCCAACCGTGCACTTGCCCCTCATCGAAAAGGAGATTTTGTCGCACGATACGCGTCGATTCCGCTTTGCGCTACCGACTCCGCAGCATGTGTTGGGCTTACCCGTAGGTCAGCACATTTCGCTGCGCTATACTGACGAGAATGAGAAACTGGTGATGCGGTCGTATACCCCTGTAACCTCGGACGATACGAAGGGATACGTGGATTTGGTGATCAAGGTTTACTTCAAAAACGTGCATCCAAAATTTCCTGATGGAGGTAAAATGAGTCAGTACTTAGAACAGTTAGCTATTGGCGACACGATTGAGGTCTCGGGACCCAAAGGAAAGCTCACGTACATGGGGAAAGGCGAGATCCATATCAAACACCGCATTCGTGATGTGGTGCCTGAAGTCCGCAAGTGTGCCAAGATTGGCATGATTGCAGGCGGAACGGGGATCACGCCCATGCTGCAGGTCATTCGTCGCGCTCTACAGGATCCAGAGGACAAGACGGAGTTCTCGCTGCTCTTTGCGAATCAGACCGAGGCCGATATCTTGTGTCGTGATGAGATTGAGGCAATGGTTGCAGAGCACAGCAACGTCAAGGTGTGGTACACCGTAGACCGTGCGGACGAGGGCTGGAAGTACTCGACGGGCTTTGTCTCGGCTGCAATGATCAAGAAGCACCTGCCAGATGCCGCACCCGACACGCAGATCTTCATGTGCGGCCCACCGCCGATGCTCAAATTTGCTGTGCTGCCGGCCCTTGAGGAACTGGGCTTCAAGCCAGATCAGCACTTTAGCTTCTAGGTTGGGTCGTTGGTGTTTGAGCTCGAGGAGAATGAGCATTGGTGATGTACAGCAGCGAGAAGGTATAACTCTAGACGTTGTTGAGTTGGGTAAGCTCGTGTGTAGGGGCGCTGTCCCGTTCATTGAAGCATTCGTAATCCAGTGTCTCCTTCGTAAGTACTCCACCAGTGCGTCTTCAATAGAACAACAAGCTCGACCATGTGCTGTCCCGACTTGCGACCATGGGTGTCTCATCGCTCACGCCTATGGTCTCCTAGCTCTTGCAACATGCATTCTCCCGATATGTTCACGTTGACCCTATTTTCATCATCGGAAATGCATACTACACTGCAGCAAGCATAGTTGCTGCTTCGTCTTAATCCGCCTCGCACAGCCTTGATCGCCCCCAAGCATGCGCATGCGTCAGCAAGATTAACATGCTTTGATCGCTCTGGGCGAGTAACATTTTCGGAGCGGGGTCTTCACAACTGCTGCCCTTCACGGATCCTCAATGCAATTCGACTTTATCTCCGTCTCGAGTTGAAATTCAGCCTCAGTTCCATGGATTCAATTAGCCACGCAGCATTGCCATCAAAATAGAACGAGAACGTCGTGTTCGTGCTCATTGACAAAAAGTGCACGTCCGCGTGCAGCAAGCTGAAGTCTGACATGCTCGCTCAAGTCACTTCAAAACTTGCTCAGTGTGGTTGAAAAACGCCCAGCCCGTCGTCGAATGCTACAACTCGGTCACGTCAATGTTACAGATTTCAAATACTGCGGTCTTCGATGCTCCTACTTCTCGACGCGCTCCATACCTTCAGCTCTGTCCGCACTTCTCCATCAGATGTTTGTCCAGGATCGCGTACAGTGCCTCTAATGGCTGCCACCTGTCGTGTGTACGCACTACAACCTCATCGAATATCATCAATGGTTTCCACGCCACAACTATGAGGCCGCCCTACGTCTGTTCATCTTCGTCAGCTCAGCATAGTGATAGGTACAAACCGCAAAGCTTCATAGGCTCCAGTGCTTTCTTGAGTGACAAATGTAGTTTTGCTGTATTGTCCGTTCGGTCCAAAAAATCGTCGCTGCTGTTTGCGGGTCCGTCCGGTGCAGGACAACATGTCCGGTGTGTAAAGTTGGACCCATTCAAATGTTTTGTTTGATAGATAGCCTGCGCAGGTGCCTTGAGCTGTAGCGGAACTATTTTGTTGCTTCCCACGCGAGTTTTTAGTCGGATAATGGCCAGCCTTCTTGTCTTCTCCAGCCACCAACCGACCCCATTGTGTGGGAATTGGCCTTTGTCTACCACGATGGTAGAGCATAGCCGTAAAGCGTAGTCACCTGCTATGCAGTCGATCGACCGCAGTCTGTAGAGTACTGCGGGTGAAACTAGAGTGCGTGTCGCCAGTAAGCTGTATTGCGTGGTGCGAAAACACCACGAGCCAAAACTTTTCCGCGAGGCCGCTTCCACCGCCAGTTGATATGGAGGCGTATCGCCCAAGCGATAATGCGTAGCGCAAAAACGCCATCGGTTGGATTACTGACTCCTTGTCGGCCGCGGTGCGAAAAGTGGCCGCGCGAGCGGCATTACTCGAGACAAATCCCGTCCGTTGTAGACTCTCGCAGAGAGAATGCCGCCGATAAAGGCTACCTGACGCTCGGACTGGCTTGAGCTGACTTCGGATGTTTAGTGTACTTCTCAATGAGGTTGCCATAGTCTTGCTCCATGCAACAGAGCGCACATCTTAGACAACATTTCCGTCGTAGCTGTCACCGCTTGTTTCCTGTTGTTCCGCTTCGACAATATAGTTCAATAAACAACGTCCGGGGAAGATATGAATGAATACCACCGGCTCACCCTAGCATCCGAAATGAGACGACTCGAAACTCATCAGCTTTACATAAGAGCACATAAACGACTGTATTGCACATATCCGTTCACACCCAATTTTAGTTGCAACAACTTGACACACCGTCACATTTATTCAATTGCATCGCAAGCACTTCAACGACGGCAGTACATCTGAGCACCCGAAATGGCATGATAAACTCAAGTGAGCAACGGAACGTGAAGCAAAAAAGATAGTACATCTCGTACCCCTCAACTCGTCAATATGTTTTTGCGATAGTAAACACCCGTAGACAGACAGAGACTGTAACTCCTTTAGAGCTGGTTGACACACCATAAAAAGTAGATTAGCGATTGCACACACACACGCACTTACACGAAGAGAAAACGTACGCGATAACTGACGTAGTGATGGTGCTGAGATGCCCGTATTCGACAAGTTTAGACATCGCAAACTAGTAAGAGATCGAAGACGAAACAACGACTTGGATGTCACATTTCTAACGAATTGCAATCAAGCCACAACATGCCACAATTAGCGCAAATTTGTGCTGCTCAATAAGCGTACGTACGTACCGATTTTGACTCAGGTTCAAATATGTCAGCAACGCTAACCCCGAAATAATCTTCACGCCACGATCACTGACGTTGCCTCCACAAATCGTCAGTTCTCGAAGTTCGCGCAGCTGAACAAGATACATAAGTCCATCGTCGGTGATACTATACACACGACAAACGATCGCTTCATTAGTCGCCCAACCGAATGGCAAACACAGAAACAGCCACGTACTTTGCGCCAAACAAATCCAACCGCTGAAGATGCAACAGAAAACACACGTCTGCCAGCGCACTGTTCGTGATCTCTGGTGTGTCCAAGTGAAGAGTGCGCAGCTTTTTTAGCCTAGCGAGGCCGGACGTTCCATTGTCACTGATTCTGGTGTTGGATATGTTGAGTACCTCCAGGTTGGTTACACGGTCGCATATCTTCATCAGTGCAGCATCCGTCAACGAGGTCTCGCTCAAATCAAGTTTTGTGAGTTTTTCAAGGCGGCTGACATACCCAAATCCTCTAGACCGAAGCAACAACAAACATCCGAATGCGTCAACACTCTCTTTTCGGCCCAGAATCAGTCACATGCTCGCGGCAGAGTCCGTACCTTTTCATAATGTGGCACTTGCGAAGCTCAAGCTGTTGTAACTCGGTGAAGTGCTGCAAGCGAGCTGTATCGGACTCAGCAAATGCAGTGTACCCAAGGAGCAACACCTGCAGCTGCGTCCACTCTATCGGGATGGAATGGATCTTGTGACAGTGCCGCGCGTCAAAATACTTGAGCCTCGTTAGCCCAGCGAGGAATCCCATCGAGGCATCAGACACATCATGGCAGCCACGAATAACCAGGCCTTCCAGACTGTTGACACCACCAATGTGCTGCATGGCCCTATCACTGTATTGTAACACAATGTACTCATCACCCCTTTGCCACCATCCACCATTAAGTACATAAAACAGTCCTCACCTCAGGCGACAGTGTGCGACGTCCAGCTCTCGCAATGCACGCAATGACGAGGCCAAGCCAACTATTGCATCATCAGTGAGTCTTCCACAGCGGCCAAGACCCAGTTTCTCGAGTCCTGCTATCGCCACCAAGTGCTTGACCCCCTTATCTGTCAACTTACAACAGCCAACCTGCAATCAAAAAGAAACCATCAGGCATAAAAAGGCCATCCGTTGCACCTTTACCCTAAACGCCCCCAGCTCTACACCTAAACACCCCCACCCACCAACTGCAACGACCTCAAGTGTCTCAACGCACTCAGTGCTCGAACGCTCTCATCGTCCACATTGACACAGCCCGACAAGTTGAGGGCCGTCAAGTTAGTCGAAAACGTCAACGACTGAACCGATTCGGTCGAGAGACTCGAACATCCTTGAAACGAGGCCGTGACCAGCTGCGGCAACTGGACTCGTCCCTTTTCTGAGCCCACGTGGTGCAAGTAGACGCACCCCGACACGTCAATGCTCTTCACTTGCGCCAACGTCGTCGCTGGAATGCCATCAAACCACGAGTCTTCAACCTCCTGGTGGTCGGCCAAGTTCCACGTGACGAGCAAGAACGGAGCAAGCGCATGAAACTTTGACTTGTCCAGAATATGGTGCCGTCGTAGCCACTGTAAGACGTTGGAGGCGACTTCGGGAGGTAGAGTAGCAGCGCGCAGAGTCTTGTGCTGGTGTACCACTAATTGGGCACAGACGTGGCGGACACTCAGCTCGAAGAGCGTGAGCGGCACAAACGTTCCTCGCGTCGTCTGGCGGCAGTGCTCCCCCACATATGGTGTCGCCACGGTCTTTGTCTCGTGTCCCTTCTGCTTCTTGATTCTCTTCTGCATCGTTTTCATTCGCCTGTTCTTTCGTTTCAATTTCTTATTCGTGTGTCCCGTTTGTGTACCAGTCGTCGTCGTGGGCTCCACGACAAACGGAAAGGGAAACGAAACGTAGTTGGCCAGCGATTGCCTCGCAGAGGAGGACGAGAGCGAAGGGGGGGACGACAGGGACGTAGCGGTTAACGGTGTGTAGAAGTGGTGCATCTCGACACTCATGGCAGAGGCCGAGAGCGACAGCAGCGGGTCGTTGAAGCGCGTGCTGTGGCAGCATGCGGCGCCCATATATGGATGAATGATGGCTCTATGCGACGCGATCTTGCGTATCAAAGGCGAGAGTGAATGTACTGAGAAAAACGCTACCTTCAACCAGGGAGAAGGCCACTTCAATGTGTCTAGGGGTCGGGGAATCTGCCACCGCCGGTCAGCCGTCTTCTCCTACGATCCATGTATAAAAGAGCCATATGTGGTACAGCATTCGTTCTTACAGGTTATGGCTTTTCTCATGTGCCATCCCAAAACGGAAGCGCCACTGACAGCGCGGAATCAAAAGGCGCATTGCTTTTAACTTCAAGGAAACCACCACGACCATGCTAGAACCTCGTTCCCACCGCGTCTCAACGCCCTTTGGCTACGGCTCGCTGCATACTGAAACCAACATTAACCCCGACGCCGGAGACGGGATTGAAGAGCGTCCGAGCGACACCTGCTCGGATGGACCGCCTCCTACAGTGCGCCAAGGCTTTGCGCACGTTGAGTTTCCATGGGGCCATGCTTACGTCCACACCGACTTGGTCGCGGCCGTTCCCGTGTTCACGTTCTATGCGCTGTCTCGCGCGCAGCACGTGAAGTTCTCTCTACCGTTTGCGCTCACGAGCTCCGGTCAGGACATGGTGGACGCCGTGCGGCGGGAACTGGAGCTTGGTCCAGACATTGCCGTCGCCCTCGTGCAGACGGACTCGGTGAGCAAGCACGAGATTGCGCCGCATCTGACGCTGGGAGAGTCCACTATTGGAGCGGGACGAGAGCACCCGGTTCTAGTATTGCAGACACCTGTTATGCAATTTGACAGGTTTAAGTGTGCGGACTTTATGCGCTTGCAGGAGAATAACTCGCAGGCTGTGCAGGTGACAAAGGGGTGTGGATCGGTGCTTGGCACGTGCAGTGTGACGTGTGGGATCAAGTACTGGGAGGTGCAGCTTGGCAGTGTACACGGTGGCGACGGGGTCTTTGTAGGGGTCGCAAGAGAAGATGTAGCGCTTGACACGAGTCTGTTTGCGACTCGCGGCAGCTGGTGGGGCCTCGCGTGTGCGACTGGGCACAGGTTCCACACTGCAATTGAGTATTACGCCGATCCATGCAAAGACGGAGACGTCGTGGGCGTGCTGCTCGATATGGAGTTAGGGCGACTGAGTTTTTACGTGAATGGGCGGAATCTCGGAGTTGCTTTTACGGGCATTCAGGTTAAGCGGCTGTATCCTGTCTTTTCACTGACGTTCATTGGACAGCAGATTAAATTGCTGCCAACAGCATCACCTCCGATGCCATAGCAGAAGAAATGTTGCAGAAACGAACATCTGATGAAGTCGATATTTTCTGTAGTTGCTGCAGTGTTGAATCTGATGATTGAAGTAATGCAGTAGCAGCAGCTGAACTGCTTGACAGCCGCGTCTGATGAGCAGCAGACAACGATGCATGTGGGATAATAGGTTAGGAGCTGCTTGCTGCTATTCCACCAACTCTGGTACAGGTGCGCGTCACAACTTATTGACGGACGCTCGTACGTTGTTTTGATCGATGGACGCCACGTAGATGACGTTGCTCTCCGATCTTGTAGCATCAAGATGAGCACAATTTTGTTTGTGCCATGGATGTTATTCGTCTTCTCGACAAATGACAGCAGGTTTCTTACAGCCAGTGCCTTCGCGCAGGCCTCTGCGACTTGCATAAAAAACGAATATAAATGATTTCTACTATGCGACCCATCAGATAACTTGGAGGCGGATCACAAGTGTAGTGTGAACGTAATTGGTTCACCGTCGCATCCACATGATGTAATTAGCAATTTTTTGTATATATTTTCTTTTGTCATGGCTGTTCGACCATCCGTCGAATGTGCTTCGTACCACCGAAGACTGATGCATTCTAAATCCTAGCTCAGAATGTGCTTCGTACTACCGGAGACTGATGCATTTAAATCTTAGCTCAAAATGTGCTCATATATCCTGAAAACAGGTGCCGCACTGCCACACCGAGAAAGTTATCGCTGACTGTCGGTTATGAGCCGTCCTGGAATTGTTGTTTCTCGTGCAGAATTGACAAGCATCCGTATTGAATGTAAGCTCTCGTCGAATGCTCCCCTCTCAACTTATCATACCGATCATAGGTACTGAGCAAAGTCGTATAAACTAGAAGCGGTTGCTTGGCACGATGAGCAACGAGGACAAAGAAAAGCAGAAGTGCTATACATCACTGCAAATTTTTTATTGAACAGACGGTGGCACGACAGTTTAATAAAACATGAATGATGCAGGATGATCTAAAAGTGCGGCCGTCCTCCAAACACATCATAACCATTGCGAGCCCGAAGGTTGAAGTTACTATTAGTGTGTGCGCAAGGTCGAATCGTATCGCTATGTACAGCCAGAAAAATGCACGTAAAACATTGGTTGCTTCTCTGCTCTGCAAGAAGAGTTTTCCCAATTGTTGTACCCATTCCTCCACCGTAACAATCAGGACTAGTTTCTTTCCAAAATTTAGCACTTTACCGCCTAATCTAGTGTACGCCAGCACTAAAATAAATAGCATCGTGAACATAGCTAAAAATGAGTGCTGTGCACATCCGCTTTCCACGATAAATGTACCCACGGGTGCTGGAGGATACTCAGGTGAAAGTTGACGTTGATTAGTACTTTTTCGCTAATTATAGTGAGATAAACAGTCGTTTTTGCTTCCAATGTACATGGTTGCCACAGTGTTATCCACAAATGACCAGATATGTATGAATGAAACGGTAGGGTTCAACCACTGCTTAGCTGGCTATCCAAAACAGTTTATAGATGCTGATTGGAATCGGCCTTCTCGTGTTCATTCAGGCAAACGAACCATGCACACTTCCATCTCCATCCATCCTTTCAGAGAAATTGATGTTGTCTGCGATTGAGAGCAAGAAGACTCGACACCTGAACATGCTTCAGTGACTGGAAGTTCCGGATTCAGGCATGAAGAAGCATGCGTTTTATGACATTTTTCTTTGTTTTTAATTTTTCGCCATCATTGGAACTCTATCTTCTGAATTACCCGGTCTGACGCTAATTTGCCATGCGCGGTGTCGCCAACGGATACATAGTGCCAAGAGTGGGCTACAATGCTCTGCAAAGAAAGGATGTCCCCATCGACACTGAGTCTGACGTATTGATATACCTGTAATCGTCGTGTGGCGATGGTTTGTCAGAGGTAACAAGTAGGTCGGTTTCTGGGACGCTCAATGCAAGTGTACTTTGACGCGTTACCGGCGCTACCATTGGTACAAAGACCGATGATAGCAACGACCTGTGTACCTGGCAGATGAACTGTCAGTGACTAATGAGTACAATCAAGGACTTTGCCATGGAGATCGCGGTGCAATTCGGTCCAAGTTGGATGTATTGGCTCTGTATCTTTGTACGTGACTCCAGTTTTGATGTTACAGCACCATCAAAATGTCTCGACTGCTTGATGCAGTGGTTAGGGACGTGGATACGCATGAAGAATTGCCTCGAATTAATGCCGAAGTCCAGTGTCTTCGTTTGTGTGTGCAAGTGATTGACCAAGGCCAGATCTGAGCCCACCTTACGTATTGGCTTGGGATGTTTCGACCTCGTGCATGTAAGCAAATCAAAAATCTAAAATCCAATATCTAGATCAATGGGATGATCAGATTCGATCAGCCAAGTGTCCCACTGTCCCTTCCCACCCACCCACCTAAATTGTCTCTACGATCATTGACCAATCAGGTACTCGCATTTTGCCAATCAGAATGCCACGTCTCAAAAGAAGTGAGGCATGATTCAAAAGAGTCAATCGCAAATCTAGCACCAACCGAATGCAAACATTGCAAAACCCGCACCAGTTGCATAACAAGTACTACTTCATCACGAAATGAATGTGTACCACGCTAAACTCCACCAATCTCTATCCTTCCATTTCTTGATAGCCGTAGTAGCCGGTCATGATGGTCCGGCCCCCTCTCAAGGACACCTACCTTCGGCGGAGATCGTCTTTTGCTCAATCCCGAACTGTGTGATGATGTCTCGATAAGGCCTCTAGCGGTCGATGTATATTTGAAAAGAAGGTCGCGATTGGACCACAAGAAAGAGCAAACAAAATACGATGAATCGAAGCCGAAGGTATTGCAACTATGGGACCGAATGTGCGAGGCTATCGTTCCTGTTCTCACTTTATATGAATGACGTGTGTGTGTGTGAAACAAAATGTCGTGTATCGTGTATTTGCCTAGGTTGAATACTCTTCCTGCGTATTATAGATGAAGCATCCACGGCCGGCCGCACGCCTCGCCGCGCTGAGACGCTTCGATGGTGTTGTGCAGCGCGTTCAACGGGCTGTGGAAGCGGTGATTGGAATCACCAACCACGGCACGCGTCGTTGCTGCGGTGACCATGCATTCAACAGCATCAATTGTCTCGCATGGTCCGTCAGTACCTATTCATGAGAGCAAACACTATGCCATTCGTGTAGCAGCATTGCATGACTATTTCGATGTCGCCGCCGACGTATTCAGCATTGCACAATTACAGGTGATAATCGAGTATATGTTTGTCATGAAGACTTGGGCAATAGCAGACATCGAGCAGCGTTTGAGTTTTAGTAGACGTGAACCTCCCCTAATTCGAGTGCTGTCCTTTCGCGAGACATCATCTCAATGCATGAATAGTATTTATTCCATTTTAATTCTCTTGGCACCTGAAGTCTTTGCTTGATCGGTTACTCAACGAATAGCGTGGTACACATTAATTCCGCAGCAAAGTGGTACTGGTGATGCAACCGAGGCGGGTTTTGCGACGTTTGCATTCAGTTATTGCTAGATTTACGATCTACTCAATTTAAAACGACTGTAGCACGGTCCTTGGCCACGAATTAATAAGACGGATCAGATTTGGTCCGTGAATGGGAGATCACTCCTATCCCGAATCTCCTTCTTTGGCTAGGAACGCCATGAAATGTGAACAAGTGTAACAAATTCCGAGATCGAGTATACTATTTCAAACAAGCCGTCCCACGAATGCTTCTTTCTACTTCTACGTTAGCTAACTAAGCTGTCACCGTGTGTAACACGCCTGCGAACCAGCAAATGATCTCCTGGAAAGTCGAATAGCAAAGGACGTTTAGTATTGCATGTGTACAGTTGATCTGCACTATAGATTTGAAGCATCGCGGGCATGTCGTAATTTGAGGCATCTTCTGCCTGTTCTTGCACTGGCATCCGGGCCTGGGGTGAGGATTCGTTGCGGCTACAAGAAACTGCTGCAAGTGGTCCTCACTTTGCAATCTACTGCCAGCCAGCTAGACGTCAACAAATGCACATGCACGGCCTCGTTCTCCCTGTTATCAGCACCTTTGTTTTCGTCCATGCTGAGTCGCTGAATCGTAGTGACCAAGCACTAATTGCTTCCAACCTCAGACCTGCACTCCCTTCGGACAATTCAGCGTCCAACCAGCCAGGACATCGACAGCCCGAAACAAACGGCTCGGCTGTGGACATCCCTACGCCTCTAGCTCCAGGACTAAATATCTCTGCGGAAGGAGAGTTTGGCCGCAACGAGCACACGAACGAGGAGCGACTTAACATTCCGTGGCACATAACACCAGATTGGATGATCAAGCTCAGAATGAGCAACTGGCTTCGATCCAAAACACCGCCCGATATCGCTTGTAAACGTCTCGGTCTCACGAAGGGACCAATTGATCTTCGGGTCTTCGCTTTCTGGCTGTACTATGTCAATCGTTTCGAGAAAAAGGTAGGACTTTCATGCCTCGAAGTGTTTGATAAATACAACAAGCTGACGACGGAGAGAAGCGTAGAAGAGGTGGCCGCGATACTAAAATCGCTTCGGAGAGTCAAACGCTTGGAAGGAACGGCGCAGCTCTTGCACAGGGCGTTGGCGGATAGTCTCAAGATGGAGCTGAATACGATGACTAGTGCATGGCAGCAGTCCGGATGGACCCCAAAGGAAGTTTTCGAGGTTTTCGAGCTGGGCAAAAAGGGAAATCTCTATGCGGGACCAGGGCCTGCAATTCAGTGGCTCCAATTCACTGAGCTGTTGAGAACGGAAGGTGATGCGCGTCAGATACCTACTGAAGACGCGGCGCAGCTTCTGATTGGAAATCGATTCAGCATCGAGAACTCGGAACAGTTCATCAAATACGTTGAGCAACGGCCATTGATATCGCACCTTGGTGGATCGCTTCGTCAAGCTCTCGAGGAGCGCAAGAAAAGTGGTGAGAGTTTGATTCGAGCTGCGGAGAACACCAAACATGCTCTTCTGTCGAACACGTTAGAGTGAGGATTCAATCATGGCGGTGAGTCTGGGTTTTTCACGTGGCAACCGCTATGGAGAAGCCCGCATCCTCGTCGTCTTGGGTCTTCAAGTACGCAACAATGTATACACAACCTTGTCGTTTTTGATCTTGTTCTTTTGAATCGAGTGTTTGCCTCACTTGAACGTAAGAGGAAGCCTATGGAACTACAGGAGCAGAAGCCGTTGCAAATCAAGTCGACGAAAGCGAAGCTGCACTTACTTTCATCTGTAGCGAAGTCGTTCAAAGATGTTGCATTCAGGCAGTTGAAGGTGAGCATTTGCCGTTGTGAGAGCAAGCTACCGCCCTCTTATCACGGCAGCATCTTCCATCTGCCTTTTCATCGATGCATTGGTGCCGAATGCTTCGTCCTAATGGCAAATCTTAACCTGGTATTCAACCCACCCGTAAAGCACCCCACCATGCCGGTTGCCGCGGCTTACGTTTCTTATGGTAGGCATCTTACTGCATGCACTGCTAGACATGCACTCACTGGGCTGACAGTATGCTACGATTCCTCGTGATCAACGAAGTGATCGAAACCCTTCCTTGTGAAGACCCGGACGTGATTCTAGACGGCCCTCTCACTGCACGTGCCTTCCTGTGTTGCCATTGTCCCAGCTCTACGATGAGCTCATTTGAAACACCCGTTGATCCTTTGCAGCCACTCGGAACAAGAGCGGTGTCCACCACTATGAATGCTTTGTGCATTCCTCATCGCTGCTTGCTGCAACATCAGTGCCTGCTTCACCGAGCCAGACATGCTTAGGCCTGTGGCCATATCGCTCTGGAAGCGATGAGATGATGAAAATCTCTGTCATCTCGGCTTCCTCTGTACGTGTTAGTGCCGCAATGTACACGACACGCAAGCGCTTGAAATGGCGCCAGACCTCTATGCAATATCAACCCAAGCAACAATGTGCGCGGTTTCAAGTGCAAGCATGTCTGCTGTACGAGTTGCAAAAACAAAACGTAGACTGGCACTCTCGGCAGCTATCCGTGTCCATGAGCACGATAGGGTACTGAAAGAGGTATGCCTCAGGACAGCTTTGGCCACGACATAGATGTTGATAACGTTCCTTCAATCATTGCCGAGTCTTGTTACCGTTAAATTGGACATCAACGCTGTGGTGCATAAAGTATCCCAGAGGCGTGCGGCAGCACACTCCAGTCGACTGTAGAGTTAAAAGGAGTTCTTGCCGTACACTACGAAAGACTACCACGAATGGGAACGGTGTGTTGAGCTATAGTATGGAAAGTAGGTGCTGAATGCAAGTGAGCCGCTCGATACACGCACATGATGGATCACTGATGCTTGCACACTGTTTCCGGTCACGTTCTCCTCATACTAAATGCATTTACGTAGCGCTTTCGACGGCACAACCGCGCGTGACGTGTACACCTTTCACCCAGCAAAGGAGACTGGTTTCTCAATGGCTAGTCTTGATAAATTGCAGCACCTTCGGAGGTGCTTCGGGTTGTTCCTGAATTTGTTTGACGTGTTCATTGATTCTAGCTCTTAATTGATAGCTCGTTGTTGCGTCAACAGGATCGACAATGGTACGGATCTGAGCCTAATGGACTCTTGGCATTAAGCGTATGGCAAGCTCTTGTATAAACTGGAAGAATTTGGCAATATATCGAGAGCTTGACGATCTTCGCTCGAGATTCACAGTCAAAGTGTGCACAACTTGTGCTAGTGCGCAATGTTGCGGCCAATACGTCGATCAAAGCTTCAAATGCGAGGATAGAAGTGGGTCGACAACGTGCAGCTCGAACACTTGACAAATACCGCTTGACCGCTTCTGCCCCAGCTACTTCATCTGCCAAGTTGCCAGCGTATATAGAAAGTGTGCGAATCATCATCAAGCAGCACTGGAGTAGACCATCATCTTTCACGAGACAAATGGGTTTAACACCGTGACGTGCGCCACGGTGCTAAACCTGAATACGTCTACGACAGACCAGCTTCGCTGCGTAACTGAAGGTGCTGCTAGTAAGTTTATATTGTTCCTAAATGATCATCTCTAGCTCAGCAATGAGGCTTGCGGCTTCATTTCAGATGGAGCTATTGATGACCTCGAAATTAGAAAGCATGACCAGCTCATGCGCTGCCTCGTTGTCAGACGTAGCATCCCTGCGCGTTTCTTCGTCAGCTTACCGTCATTGGTTGTGCGTGACATGGTGCTTTGTAGATTGTAACCAGGGCAGATGTGTGTTGACAAAGACCTTCATTGACGTTTATGCATGAGCAAGTCGAATGTGATCGATCGTATTGTCGTGCGCAGGACCTGCGAGACCAGAGCATTATTTGTCGCATTTTCATCGCCATTATTCTTTCGTCGGCGTAACAAAGTAATGTGGCATCTGACTGAGAGAACGATGATGAAATGTGCGAACGACAGCCGCCTTCCCGCATCTATGAAAACAAAAGGTCACCATAGTGGGCTGCAATTGACGCCGAGATCAATCCAGGCAACTGTGTCGATTGTATGAAACTTCCTACTCTTTTTTGCAGCGCACACAAGTTCTTCGATCGACAGAGCAACAGACCTCGATACAACCGTCAACTTTGCATCGCTAACATTGCGTTTTTAGTATGCGACGAGTACGCGTATGCTGCCACGTGCCATTTGCTCAACGAAGTTGCACTATGATCATCGTTATATCTGCACAAGTGTTCACAATCATCGGCTACCTGATTTTCTAAGAAGTTATTTCAAGCTGCATCGTCCACCGAAATACCCCCAACTGTGAATAATTTGCCCGACACTACTAAACCCGATGACGTTCAGTCATGGTGGTTCACGCACGTTTGAATTTCTGCCACAGCCCATCGTGATAATGTGGACCACGCTATGTCACATCCAGTTCAAAAGCCAGCCTAAAACGCCAGCACATAACTTGCGCGTTAGCTAAATATTACGGCAAAAGTCCCACCTTTTGTAGCCATAACTTCTCGGATCGAATCTAACCACCCTATCTCGCCCGAATTTAAACCTCATGCTTCGCTTCGCTGGCCGACTGCATGGATCGTACACTCAAGTCTCCCTTTCTAGCACCACTTTACTGCGAAAAACCCATGTGAACACCTTTTCGCTTCGAGGCCATGAAGTGACTGCTTTGGCTCGTCATGAACGGCACAAAGCGCTGTTGCTCAGTCGAGGGAGTCGTCAGGATCGGGTCCTGACTGCCAGTATGGGACTTGTCTCCGGTGGCCTCGTAGTTTCTGCAGCTCTTACTAATTACGAAAAAGGGTGCATACGAAGTTCGTATCAAGATGCAGTGGATGGATTCTACCGCGAAAATAGACGACAGAGTCACCAGACGGTAAAATACAGTCGGGCACAAATAGATAACTTACGGACGTAAAAAGTGCTGACATTTGCTGATTCTGTCTTGCTAATTTGTACTATGGTGTGTTATTTTTTCAGTGGTTCGAAGACAAGAATCAAAAGCTCATTGCCATGTTAATTGCAGCTAATACAGCTGTCTTTGGACTATGGCGAGTGTCGTTTCGGCACGCAAGACTGCACCAGTTCATGTGGAGACATTTTGCCAGCTCGTATGACGCCGTGGTCTATGGAAAACGGTTCCACACTTTATTGACGTCAGCTTTCAGTCATATTACGTTCCCCCACTTTGGCATCAATATGTTCATGTTGTGGGAATTCGGACCGCACGTGTTGGCACCAAGTAATAATCATGCTGGAGCGCGATATAATGAGCTCGTGGCCAACTCGAGGATTGCGGGATTTGTGAGAGACACTTACCACAACTTTCGTCGTGGACCGGAGTTATTGTCAATCGAGAAGTTTTTGGCGTTATACTTTACGTCGGCAATGACATCGTCGGCTTTGAGTGCACTGGTGTCGAAGCTGCGAGGACGTGGAGGAGGTACGAGAACGTATCGATTTTTGTCGAGGTGACTGTTGAAGTTTGTCTGACACACAAAGAGCTGATGCGGTGTGTGACTAGTGTTCTCGCTCGGCGCAAGTGGGGCGGTCTCGGCTGTCTTTACAGTATCGTGTCTTCTTTTTCCAGAACAGCGGGTGCGTTGCATATCGGTTTGCTACCATTGCGTGTGCTCGAATATTGCGTTGCTGATACGCGTGGGTTGGTTGATTGCCAGCTTCTGCTCTACGGAATCTTCGACATGACATCGGCACAGATGCTACAGCTGTACACTGCGCTAAATATCGTTGGTGCAGCATTCCAGCGCAACTTGCGCGTCGACTGCGTTGGCCACTTAGGCGGCCAGAGCGCGGGCTTTGCTTATCACCAAGCTCCATCCAGCAACTAGACCAAGTTAGAGCAAAGCCTCGAAACAAACATCCCCCTGAACCACGTAACACGACGCTTGTCCCATTATGCTCGCCTTATATTGCGTCGATCTAGCCGCAAAAACGTTTGCTACCTGCACCACAGCACCAAAGCCGCTATCGCGGTCTCGTACGAAAGCAAGAATGCCAGAGCTTGCGCACTCATGGCTACTGGATCGTCAGCCGCTACACAACACGCTGAAGAACGAGTCCATGTTGTGATTTGGCCCGAAACTTACTCAGCTTGCTCCAAGTAGTCCTTCACCTCCGCTGGCGTCAGCACGTGAAACTTCTTGTCCTCCTTGATGATACCCACTTCAATGTTCGTCTCGTCCATCTGCAACAACAAAAGCGTCGAGTCAGTATCGAGGTTTACCAAGTCTGCAGCCAAAACTCATATCGATCCATCTCCATCTCACCTCTCCCTCGAATCCTTCACGAAGCGTCAGCAGCGCCGTATGGATCGCATCTTCAATCTCCATGTCGTCATTGTAACGCTGTCACCAGCAACAAAAAGTCAAAAACACACACAAAAGTATCAGCATCCACCTCTTCACATCCTACAACACCCTTGTACCCCCTTGATCAATTTCTAGCACTTCAACCACGTACCCGCTCCAGAAACGTCTTTGCACTGACCGAGTCTTTGCCAATAGCCGTGGCCTTCCAGCCAAAGTAGGCCCCCGAAGGGTCAATCTGAAACAGCTGCGGTCCATCCTCGTCATAGCCTGCGTACAAGATCGACACGCCAAACGGACGCACACCGCCCGACTGAGTAAACTCCTGCATCACCGCTGCAATCTCACGCACGAGAATGCCAGCAGGGGCGTGCTCCTTGTACTTCTGGAAGTACGTCTGCGCTTTCTTGCGCGCTTTCCGCACAAGAACGCGGTAATCCGGACCAAGGCCGCTGTACACGATGCCTGCGGGCTCCGAGAGGATCGAAATCTTCTTGTGCGAGTCTTCGTCCACGAGAATAGTCGGCAGTTTCTTCTCCGTAGCGATCACAACCCCATTTTTACCTAAAATAGCACGAATTAGCCTTTTCCGCGTGATTTTAGCGATATTTGCCAGTAAATAGCCACACAACAGCCTACATCGAATGCCGAGCGACGTTTTGCCACCGGAATTGACAGCATTCAGTGCGTATTCGATCTGCAGGAGCTTTCCCGATGGATTGAACGTCGTGAGACTGAACGAGTACGCCGAGTCTGCCATTGCCGATTACGCCGTGAATACTGTAGGTACGAGCATGAAAGAAGTATGGGGTTGTAGAGGAGATCGTTAGCTAGGTAGTACACAAGTTAGAAACCGGGCAGCGCGTCTGGGGACAACAAGAGAGAGCGTTGACTACAGCCGTCTTCAGATCGCTCTTCTTACCGTACTGCGGAATCCTCTTTTAAGGGGGAGCGGGTGAACCGTGGATCGTGTGTACCACCAGACGGGTACATCGAGGTTTTTATCATGCGCTTCCTTTTTTTTATTAATCGGCCTGAATTAAAGCAAATGTCAGGAGAAAAAATGTGGCGCGTCAGACGTTTTATTTTTATTTTTATTTTTCCTGTTTGCTATTTCTATTCAGTTGACAATTTGCAGCCATGGACCTTGCAAAGGCTCAATTCAGTCGCTTGCGAGACTATGTCTTCTATAATCGCAACCCTATTGTCCAGGTATCCGACTGTTAGGACCTCATTGACATGACCTACACTAGTCAGGACTAAGTGCCGCTTCTATACGTATACACCATTGCCAATGCAGATCGTATACTTTGTAGCCATGAGCTCGTGCTATTCCCTCTACCTTCGTGAAGCTCACCCGCTGTTACCAAACGAATACGTTGCGTGGTATCACAAGTACGAGACTTTTCTATTGATTCGTCGTTAGTATCGAATGAATTTTGCTCAATTCTTTTGTTAAAATGTGTGATATTGTTCTTGTTATTATTGTAGATGGGTGGGGACGTTACTATTTGTAGCGTCCATGGCGATGTACGTGGTCATGTGCGTGAGCGATCCCGGAGTTATTCGGAGTGACAACATTCAAGAGTTAAAGCAGTACGTGAACCACCCAGTGATGTACCCCGAGATGAAGTACTGTCGGACGTGCAAGACGTTAAAGTGAGTACGACTTGATTGGTGACATTTCGTGACAATACGGATTGGATTGTAACGGGTTCGTGAGTTATTGTGTGTGTGTTTTTTGGCTCAGACTGCCACGGTCGAAGCATTGTTGCATGTGCGATCATTGTGTTGGCAGATTCGACCACCAGTAGGTGTCTAGATAGTTGACCAAGAAGCTCCATTATGGCCATTGCAGATACGTGCTGTGCTAACTTGGCGACGTGTTTTTGTGTATTGTGCAGTTGCAGTGAGTGTCAAGAAATGAAGACAGACTTGTGATTTTTGCATTTGTCGTGCTGTCTTGGAGCCTTACGCTGTGGTTTCTATCTGCTGCACTCGACAAAGTTTGGTTCAACGGGTGTGTTGGCGAAAAGAACTACAAGTACTTTCTGGTGTACTTAGTGGTCGGTCGTTGTCGTTTGTCTGTACATGAGCAACGATCGCAGCACTAACAGTCTATTCTCTTGTGGCACTATGTAATTTACGTGAGCAGGCCCAGCTTGCAGTCTGTCTTGAAGGTCTTTTCATCACCAGCAGCGTTTTTCTTGTCCAGGTATGTCCAAAGTGGTGATGGCATGATGCCACTAGACCTTGACACATGCTTTGGCTGAACTCATGCAGACTAGCGACTTGCTCCTCTCTCGGGGTGTAAGCATGGACGAGGTTGACAGAGCAGAGATTGCAAAGATCTTGCAGTCTGTGATCGCGGTATGTTCACTCTTGTAGTATATTGCAGCATAGGGTCGTTGTTGACGTACGCATCTGACGTTTATCTGCCAACAGAACAACCAAGCGTTGGGTTTCGTCTCGGCCATGTGCCTCATGACCAGCGTCATTCTCTGGGTGTTCATCCTGATGCAGCTGAAGCGCATTGCCCAGAACGAAACAGCGAACGAATCGTTCAAACGCGAAGATCTGCGCGAGGAAGCGGAACTCGACGGCGAGACGTCAAGTCGCCAAATATTTCGCTTTCTGTACAAGCGGCTAACCTTCCGGCAGCGTCCAAAGTCGTCAGTGCCGCGTCGTGAGCTCGAAACGACATTGGACGCATCGTGGGGAGGTCTCTTTTCACCAGACACCATCCTGAACACTGAAGCAAGTTACTCTGTGGACGACGTGAACTTCAACCCGTACAAACTCGACTCGTTCAAGGCAAACCTGTTCGACGCGCTTTGCTTCAGCAGCAGCTGCACCAAGGAAAAAACGAATTGACGCAGATACATCAAGACATGGTTGCGAAAAGTCGACAGTGTTTGCAGTAATAGAGAGGGGAGCCCGGGTTGGAGCGAGCTTTGAGCAAAACAGCGACCACAATATCAACGAGGCGTGCGTCGTAATGAACAGCCACCACCCGCGATGATCCATTCTCTCCCGTTTGCTGTCCTGCTGGTAGCTCAGCTCGCTCCTCTGTCCTTGTCACCTAAAGTGACGCGCTGCTTCTGGCCGATTCGCCCAATCCAGAGAGCGTTTTGTTCATGCTGAGTGTCGCCTGCACCGAATGCACGGCAGCTTTGAATTTCTTGCGTGCGTGGAACCGTCGGAGTTCGGTCAAGGCGCTGGTGAGCGGCACAGTTGCCACATCAGTGCCCGTGATCCACGGATGTGCCAGCAGCTCTTCTGCGGTCGCCCGATCGTTCGGGTTGACCACCAGCATCTTGGAGATAAACCCCTTGGCGTCCGTGGACACGTTGTCCCAGTACGGCGAGTCAAAGTAGAACTTGCCGTTCCGGATCTTCTTGAACAGCACCGACTGCGACTCGTCATGGAAAGGAGGGTACCCTGCCAGCAGAATGTACGTGATGATGCCAATGCTCCAGATATCCACGGGTTTGCCGTATGAAGCTCCTTCCAAGATCTCCGGAGCGACGTAGCCAGGCGTCCCACATGTCGTAGCCAGTCCCGTCTTGTCTTTGGACACGGTTTTGGCAAACCCAAAGTCTGCGAGTTTAATACTCGCGTCGTCGTCGGCCGAGAGGAGCAGCAAGTTCTCGGGTTTCAAGTCGCGATGGACGACGTTTTGGTCATGGCAGTACTTGATCGCGCCAATGAGGATCTTGACCAAGTCCCGCGCGGCTTTTTCCGTGTAGAAGGTTTTTTGCACGATCCGGTCGAACAATTCGCCGCCACTGACGAATTCCGTGACTAAATAGTAGTACTCGGGCTCGGTGAAAACCTCCTCAAGAGTCATAATATTCGGATGTTTCAGCTGTTGCAAGATCGAGACTTCGAACTGAATCGCCGCGTCGTCGTCTTGGGATAAATCCGACCGTTTGATGCACTTGATTGCGACTTTGTGATTGGTCCCAATGCGGACGCTCTCCCGCACGACCGAATAGGACCCCGAGCCAATCACTTTGCCGAGAGAGTACGAGTCGGTCACTTTAGGGGGTTGCCCATTCGGGGTGGATCGCGACACGACTGCGACGGGGTGGTCCATTCCAGCGTTTGCCGTCGTAGCCACTTGATCTTTTGATGGAGAAGACGAGGTGCTGCTGTTGTAGCGGTGGAAACACTTGTAGAAACAGTCGAAGCAGTGCATGTTCAAGGAGAGAGAGAGAGAGCGAGAGAAGGAGAGGCGTGACGACGGGTGGGGTCCTATTTGTAGCGTGGAGGCATAGATGGATACATCCGGATGTACCGACCCAGCCACCCACCCACCCACTGATTCCCGCGAGACGAAATAAATCAGACGACGTGGAAGACCCATTTCTGTCCTCTAAATTTGTGGATTTTGGAAGTTTAATAGGGTGGAAAGGCGAAAAAGAAGGGGCAAAAGTTGACTTATTGCACAAGTATTGGCAGTAGATGAGCAACGAAATGGTAATGTGAATGAGTCATTATGATGGCATCGAGACACGTAAATCGTAGCATTCAGAGCACTGTTAACAAGACGGGAAGCAAGTTGTCGGTGACCTTTTCTAACTCGTGCAGCTAATCTGTAGATTCAGCGAGAAAGCGTCGGTTCCGAATGATCTATTTCGGTATGCCGTTTCATACATTGTCACTTAACGCGAGGGTTCGCTATGCTTGCCAGTTACAGATTTGGTATCGGTTGGAAATATCGGACCGTTATCGCAATTGGTCGCTCGTGGTCCATTTCAAGCATCTAAAAATGGTGTAAAAGCTGAAGGTTTGTTCGATACCAGTCCCAGCCTGATTTCCCGATACAGAATCACCGTAGTATTTGCCTCAAACGAAGAATAACCCCATTTCCGTGTCAATCCCATTATTCCTCTGTGGCGGAAGTATTACTACCAGGAAACCTGTCTTAACATCTGACCCGTCCTCCAAGCAACGATGCAGAATGAACTCGCTGGACATTTATCGATGAAGAGAACAGTCCCACACTGTCATCTCTCCATCTGGCATTACACCTCGGCCACTGCATGCAAAAAAGACTTACTCGCAGTGGTCGACGCATTGTAGACCGCTAAAAATCGTGTAGTGATCCCCATCGATCTACACGTTGAAGCGAAGGTATCAATCAGCACGAGTTGAACAGGTTTTCGATCCTTGTTGTACGCACCACCCAATGCAAAGAGGTTCGTCAAAGGAGGACGAGGACGAGGAGGACGAGGACGAGGAGGACGAGGTGCAGTCGTCAAAGACCTCGTTGTTTCGTAGAGCACACCATAGTGCGTATAGTGAGCCAACTGACGTGCAGGCCACATGCCGTGACCTGCGTGGGGCAAGTCAGGATGCAGTGTATGGCAGCAGATTCCTTCGTCTTCCTTCCTCTTGTCCCGTCTTCATCCTCCCGCAGATGCGGCAGTTCAGGTCGCTCTCTCTCTTCTCACAGCACGTAGCGGAGACCTTCCTCGAGTGTCACCATAATCACGCACATGGCGGTAATAAGACGACGACTTCACCCTCGTTGACCCACTTTCTCTCTCTCTCTCTCTCTCTCTGCAGCCAGAAGCCGAGATCTCGTCCATCTCGTCTGTCGAGATGAGCCAGCCCAACGAGCAGCTTGGCCTCGACTCGACTCGGAAGAAGAAGAAGCGACCTGCGGACGGACTTCTCGCGCGATTTGCAGTGGACGATTTGCTCAAGTCCTGCGTGGCACGCGTCCCAATGGACAGAACCGCTGGACGGTCTCGGCTGTCCCGTCTTCCGAGTTGGACCGACCTCGCGCCATCATGATCTCCGATCCCTTCCCATGTGATCGATCGCATTTGCCTGATCTGCCACGGTACGAAGTAGAGCCCACGCAATACTTGCTCACTCACTCACTCGCTCTTCATGGCTCAGTTTCGGGGTTACCACCAGCATGAGTCTCAGTCCGATTTCTGCCGTCCATTGGATCTCTGCAGCAACAAGACCAGCAGAAGTGCGACCGATTGGGATCTCGTTATCCCCTGGCTGTTTCCAAGCAACGGACGCCCACCGACGACAGTACAATGCACTCATCCAGAACCGCGTGAATGCGCTCCTTCAGGATGAACGGCACTACCTTGAACGAAGAAGTCGCGGGGAACCGATGCTCGATCCGAAACAGTGGAAACAAGTCAAGAAGGAGAAGGACTTGACCTTCTACCGCCGACGGACTCATAGGGGACGACAGTCCCGGGTTGACATCACCCAAGAAGAAGAAGGAGGAGAAGAAGAAGAACTCCCGGAGATTCAACGGGCTATTGATCGGGGGTACACCACGTTGATCTGCGACGGAGTTGTCAAAGGAACCATTGAAGACATGCTCTACGGCATGACTGCCTCGTCCCAAGACGACCTCCTCACGGGGTTCTCGTTCCGGAACCCACCTAAAGACTGCGTCTGGCTAGGAACCGTTGAACGGGCGACACCTGCTGATCCGTTCCACACCGCCGACTTGATCTGGGCTCTGCCAAAACTGCCTCCCATCCTGGATCAAGTCGACGTGTGTTACCTCAAAGCTACGGGCCAAGCACTGGATCGAGACGGCAGACGCTATGGCTACGTCGTGCTGCATAGCGTCCACATTGCACAGTGTCCTGCTTTCGAAGCTCATGGCATCTCGCGCTCGAAAATGTACTTTACCTGTTTAGTGCGGGAGCCCCAACCTGGCGTGTTGAAAGTCACTGTTCGAGGCATCTTTGACCTGAGCAAGAAGGTGCGGATGCTAACCGGCCTCGTGTCAGCTGCTACGACGTCCCTCATGGTCGGTCTTTTGAACGCTGTTGGCATTGGGGAAGCCAAGAAACTCACGCTTTTAGCTCATCGCAAGAAGAGATCGACAATCGGTGATGTCGTTCGGCCTCGGAGACAATCGGTGTGCTCCTTGTGCTGCAAACGCGAGTCGTTTTTCGGTCGCGTTCATCTCTTCAGAGCTCACTTGTCAACGTGCTATATCTGTGAAGCCACGGTTTGCTCCAATTGTACACGGGGTAAGAACCAGCGGATCTTCTTAGGAGTTACCCGTCCCTGCTCGAAGGTTGACTGCTGTCCGAATTGCGTGCAAGCTGCAGTGACAATGATCCACGTCCAGCCGTCGGAACCCGAGTTTCAAGTTGTAGCGGAGTACTACCTGAACCAGCCATCTTCATCTTCATCCGAGCTGGACGCGCTGTTTTCTTTCAACGGCATGAAAACCAACGCGTCCTCGACTCTCCCGACGAACTCGACGTCAGTTGAAAGCTTGGGCGAGTACACGCTCGAGTTCGAAGACGATCCGTTTTCAGTGGCGCTAGATCTACCGGAACTTCGTCGGAGCTCTGGAGACAGTGAGGACAACAATCTTGAGCTTGAAGTGGACACGGACGAGGTGGATTCAGGTCCTGAAGCAGAGGCAGGATCGATTGAAAGCTCCATTACGGTCTGGTTAGGAGGTCGACATCGTATCAGTATCGACGACGAAGATTTCATCCCGCAAACAGCTCCTGACACTATGTACTCGGACAGGTTATACGCCAATGCTCGACTTGCTGAGCGGGTTGACCAGAGACTTCTGGAATTGAACATCCGAGTGGAACGCCCGTACGCCCAGACACAAGAAGTGACGCTATTGAGACAAGGGGGAGGAGGGTAACGTTGATGCAAGAGTGACGTCTATTCGTTGTGTGTGGTGTCTATCAAGGTCAAGCTAGGAGGTGCTGGTGCTGGTGCTTCTTCTTCTTCTGCCTGCAACTCCTACCGCATGGACTTCTTCATGAGTGCTTCATTGGCTTTTGCCGTCACATACGCTTCCTCAGCAGACAAGTGAAGCTCCACCATCCACTCAAACATGTTGTGCGGAGGTCGAGGCTGGTGAGCTGGAGTTGCCACATGAAAAGCTCGAGACGTTGACACGACGTCAGTGTCAACCGGATACCTTCTGTTCGCGAGATCATGACCATTACTCTCCGCTGGGCACCTGTCGCCGAAAGCTCGCAACTTTCTCGAAGTCGTATCGTTTGTGAACTTCTCACCAAGCTCGGCGTACTCCTGGAGCAATTCTACTGCCACTTCGGACTCCTCGTCCAGCTCGATATCCCCGTTGAAATGCAAAACGCTCGAGTGGAATCGGTAGTCGCCCGAGTTGAGATCACTCAATGGACCGGAGAAGCTCAGGCTCACATCGCAGTCGAACCCTGCACAGCTGTCTCCGATTGTCGAGTTGGTCACTGCTACGGACGAGCACGTTTTACCAGCATCGAACGGCAGCGAGGAAGTAGTCGTCAACTTTCGCACTTCATTGAGGCGATCCCGTCCATTGTTGTGGGTACTTTGGACTGGAGCTTGTCGAGCTGAAGCTTTGGATGGAGCCATTGAATATGCTGCTGCGATTGCCAAGCAACTCGCAGAAGATGAAGTCGGGACGAGACGGTTCTTGTCGTAGAACTCGGCCACGACCATGAACTCGGGCTCGCCAAGCCGCACGTTTGTGATACTGCGAGCCTGCTGCAAACAAGTTGCACAGCATGTGACCTCGCGCCAAGGCTGTCTCGTGCCTACGAATATCTTCCGGTCCTTGATCTTGCAGTTCTTGCAGATCAAGACATTGCAGACTGCACACGAACGGCGTCGCGCACCCGGTAGCAACCGTTGTTTTCCACGGATGCACATGGAGCAAACGTGTCGCTTTGAAGAAGCTTGGAAGTGATAGCGCTCGTTGTGATACCTCGAGGCCAACAACGTGAGCTTCTTGGTCTCCCCACAACTCGCTGCTCTCAAGAGACCACCGATGACAGCTGCAGTTGCATGTGGCAGCACGAGCTTGAGCATCTCTCCACCTGCCAAGTCAAAGATGCCACGTCCACTCACGTGCAAAGTATTGGGCGTGAGCTCTCGAAACAGGAAGGAGAAGTACATCTTGGCACGAAGGACTTTGGTGTTCCGGTAGTCGAACGGCGGACACTCGGAGATATCGACCGAGTGAAGCACCATGTAGCCGTAAGGCACCCCTTTCACATCACGTCCAATGCCAGTAGCTTTCAGGAAGCAAACGTCTCGTGGACACAGGAGCGGAAGTTTCGTGAGCACCCAAAGGAGCTCAGCGGAATGCAGGGGATCTTCAATGCTCGAGTGCTCAAGGACATGCAGCAACGCAGCATCCAGCGGTGGCGAGCTGATGGAGAAGCCCGTCATCATCTCCTCCTGGGTTGTTGCACTCGCTCCGTAGAGCATGTCCTCCATCGTCCCGTTCATGATGCCATTGACCAGCATACTCGGGTTCCCTCTCTCTACGGCGATCGCAGCTTCCGGGAACTCTTCTTGGGCTGCCACCTCTTGTCTCGACCGACCTCGAACGCGTCGCTGGTACACGTCCAAGTCCTTGATGCTTCGCACAAACTTCCACTCTGCGTGCTGCACGACCGGGTGGTGTTGAGCCAGTCGCTCAGCATATCGATACTCTTCAGCCAGCATGGCGTTCACCCGAAGTCCGATGAGGTCCTTGAATTCCTCACGCTGCAAAAGCGAGACGTGGACAGTGGGGAAATAACCTGCAGGCAGTGGGAACCGCGTGGAGGAAGCTGCAGCCGGCATCACGTCCGAAGAACAAGAGTCTTCCCCAACGTCGCTGGCTGCTGTCTTGGACGTCACGCGAGACCTCGTCGGCATGTCGGAATCCAGCTTTGTCAACGTAACTTCAACAAGCGGCAGGACCAACGTGCTACGCTGGAAGTTCAAAAGTGACAAGTCGCACGTGACACGGTCCGTGTCTTGTCCAGATAAGCACGACCGACGAGCTCCCACCCTCCGACAGCATCCAACCTCTGCACTTGACGCTAGAGACGGACGTGTCGAGGGATTCCTTCATCGGATAGGAAGGAGCCAGCCATGTTGGTGGACGGAACGGCACTGCACCAAAGGAGGCCTAGTAGGTAACAGCGACACGACTTGACGCCTGCTGCGCAACGGCTTGACTCATGCAGTAGACACACAGGATGAGAGATTGAGAGCAGGAGATGAATAGCGATACATATATATACACGAAGCTTTACCCGGTTACGCCGCTGCGGCATCTGGTCCCGTTTGGTTCGCTGCAACCGCTTCAATGTTCATCATGAGGGAGGTCCGCATGCCAATGGTGATCCCCATTGCGTACTGCACGTTTTGACCTGGAACCGGGACCAGGTGGAACCGCGCCACGAGCGTCGCAATGACAATCTTCATCTCCAGCATAGCCAGTGCTTTCCCAACACAAGCGCGTTGGCCACCACTAAAGGCATTGAGCTTCGCCGCCGGCAAATGGCGCAACTTGCCCGTCTCAGGATCGATAAACCGTTCAGGCTTGAACTCTGTAGCGTCTGGACCCCACACCTCCGTCCTTCGCGCAGTGCCAAAGTGACACATGCCGACGGTCGTGCCCTTCGATACGAACGTCCCGTCGGGGAAGACGGTATCCCGGGTGCACTCCCGCATGGTAAACGGCACGGGGGTATGCAACCGTAAAAGCTCTTGGATCGTCGCTTCCAAGTACACGAGTCCCTGGACGTCGTCCATTGTTGGCACGTACGAGGCATCAAGTGCCAAGGTCGGGACCTTGTTTAGCACTTCGGCCCGGAGCTGCGTTTCAACTTGCGGGTGTTGCGTCAAAGTATGCAGCAACCAGCTCATGGTATCTGCGGAAGTATCTCGACCAGCACCTAAGGCAGCAACTGCAATGTTGCGGACGTCTACAGGGGAGACCATGTCCCCATCCTGAGCAATGCACTCGAGCACAATCGACACGAGGTCTGGATCCGTCTTCCCAATCGGGTGCCCAGCCTGGAGGTCTTGTTGTCGCTCGTGCTGCTTCTTAATAGCGACCGAGATGATGTCCATAATGAACGCATCAATGAGCTTCAGGTGCTCTCTAAGCTTCCGTTCTTGACCGATATTGAGCCACCTTTGGAGTTTCCAGAGCCACACGGGCTGCTGAAGGCGACCGGCAACGATCGATTGAGCTGCGTCAAAGGCTTGTTCGAACGGATGCTCGTGCTCCGAGTCAATGCCTTCCAACGAGTTGTTGAAGACCATCTCGGCAAATGCTTTGAACGTGAACCGGTGCATGAGCATGTAGAGATCCACCGGTTGGTTGGTGCTCGCAGCTTTCATCAGAACTTGCTGGAGCAAGAGCGTATGGCGCTGGATCAACGGCGTCATGTGATCCCTTAGAGCTCGGGCACTCAGAAGACGCAGAAGCAGGCGACGATGGTAGCGCCACCGCTCGCCTTCAATGAGGAGGACGCTGTGACCCATGAGGTCGACAAACATGTCGTACTGCTGCTGGCCTTTGCTAAAGTGGTGGAACTGCGTCTTGACTACGTGCTCGTAGTGCTCGGGCACGGCCGTGACGAGCATGTCGCTCTGACCGGGGAGGTAGAGGCGGAACCTTCCGTTGTGGGCGATGCATTGGGCGGCCATCCAGTCATGGAAGCAGTGGGCGTTGCTCGCGAGGGCCAGCATATTGCCGAGGAGAGGCACCTTGGACGGCAGGTACGGCACTTCCTGGGGCTGAATCCGGACGAGGTCCTTGTCCTCTTCGTCTTTGTCGTCGTGGTCTTCCGAGTTGCAGGGAAGCTGGACTGGAGTTGATCGGGATGAGACGTAGACGGCGACAACTGCAGCTCCTGCAAGTAACACGAGTCCAGCGGAACGGACGGGAGCTCCTGCTCGGGAGTTGAGGTGCCACCATTGACGCAGTCGCATGGCAATGGATGGACAGGTTGGATGGCAATCGAGGGTGAGGAGATATTTCTCGGGTGGGAAGGAGGTGCGGGACGACCGATTCCGCGGGTTGGAAGCTTGGAGCGGAGTGAGGTTGAGTCGAGGGGATGAAGAGGACGGTCTGGTGTGGGGGATCGTGTTCCAGAGGACGTTAAAGGAGACCGCGGTGACCTGGATCACCCGAGCATTGCACACGTCAGGGACCGTCCCACTTCGGAGAGAGAGATGGGGAAGGACGAGATGAGACGAGTTGGACGTCCTCCTGCTCACGTCAGTCGAAGTTGTTGCGGCGTCTGGTTGATGCTTTTCAGTGGACGCAGGTGCCTGCTGCCCCATGGAAGGTCTCAGTGCGAATGGACGGAGTTGACGACTGTCGTTCGAACTGGACGTGTCTGACGCGAAACAGTCAGACGGAGCTCCTCAGACCGATCTTAGTCCATCAACTATCGTAGCTTTTCGCGCCAAGTGCAACTGCTATAACACGGTCAACATCCCATCATCAAAAGTCCATTGACGCACGCTTCCAGGAACGCGACAGTTGGACTTCCACGCTTGTCCTTCGTGGCACTCGTGCTTGTCCCGCGTCATCAAAACCTCCATAGACAGACCGACGGACAGACGGACGGACACGCAGGATCGGGTCTGACCCTTGACACATCAACAAGTACCAATCGGTCATTCCTCGACGTGCGTCCTGCTTCTACAGCATGTTGCTGCCTTCCACGATATTGACGCATCCTGTTGTCATCGGTCTTGTCGTCGCCGCAGCAGGGGCAACGCTCTTGTCCATAGCGTCCAGGAGGTATGCAAGCGACCCGGACTCTGGACATGACCACGAGACGAAAGAAGAGCCCATGTGCTCGGTCCCGTACCTTCCTGGTGGCCACCCCGTGCTCGGACATACGTTGATCATGGCTCGGAACCTCGACCGGTTTCAAGACTGGCTCGTGGAAACGAGCGTCGCTCGTAATGGCCAGCCGTTCGTGCTGCGTCAACCAGGCAAGAACGACTGGCTGTTCTCGGCTCGACCTGCGGATTTCGAGCAGATCTTGAGCGTGCACTTTGACACGTTCATCAAAGGCCCGCAAGTCCGTGACTTGCTGCACGACTTCATGGGCGAGAACATTGTCATTATCAATGGCGAGCGCTGGCGATTCCAGCGCAAAGCGCTCGTGAACCTCTTTACGGCGCGAGCTTTGCGGAATCATATGACTCCTGTTGTCCGGAAGTGTGCCTTGGCCTTGCAGCAAGTGTTTGCAAGCGCGGCCAAGACGCAAGGCGTAGTGGACGTGCACCATTTAATGGGTCGCTTTACACTGGAAACGTTTGCAGAGATCGAGTTCGGTGCGCAGTTGGGGCTGCTCGCTTCCGGTCGAGACCATGCGTTCGAGACGGCAATTGATGAAGCCAACCACGTGTCGCTCGAACGGTTTGCTGTCCCCACTTGGGTATGGAAACTCAAACGCTGGCTCAATATTGGCTCGGAACGTCGACTTCGTCAAGCGATGGCCGTGATCTCGACGTTTGTCATGACTTGTATCTCCGGAGCGATCAAGCGTCGCTCGGAACGACGAGCAGCTTTAGCAAGAGGAGAGATCCTGGGACCGGTAGCAAACGACATTGTGTCGATTTTGCTTGAAACCGAAGACAAGACGGGGGAGCCCGTGCTCCCGACTGACGTGTTTAACATCTCGCTTGCAGGTGTCTTGGCTGGAAAAGACACGACCGGCGACGCCACGAGCTGGTTACTGCACTTGCTGCATGAAAACCCACGAGTCGAGAACAAATTGAGGACGAAGCTCCTTGCGCATATCCCGAAACTCGCCCTTGACGAGACGTATGTGCCAACAATTGACGAGCTGGAGGGTATCGCGTACTTGGAAGCTACGATCCGTGAGAGTTTGCGGCTGAAACCACCTGCTCCGTGTGTCACGCAGCATTGCACGCAAGACACGGTCTTCCCGGACGGTACGTTTGTTGCCAAAGGCACGGACACGACCTTGTTGTACCATGCTTCGGCCTTGTTACCAAGTGTGTGGGGTCCAGATGCTGCTGCGTTTAAGCCGGAGCGATTCCTCGATGATGATGAGAGGCTCGTGGTTCTCCCTCCTCTCAAGTTCATCGCCTTCAGTGCAGGGCCTCGCATTTGCGTGGGTCGAAAACTTGCAATGATTGAGATGAAGATCGTCACGGCTTGTCTTGTAAGTCGCTTTCATCTCGTTCAAGTGCCTGGCCAAGACATTCGAGGAACGATGGGGATCAGCCTCGGCATGAAGAACGGGATGAAGGTGACGGTTCATCCGACCTTTGGACTTGCCACCAGTGCTTGACGTGAAAAGCTCTAGCCTGGTTCCTGTCGGTATCCAGGAGCGCTCACGACCATTCCGTTGTCAAACCTATCATTCAGTTCAGTTCATTAGTACATGAGGAGATATCGACATTCATTCAACGTGCTTGTTTCAAGCGCTCGTACGCTTAACCATTGCATCAATCGAGATCAGCACCACGTAGACTTCTGGTTGTCGCCTGTGTCTGCATGTACGTGTTCTCTGCCGTGATATTGAGTTGAAAGAGTGTACGGTGCAAATTCTCGAGCTCTGAACGCGATTTCGTGCTTGTACTACGGGGAATGAAGTCACCATCGACCACTGGATGATGCGTTTTCCAGATCGTGAGGGTACTCTTGTCCGACTCACTCGACAGGTTGACTGGACTTGGATCGGGTTGGGCCACAATGTAGCTGTCGGGCTCTTCATCGCTAGAGCAAAAGTCTGCTTCATCAAGCTCCCCCGAGAACGGATCAGTGTCGATGCTATCGTCCGCTGTAGAGTTGGTACGCATATCTGCAAACCCAGAGCTTTTCATGACATGTTCATGTCGACCGCTTCTGCGTTTGCGAGTCAGCGTGTCCAGTGGATAGGAGGTCAACGACGACAGCGATCGAACCGGACTGATCAATACAGGCGCAGTCTGAGATCGATGGGTGAGGTAATACTCGGCAATGACTTGAAACTCCGGCTCATCTGGACGAACATCACGCATCATTCTTGCGTCCCGCATACAAGCCAAGCAACACGCGTGCTTCGAGCACGGAGCATCTGGACCCAGAAAAAGGATCTGCTTGGTATTGGCAACGCAGTTTGAGCACACGGTGGTCCTACACACGCCACACTGAAGCAAATGCGTGTCCAAGCCAAAGAGTAGTTTACTCTTGGTCTTGAAGCAGATTGAGCATCCCGACTGCATTGGACTCTGGAGTGCATTTTGGTTGCGACGTTTCATGATCGTGAGTTTCTTGGCCAAGCCGATCGCAACGCCGTCGAAAAGCTCAAGCATGAAGGACTTAGTCGCAGTCGTCACCAATTTCTTGGCAATTTTCCCACGACATCTCCCTAAGTCGAAGATGCCGCGCACGATCACATCCAGATGTCCCGGTGTTGTCTCTCGAAAGAGACACGCAAAGTACATCTTGGCTCGAGAGATTTTTCGAGCTTCGAATGGCCGGCAGTGTGGCAAGTCAACGGAGTGTAGTACTAAATAGCCATACGCCTTCCCATCTTGGTCTTTCTCGATCCCAGTAGCTTTGAGGTAGCAGATATCGGCATGATAGGCTTGTTTAGGAAACAGCCAGATCACGTCGGCCGAGTGAAAAGGGTCTTCAGGCGTCGGTCCTTCAACTGAGCCCAACCAAACACAATCTCGTGGAGGGTTTTTGTACCACATCCCGGTCATCAAGTCTTCTTGCGATGAAGCAGTCAAGCCATACAGCATGTCCTCCATTGTCCCTTGCACTTGTCCATTGCCAACCATGCTGGAATACCCATTTGCCACTGCCCGCCGAACGTCCGGGAGACATTCGTCGTTCTCCAAGTCACGCAATGTTCGACCTCGTCGATTTCGTTTGTACAGATGAAGCTCTTTACCTGCTTGAATCTGCTTCCACTGCATCGGGTCCAGCAGTGGCAGTACTCGATCCCGACGCTCTTTGTACATCTTTTCGTCTGCACGCAAGATTTTCACGTGCTCTTGGACGATACGCGCAAACTCCTGACGCTTGGATTCGGTCGGGCGGAAACAACCCGGAGATACGGGAAACTTCAACATCGGAGACCGGTCCTCTGCCATGTCGAGTCGCACTTCTTCATTCGCTGATGTGGCACTTGAGATCGAGGTCATCGTGTCCTTGACGCCGAGTTTGCAAGTGCTGTCCCATTGACTGCAGTTCATTGGGGACCGAGAACCAGTTGCCAGACCTTGGTAAAAAAACACATACACACACATCGAACAATAGTCATCGATATAATATGACGCGAGACGTGGTGGTACTTACAAAGTGGCAGGGTTAAAAGTCGCAGAAAGTCGATGCTCGAGTCGCGCATAGCAGCCGCGACTTTCGTCCGTTTTCTTGCCCTCCCCCAAAAGTGTATGTTTATCGCGATCCCACGTCACAGCTGGTCGCTTTTTTCATACTGTGTCTCAGTCAAATAAAAGCGCTTCATCCCCTCAGGCATTGACTGGTTGTGTGTCGCTGATCATGGCGTGGGGCAAGAAAACCGGCGTCGATGACTTGCTGCAGAAACTAGCAGATCCGCGGACGGCCACGAGTCTCTATGTTATGAGCGTGCGTTCCCTGAGCGACTCGGACGTTGTGACATTGGCGAAGGCCATTAGCACCAACACTTTGCTGCGGGAATTGTACATGTCTGGCCACGAGTTGGGACCTCGTGGGTTAGAAGCGTTTGCTGACTGCTTGGCAACGAACATGACGCTGCAGCACTTGTGCCTTGGATCTGAGACGCTTGGAGACGACGCTGTGAAAGTCCTGTGCACCGGGTTGGCTCGAAACGCTCAGTCGAATCTGCAGGTCTGGGACTTGGAATTCAAGTCGCTCAATGTCGACGGAACGTCGGCCATTGCCGAGCTGCTGAAGACGAACGAGACGTTGACAGCAATCACGTTGTCACGTAATCCGATCCAGGACGAAGGAGTGGAGAGAGTGGCAAACGGACTGCGTGCGAATCCTCAGTCGCAGGTGGCGGAGCTGAACTTGACGAATATCGGCATCTCAGGAGCTGGCCTCGATCATCTGGCAGCGTTGGTTGCGAGCAAAACGTGCTCGGTAACGACGCTGCAGATGTCGTTCAATTCATTAGGAGACGCGACGTCGGCGTTCTTCGATGCATTGGCGACCAACACGTCGGTGGCGAAGCTGCTGCTGAAAGAGTGCAAGTTGACGGATCAACACGCAGCTGCGCTCGCTTCTGCTTTGGTGCACAACCTGACGTTGAGCGAAGTTGATCTGTCCGATAATGAGTTGACGCCACTTGCCTGTGCGGAGCTGGCTCGAGGGCTTCGTGCGAACAAGACATTGAGGATCCTGCGTCTCACGAACAACAAGTGCCAGGATGAAGGTGCCGTGCTTCTTGCCGACGTGTTAGCAGCAGACAACACAACGCTTACGTACCTTGATATGGGCAATAACGGACTCACTGGCACCGGTATGACGCCACTGCTGAAGGCACGGTCAATCACGCAGCTGCACCTGTTCAACAACAAGCTTGGTGAAGGGGTAGTCGAGCTCTTGCCTGTGTTGCAGACCAACCCTGTCATTGAGACGTTAGGTCTCGGTGCCAACCAGTTACACGAAGGACGAAGTGTCACGCTTTTCGAGGGCCTGCACGCACACCCATCCCTGAAGACGCTCGAGATGGGGGGCAACACGCTTGGAAAGGTCGGACACGCTGCTCTTGATGTACTGAAGGATGCCAATCGCGCGTTGGATGTGGCAGTTGACAAGAACGCGCAAAACGAGGATGGCAGCTTTGACTATCAAGATCAAGATCAGCGGTAAAAACGACTTACATTTGAGCGGGCTGCACTTGCTTTCGCGTGTTGTACGATTAAATAAATTGACGTGCGACGGATCGTTGCTATCCTTGGTAACGGCAAAAGCTTCCAGCGGTTGGCTCCAGTCATTCCTCTTCAACCTGCTCGGCCTTGGTTACGTGGAAAGGTGCAAAGGAAGCTTCAATTGAGTCCACGGAAAGTGCCTGACGGAATGCCACGAGGTCTGCGTTCATCTCTTGCTGCCATTTCTGGACTTCAGCTTGAATAGCTTCGAATTTCGCCAGTGCGTGCTGTTCGTCTTCTTCCGTGAGCTTGCGCACGTAGTCAATCCAGACAGCATAGTCCTCCTCGAGCTTGCGCACTTTCTCGTGAGATTCAATCATACCCGCCTCGAACCTGTCGATCCGCGTCTTTAGCGCCAAGTGATACTCCCGCGAATCATGCACTATCGTCACTGCTCGATAGATACCAGCGACACAGAACATCACTGCTAAAAACACGGCGATCGCGGTAGTGAAGGCGCTAGCCCAGCCCGATGTAGCTGGCGGAGCTTTCATTTTTGGGGTAGCAATTGACGGCTTCAAGGTAGAGCAGGGAAATCCGGCGGGTGCCAAAGGGCTCGTGCTACGCTTGTTACAGACTGGCGCTGCCATCTCAATCGTATTGCCGGCTGCAAGTCCAAGCTCTGTTGGAAATACCCTGTCATCCTCTTCCGCAGTAACACTCCTCCCTTCGTCAAGTAGCGCAGCCGCATCGTTGACAGGAGCTGCTTCTGATGCCATGTCGATCTCACTCATAGCTTCAGCCTGAACACTCCCTCGATTCCCGGTATACGACGGGTCCAGTCTAGCTCCCAACTCTGTTGGCGGAAATACCTCCTGTTTCGGCAATGAATGTGTGTTCCGTTCATATCGAAGCGATCGCGGTTTGTTGTTCGGGCTTTTGATCGATTGGACCTCTTCTGCGAAAAGCATCTCTGCCGCATGGAATCGTTCAGTGTCCTGCTCCTGGGTGCTATGGACCCCTTGAGGTTGAACGGCCTCGGGCACATTTGGCGACGGCATATTCATTGGTTCGGTCACTGTAATCTCTTTCGCAAAACCAACTGACCCATGCTCATAGTATCGAGCACTTGCAGGTGCACACGCGCGAGACGAGCTGTGTTTCACTTGCAGTTCAAAACCATTGCTCTTCTCCGACCGTTCCTGCGCATAATCCTCTGTTCGAGAGATACTGTGTTCAGCCACCTGCTCAGAATGACTGCTACTTCTCGGTTGCGCAGCTACGGTATCAACAGTTGACACTAAAAGCAGGTTCTGCGTGACATGGTCAGCCCTGTCTGACACATTTGAGCGAGGTTCCTCCCATGGCTGCGAGCGGCGGCTCACCGAGCATTGTTCTCGCGCTTCTCTTTCCATTTCTACTGCATCGATCGTATGTTGAGCCAGCTTGCTACGTTTGTCAACGGGAACGCTACTATCGCATCCTTCGCCATGTTTCGTGTTCTCCCGAAGACGCGTCATCTCTTTGTGAACTTCCAGCAAGCCTGTCAATGCGTCGTCATCCATACTTTCCGATTTCATTTCCACGGACAGATCCTCTCTCTCGCATTCTTCCTCTTCAGTATCGTTTCGCACGCGTGCTTCATCAAAAATGACATCGTGCTCACTTGAACTCAGTTGTTCGTCATGCACGTCAACAGCACTACTATCACCACCACTTCGAGACTGACTATGATCCAATCGACGATATTCCGACACAGTGTCGAGCAAGTATCCGGGTCCTTCATCGCGATGCCGCTCATCTTGTTTATTTATCAAATTCGGTTTGGCTTCGTCATTTTCCTCCACCAATTCGCTACCAACTCCGCTAGGAGACCGAATACAGCCCGGTCGATAATGATCCAGCTCACCGTCAGAATCTACACAGTCACTCTCATCTGCACCATCGAGCACGTCTTCAACATATTGTTCGTCCTCAAAAAATGCTGCTTCTTGGTACAGCCGACTACTGCCAATGATGGACGGTGATGTAGTCTCTACGGACCTATGGTTGAAGGCGGCAACGTCTACTGCCGGCGTGTCGGGAGACAACATTACAGACGCAACGGCTTGCCGAGGCAAAATATCGTCTTCCTGGCGAGCAAGCACTCGTCGCCCAGGTCGGTATGTTACATTGTCTGAAGATGATGGAGAAAGTGTTGGGGCAGCACTTGAACTCGGAATCGGCTTGCTAAAAAAGTCGTCACTTGCGCTGAACGATTCCAGCTCGACCTTGCACACTTCAATAATGTCACTGCCAACAGGTGTAGATGGCCCGGCATATCCCCTTGATTCCACCGTGGTGCTCTCTGGGAGAGGATCTAAAGACGAGCTTCGATCTGAAAAGTCGTCAGATCTGGTAGGTGATTCCGGGTCGAGTCTGCAAGAAGGAAGTGGACTGCGATCCACAGGGCTCACAGTATCGGGATTCACAAACTGCTCAGTGCCGGCCAGCGGCAACGATCCTTTTCCGGCACTCAATTCGCTTGAGGATTGTGCCGCAGACACGCGACAATCATCGTCAGTTTGGGAGCCATGGGTCTCGTCAATTTCAACTGTGTATGGCTGCAGTGTCTTTTGCGTCGTGCAAAAGGCATGGACATCAGGATAATCAGTTGGCTGAATTTCGGCAGCTTCTCCGTAAGAACCGAGGGTATCGGATGAACGCTGCACACTGGCCGTCCTCTCCAACGCAGCAGCGGTTCGACTCGCGACCACTTCACTACTCACTGTGCTTTGCTCCGCAAAATCTTGTTGTCCACGCTGGTTCGGCGAAATGCTCTCTGACGCTTGCGATTGAGCTTTTTGGTCACGTTTGTTCTGAGAAGGTTTGATAGCACCGGGGCGCAGATGAGCTCTTTTGCGAAAGATTATGTCAGCTTTTGCAACCAATTCCGGGTGTTTATCCGTGATGGCCTGAGCCAATGGAGTACCACGATGCTCATGAACCAGCACCAGTTTGGTTTGCCTCGAAAGCATTTCCACTAATGCGTCCAATCGATCATTCCTACGCAAGGCCCATCCCATCGTGCACATATTTTCGAGTCAGTCACAAGCAGTATAATCACATTCCTTTCACAATAGCTTTACCATCTTGACGAGAATCCAGAGAGAACATCACGTGCTGTCTCCCTTACATTGTCATGTTGATCAATCAAACCTTGCTGTACCATGTCCAGCACGTCCTCTTCCCATGACAGCACTTCGTCGTCCGACCAATAAACAAAAATGATCTGTAACTGCTCCAAGATCAACACGCGCGGTCGATCTGCAATGTGTAAGGAACGAGCGCCACGAATGTCGGTCATGTAAACATTAAAACACTAAAAAGCGAAAAAAAGCAAACGTCCGCACCTTGTATCGACTGCATGTAAATCCTCTTCAGGAGCGTCAAGTCGTACCGCACGAGCTCCGACAATTTGCTTAAAAGCTTGGCTCCAGGCTGGCGAATAGCAGCCGACGCGTTTCTGCTCATACCGACAATTTGGGGCAACAAAGCATTTGCCATTTTCCCAAAGTCTCGTCCCGTGACCGTGACGATCCGTAACAGGTGATCACAGACATCCTTCACTAGCTTGGATCGGATCGACGTGAGTTGTGGCTCGATTTCCTTCTGAAAAATGATCAAGCGTAGTATAAGATATCACAATCAAGGTACAAAAACAAAATGCAAATAACCTCATCATGATAAAGTAGCACACAAAAAATAGAGCAAAAAACCTCATCATACAAAGGCCGTTAGAGTCGTACCGAGAGGCCAAGGAGCAACTGCACCGCATTTGAATAGTCTTCCACCGTCTCCAGTGACTCAATAGCTTCAGCCAGATTGGCAATGGAAGACGAGCACATGCTCCAGTCCGATTCCGAGCTCCGCAAAACCTTCTGAGTGGTTTGAACCTGGTACAGAAAGCGGGATACAAAGTCATTGAGAACGAGTTAGGAGCTGGGAAGGGGGTCAATCGACAGAGCATACGCAGCTCTACCTGCTCAGCAAGTCGCTCCATCTCTCCACACGCTCTCGAGTTCGTCGCGTCCGCTCTCTTGTTTCGTCTGTCTGTCCTTTCCTTTCGCTTTGCAGTAGTGCGCGTCAACTGGCAAAAGTGCAATTGCAGTGGAGTAACATTCAGCTAACAATGCGTCGGATGGGGTACGAAAATAGTGTGTCGACACACAAAATCAACAGGTTGCGTCGATCAAAATAGGGTGCAGCAACAATGCAGCAAACGAAACGCTTGACAAGATCAGGAACACAAGGAGTGGAGAACAGTGTACATGATGTGTTCGTCTGCATAAAGTAATGGTCTCTTCGTCTAGTGCGCATTCACCTGGCGCGCCACGAGACCTTTGTAAACGCCATTGGGCAATAGCATGAGCTGGTCGTGTGTGCCTTGCTCTACTATCGCGCCATCATAGGTTACCGCAATGACATTCGCATTGCGAATAGTGGAGAGCCGGTGGGCCACAATTATTGTCGTGCGCTGCTTGAGCGCGAGCAACCGGTCAAGAGACGCCTGCACCACGCGCTCGCTTTCATTGTCCAAAGCACTCGTCGCTTCGTCCAGCAGCAACACGTCCGGGTCTCGCAGGATCGCGCGAGCGATAGCAATCCGCTGCTTCTGACCACCTGATACTTGAGCTCCTCGGTCGCCGACATCCGTGTCAAAGCCGTTCGGGAAATTACTGATAAAGTCAAACGCGTTGGCCTGCTTTGCCGCCTCAATGATCTCTTCTCGAGTCGCACAAGGCTTGCCAAGTCCGATATTGTCGGCAATCGTGCCTGCAAACAGCACCGGCTCCTGACTAACAAGCGACACGTGCTCGCGCAGCCACTGCAGATTCAGCTCCTTGAGATCGTGACCGTCCAGTGAAACCACACCAGCAGCGGGGTCATAGAACCGTTCCAGCAATGAGATCGCCGTGCTCTTGCCGCTTCCACTGACGCCCACGAGCGCGACAGTCTGGCCACGAGCGACTTTTAAACTATAGTTCTTGTAGATCTTGGCGTCAGGACGAGCAGGATACGTGAACTCAACGTTGCGGAACTCGATGTCACCATTAACGTGGTCGAGCGAACGGCCCGTGCCGGAAGTTGCATCGATAAGCGGCTTCCGGTCGATGACTTTGAACACGCGCTGGGCCGACCGTTTGGCCTTGGCCCCGTCTGTTGCGCCTTGGGCAGCCATCCCGATCGCAAACGTGCTGAGCATGACCACCATGAGAACCATGAAAAAATCCTTGAACGTAATGATGTCGCGCGAAATCCAGCGACCGCTGATGTAGAAGAGAAGCGCCATCACCAAGAACATCGCTCCCTGCGAGATGCCAAACGCCATGCCCCCAATGATTCCAATCTTGACGTCAGCTTCCTTCGAGATGCTCAAGTAGCCCACGTACATCGTATTTAGCGCCGTCTCCATGCTGAATGAAGCTACCGTTCGAATGGATCCGATCGCTTCGGCCAGCAGTGAGCCTGCCGCCGTGTCAGCATCGTTGTTCTTCTTATTACCAGATGTACCCCCCATGCGCTGGGCCTGAATAAACGAGGATGCAATGAGCACGGGAAAGGCTGCCAGCAAGATGAGGGTCATCTGCCAGCTGTAAAAGAACGCGATTGAGAAAGCAATGACGATCGTGGTGAGGTTCACCAACCCTCGATTGAGCGTCTCGGAAGTCATGGCCTGCAAAATTGCAGAGTCGGTTGCCAAACGGGACACAAGCGCACCAGACGAGTTCTCATCCAAGTCGAACCAACCGATTTCTTGGTGCAGCATCGACCTGAAGGTGGCCGATCGCACACGAGTGACGAGGTTTTGCGAGACCACAGCAAAGCCATAGTGTTGCAAGGTAATCGAGCATGCAAACGTGAATCCCAGGCCGACAAAGCCAAGTGCCCACCACCGCGCTTCGTCCATCATCTCGTCCTTGGTGTAGTCAAGTTTGAAAAAGAGCACAGTGACATTTACCAACAAAACTCCCCATACCGGGAAGACCGAAGCGTTCGCAACCGCGCCGAGAGAGCCGACAAGCATGTACTTCCATTCTGGTGCCGACATCTTCCAAACTCGGGCCATCGAGACCGGAGGAAGATCAACATCACCGATTTCATCTTCATCCACCGTGTCACCGCCGCCTTCCTTCCTTGAATTACTCTGTCGGGTCACCGATCGTCGCGATGACCGACCAGAGCGCAGATGCGGATCATCAGGTGATTCCGTGCTTTCTACCGTGACAACTCCATCAGCGCTTTTTTCTTTCTCCTCGCTCGACACGCGGTCCTGAGCCTGAACCAGGAGGCGGTAGTGTCCATTGTCCAGCTTCATCAATTCATCATGCGAGCCAATCTCGACAATCGCACCGCCGCTGTGGACTGCGATACGATTGGCATTGCGAATGGTGGACAGCCGGTGAGCAACAATAATCGTCGTTCGGTTCGAGTTCGCAAGTAGCCGGTCTAGCGATGCTTGCACAATGCGTTCACTCTCTGTGTCCAGTGCGCTGGTAGCTTCGTCCAACAGCAAAATCGGAGGATTCTTAATTATCGCACGAGCAATAGCAATCCGTTGTTTCTGTCCGCCCGAGAGTTGAGCACCGCGCTCACCCACTTCTGTCTGATATCCCTGGGGAAAGTCCTTGATAAAACTGTCCGCATTCGCCATCTTCGCTGCCTCAATCACCTCTTCATCCGTAGCTGAAGGGCATCCATAACGAATATTCTCCATGATCGACGTCGCAAAAAGCGATGGCTCCTGACCTACTAATCCAATCTGTGAGCGCAACCATCTCACGTTCAGCGTTCGCAAATCCACACCATCAATTGTCACCAAACCACTCAACGGATCGTAGAAACGCTCAAGCAGCGATACAATCGTGCTCTTGCCACTGCCGCTAGGGCCGACAAGAGCTGTGGTCTCTCCGGGTGAAATCGTGAGCGAGTAGTTACTGCACACTTGCACGTTCGAGCGCGACGGGTAAGCAAACGATACGCGATCGATCTCAATGCGACCGGTAACCTTGTCCAGCTTCTTGCCATCGTCCTTAATCGGATCAATTAGCGACGGACGTCTGATCGTTTGGAACACTGGAAATGCAGCAGCGCGCGCAGATGTGATCGCCTCGACGCTTGGGGCAGCTTGTCCGAGCGCCATGGCGCCCATGATAATAGCAAAGAATACCGTGAGCACTCTCCCGCCGTCGTAACAGTTGTAGCCAGTACATGTGTTGCCATCGAGATTATCATTAGCGACCATAAGCGCACCAAAGTACATGCCACCTGCATACGTGCAAAAGACCGTGCCAAACATGAGTCCAGTGCCCCATCCAACAGCATACCCCTTCTTTATCCCTGCCGTCGTCGACAGGCTCAATGCCTCATCGTACTTGGCAACAAAGTGGCCAATCGCGTTGAACATGTGCACCGTGCGCACATTACTCAGTGCTTCCTGGGCCACAGCACCAGCTTTACCGTACGACGAGAGTCCAGCTTGCGTGGCGGTCGAGAGCACTTTCATGGCCAAGAACGCCGTCACGGCAATGAACGGAGTAAAGGCAAGCAGGATCAGTGCAAGTTGCCAGCCTTTCACGAGTCCAATGATGATGCCTGAGACCGCCATCGAAAAGAAATTGAGCCCATCTCCGACTTTCCGACCCATACCTTCTTGGATCGTGACCGTCGCTTCAGCGACACGTGAAGCCAATTCCATGGGCTCGTTCACGTCAAACCAGCCAATTTCTTTCGTCAAAATCGCGCTCACGTACTCGCTTCGGATGCGCTTCGCTTGACGCGAAGCAGTGATGGTCCAGCACGCGACTTGGAAACTCCCGGCGATAAAGACCGCAATGCCGACGTAGACAAAGTACAGCGCGACAGTGCCGATCTCGCCCTCGATATCCACGTCAACGTCCGAGGGGTTAAACGTATTGACCACGTCTCCAAAGAGCACAATCTGAAGCGGCTGAGCCACGCCGGCAGTCAACGCTCCAATGGCGCCCAGGACCATCAGGAGCTTGTCGAAATTGTCCGCGTAGGCAAAGAGCTCCGACATGGTCACGACTTGGCCTTCCAGTGCTTCGCTGTCCTTGCTTCCCGTCTCCGTGTCGCAGTGTTTGAGGCCGTGGAAGGCAACGTCGAGACGATCGATCCCTTGGACGTGCTTGGGTGTACCCACTTCCACAAACGGCGCGGTGGACTCCATGTGGCCACCAAGGTGCTACTTTGTGGGATGGTACAATGGGTACAAACGATGGGAGTGCTAAGTGGGTGGGTGGGTGGGTGGGTGAGTGTGTGCCCTGGGAGGCAAATTGGAGAATGAGCGACGATTGGAGACTTTTCGACGGGTGCAGTGGGAGCTCGAGTGATTGTCATGTTGCGCAATCTTTTCCGCACACTGGTCGCACGTGGTTGTCCGTACGACGCGAGTGTCCCGTCTGCCCCTTCGTTCTTGTATCGGAAGCGCCAGTCCCAGTCCGTTGAATGGTTGCGTCAACATTTTCGGCACCTTACCGGGCGAGGCAATGCGACTATTATTAGCACGCAATGATCGCGCAACTTATCGCGTGCAACACATCGATGGGACGACGACGGTCCTTGACCCGGACGTTCGGGATAAGACAGACACACGGTGGTGAAAAGCAAAACGCGGGACGAGGTTTTTTGGACCGCACGAAGGCTTCGTCGCGACTTCCGTGCGAGCTGAAACTGCAACTGAACTGCCGTCATCAAATGGTCTATACGATTCAACTACGTTCGTTGAGTGGTCCACTGCACTTCAGATCACTGTTACGATACCATGGTGAGCTACGACTGGACAGCGCGTACCTACTTTTTGTACGTCCAGACAGTTGACGCATGATGGAATGGAAAAGAGTTTGCACTTGAATCCTTGTGAGAGGAAATCAGTATCTGAAACGGTTATCATGGTCCGGCCGTGTCCGACGACTTGATCGTTAGAGCCACGCCATCATGAGGTCGTCGTTTGAAGTCAAACGCCAGGTTGTTTTCTTTGAGCCCTGCAGTGACGAGGTGAATGGGTGTAATGGTAAGTGGCGATAGAGCGTGGGTGCCTTCATATGTTTTGACAAGCTTCAGTTCGGGCTGGAACGGAATCAGGCCATGCCGCAACCTACCATCGAAGCAAGATCGGAAATGCTAAGGCTCTACTAGTGTCGTAGGAAAGAATCTGCGTACTACGTTTTGTTGACTCAAGTGCAAGGTGAGAGCCGTGCTACAACTATGAAGAATAGCGGAGACGCAATGAGCTTGTGCTCAGAAGATCGCAGCAGATGAAGCAGAAGATCGCAGCCACACCACCGTCAGCCTAGAACTTGATCGTACAAAATGAAATGGCTGGGAGGTAGGCGTAGAAGCAAAGTCAGTTTATTCGAGGCGACCTGCTATAGTTCGTTCAAATCATCACTAGCGTATAGTTCTCTTGTCAAAGAGGCTGTACGCACGCGTAGCACACAAGTGCTAAGCCAACTGCTTCCGAACTGGACTGGCATCACTTGAAGCATTGTCTGCTGCAACGCATGAAGCTGTATCAGCCTAAGCGGTCTTTAGGATCAATTCTTACACTACCACACACTACCACACAGCACGTTCCATCTGGCTGGGCTATAGAGGGACTGGTAGCGACTCGGTTGCACCACCAACCTATTTTGTGCCCCTGACTCAAACGTAACTCTCTATTCTCATCAGATCCGCCCAATCGGCTGACCAGCTGACAAGCACACAACCGAGTCATCGATGCGATAGTATTGTATCTTCTCAGCTCTGCTTTTCAATTGACTGAACGACGACGACTCGACGATTTGCAATGCTAAATTTGACTCGCAGCCTGGATGGGGGTTCCCATACAAATCTTGTCTTCAATAGCTGACAATCACGCAAGATCGTTTTCCTGTGGATAGTTCTCCCTTCTGCACATAATAGCAAGCTAACGACCTCGCCATAAGGACTCGGGATAAAATTAGCCACACCACCCTGTAAAATATGCGTAATATACACCGTAAAATACTATCCCACCGAAATTTCGGATGTTTCGAAAAGGCGACTGATTCATCAATTCTGCCCCCGTCCTATTATAAAAAACAACTGGTCGAGTTTGCAAAGAAGCCTCGATCCCTTCAAGGTCTCCGATACGTCCAAACTTTCACTCATGGTGATTTGACGCTACCACAGTCAATGAACAGCTTGTACTCATGCAGCAAATAAGTAATGGGATCATCTGGGTCTTTTAAGAAGCTCAGTTATCAACCCACGCCAGTAGACAGAGGCAAACGATCTTGCTTTCTATACTCGACACTTTCTCGACCATCACATCCAAATGTGCTACTATCGACATGAAGACCATAGCGTCAGAGCCTATTCCTTCTCTCCGTAAAACAGTCCCCACTTCTGGTCACCCTCACCGCAACGCACGATCTTTGCCTGCCAGCCATCCACAATGTACTTGAAATCCGCCTCGCTCGTCTCGGCAACAAATTCCTCCTTGTGCGCGAGAGTACGAGCCAGCTCTTCCTTTAGCACCGTCACAAATTGATCCGTGCGATCTTCCGCGAGCACGGACTTGAATCCCACCGATTCTAGCACTTTTCCATACTGAGACGGAGACAGCAAGTGGTATCCACGGTCGGCCACGTACGCTTTGAAGCGGTCCGTCGGCTCTTGCTCGCCCCGACAGTAGTCAGAAATGAGCACGCGACCACCAGGCTTCAGCCAGCGAAAGAACTTGGCAAACAACGAGTGCTTGTCTTGAATGTGCAGGATCGTATCACGAGAGTACACGACGTCGAAAGACGCGTCTGGATACTCCTTCTTCGTAGCATCACAGATCTCAAACTCCACGTCGAGACTCGAATCTTGCATTGACGTCTCCAAGGCACGGTGTACCATGTTAGTAGAGAGGTCGATGCCAACAACAGAGACCTGGAACTGACGAGCCATGTAAAAGTCTCCTCCTCCAATGCCACAACCCACATCCAGGACTCTCTCACCAGGTTTCAGCTTGAGTTTCGAGACAAATTCCGTGGTAGTAGTCTGTCCCCCGGTACTCACATAGCCTGGACCAAAGATCTTCTCGTACCGCGTGATACTCTGGTCTGAGTACTGCTGTTCGTCCAGAAACTTCTGGAATGTCGCCACGACCTTGTCAGTGCTCTTGTCCGACGAGCACTGCTTCACTGCTTTCGTGTAGCTGAAGAAAACCTGTCCATTGTTCTTCTTGATCTTCCGATACACAGCGACACTGCCAGACGACTCGAGGTTGAAGTACCCCAAGTCTCCACTATCTTCTTGAGACACGACAGATCCAAACGTTCCCACGTAGAATGCCGGATGACGATAGTGCGTTGGGTTCGAGCTGCGCTGGACATCTCCCGATTGTCGGAAACAAGACTCGCGAAAGAAGAGCTTGCCTCCAGGGCGTAGCCACTTGATAGCTTTCTCGGCAAAAGCCTTGACTTCGTCATCTCCTAGATACATAAAGATCCAATTGGAAAAGATCACGTCAAACGAGTGCGGCGGGTTCTCCAGAGTCACGACGTCTCGACAGAGGAACTCGACGTTCGTCAAGTGGCCATTTGTTGCCACGTTGGCCTTGTGGAAATCTTCAATGAACTCGACCGCCGTGACGCTCTTGGCGCTTTTGCCAAGAATGGACGTAAAGCGGCCAATGCCAGCAGCCAGCTCCAGCACGTCTTGGTTTTCCATACACGGGGCGTGGGCCATGATCTCGGGCATCTCGAGCTCATGGAGAATCTTGGCGTTCGAGTCCAGCATCATCGTCTCAATGTTCGTCGTCGAGCTATGTTCGGTCCAGTAGGACTTCATTTGGTCGCGGGTGGTGTCGGTGGGCATCTTTGTCTGCTGTTTCGAGGTAATGGGTCTTTTTCAAGGGGACTACGTGTCGCTGTGGCAAATTGCGAAATGCCGATCCAAAAGCTCAGTTAACTGGCTCGCCCATCAGCCTGACGTCGATCGCGGGTTCGAGGATCGTTCATCGAGAACGGACGAATCTTCTGCATGACATACAAACGTCAAGAGAAAAGGGACACGTCCACGATTTATTCGAATAGTGGCCCCTTTTCCATCTGCAGCTGCGTGGTCGAGGAAGACATAGACCGGTCGCACAGATCCGTGGCTACTTAACTGAGTTGTCAGCGACTGTTGTGGGTCGTTTCTATCGGATACTCGAAGCGAGACAACGTCGTCACTGCTTGTGTTGACGTCAGCAATCTCTTCTTTTTCTTCGATTGAAGCCATAGTGGGATTGGCTACCGGTGACAATCGACCGCTTTGTACTGCTTTTGTGATTACAAGGCGTCAGTGACGTCACAAGGCACTGGCGCTTGTGTCGACGAATCAGAAAGGGTTCAGTTGAAGTCCACGTCCAAAATCAGCACGACTCTCCATCCTAGAAATATAGGTAGAGATACAACTGCACGTGCTCTGTTCCGCAGCTTCCTTCCTGCAGATCATCAATCGTTTTTTCGCAAGATGCATTGACATTGTACAACTTTTCACTGACTCAGCGCAGCATTTCGAAGAAATAGCGTCTTGTGAACCCATTTCTATTTGCTCTACCCTTTTTTATCAAAAAGATACGACAATCAATGATCTTTTCGGGAACGTATCCAATAAATTCGCTATCAAACCGAGTGAGACTTTGACTAACGAACTAAAGGAGTGTGGAGATTCTATCATGAGCTGGAATCGCCTTGCACGTGACCCAACTTTTATCTCTTCCTTTCAGCAGTCGAGTGCGCATCTGTCTTTCGTGATACCTACAACACCGTCTTCAATAGTACAAGCTGCAAGTGTCGCTTCCAGTCGTATAATGGACCAGTCGAGCTACGTCCACCCTGTTTGACGTAAGTTACCAGATGTCGCTTGCCAATCAGGACCTGTCAGGTAATCTAGCAAAACCTCGTGACCGATTGATTGTCAAAGTCTAGGGAGCGTACATGCGTGGATTAATGCTAGTTTAGCTCATCCTGAATTCCCTGCTCCGTGATAGAATAGATAGCCTCCGACTCTGGCAAGATAGGCGAATCAACAACCTTCATGACACGATTCTCACCGCGGCCCTTCCTCAGACGAAGTCTACAAAACACAGACACATTCCAACTATGTTACAGACACACGAACACGACTGACTCGTTTTGCAGCACCAACGCACCTAGTACAGGACGCATGAGCCATGATGTTGCCACCAATAGGCTGCAGCGGATCCTTTGCAAACATACCGGAGTCCGGATTTGCAGTCATCTGACAGAGGCACAAGTAGAGCAGATTAGTCGGTACCATTGCTGTACAAGCACAACCAGACACATCAATTGTGAGCGACAAACCTGGTTTGTGATCACGACTGCAACACCAAACTCGTCGGCCATTCGCGTAAGAGCACGAAGGAACCTACGCAATTAGCAAAGCACTTGCTTAGTACACGAAATACAGCAGCGACACAGTAATTCACATACTTCGCCAGTTCTTGCTGTCGAGCTGCTAGCTCTCCACGGCCCGAGTAATCGGTTCGAAACAGTGCTGTCGCGCTATCGACAATCACGAGCGCAAATCGTGACTCGGCCATCATAGCCGACGCTTGGACCAGCAGCTGCATCTGATGCTCCGAGTTGTATGCCCGAGCGAACGCCACATTGTTCAGCACACTGTCACCATCAAGACCGTATCTCTCTGCAATAGCCTGCAATCGTTGAGGACGAAAAGTGCCTTCTGTGTCGATAAACAGCGCTTTGCCTTCCCCACCACCACGGTCCACCGGCAATTGGCAAGTCACACAAAGTTGATGACATAGCTGCGTCTTGCCTGTCCGGAACTCGCCAAATATCTCTGTGATCGATCCCGTTTCAACACCCCCTTGAGACAAAAGACACCATTACAATTTTGCCCCCACAAACGTTCGCAGCAGCACAAAAAACCACCTTTCAACAGCTCGTCAACTGCATTAGAACCCGTAGACAATGTAATTAAATCCTTTCTGCTTTCCAGCACATCTGCCGCCTACAAAAAAGCAACAACAAAAATTCAGCAAAAACAGCTCCGCATCAAGATTAATCCAATCAGTAGAAAAAGGTAGAACAAACAGTCGCCATACCGTCGTAAAGCCCACATTCACCATCTCCCTTGCTGCTTTGAGCATCTTCTCGGCCTTGACTTCACTGATTCCCTTGATAGCTACAAGCTGTTTCTTTGTAACCATAGCCACAGCATCTACCGTGTGCATGCCAGCTTCCTTGAGTTTGTTCACGTCCGAAGCATTGATTCCGGCTTGCTCGAGGATGTCGACCAGACGAGGTCCTTGCTAATAATATAACAATAGAACAACAATAATAACCAAAGTCATTGTCACAAATCAAAATGTTTAAAAAAAATACGTCGATAAATAAAACACTGCATAGAAAAAAGCGACACAAACATTGGACATGGCTACATAAACTGAACAGCGCGCAAGACCGAACGCTGCAGCAGATGGAAAGTGCCTTACCAGCTCGTGCTCCTCCGCATGCATCGTCTGCTCTTCTTCCTGGAACGCGCTGCTCATTGTCACGCGACTGCCGTTCACTGACACTCTCTCTCGCTCTTCTTCTCACTGTAACCCTCGCTGTAACCCCAACGAGCTGAACTGTAATGTCCGTAACTCGAAAAGTTACGAACAGTTGTGTCGTGGGTTACATTCTGTAACGAACCGGCTCGCTGCACCAGTTGTTTTGTCGCTCTCGGTAACCGTACTTAGTCACGTCGCAGGTACGCTTTCTCGCTCCCGGCGCTTGGGACGAGTTCTATCCCATGTCGTTACCGGTATGTCGAGATTGTACCGAAACGAAGAGTAAGTTACTCTTTGTCCACCTCATTATGATCCGATCTATGTGCGGATACCTACTGCACGAGTATTCCACTGACTCACACTTTCGATGCTATCAACTATACCTTAGTCGTATCCAGCAAAATGTGAGTGTCTCGTTCATTGCTACCACGTTGACGTATCGATCGAGCTACTATAAGAAACAATCGTGCGATGAGCGACCTGGAATGATTGAGAACTACTTGAAGGTATCATCACCGTCATGTGGTGATTCGACTTCTGCTTGATTATGAGTTACGAATTCAGAATGACGTGTCAACAAAGACAACTACCAATGTAACACTACGAACACATCTAGCTTACCCAATCTGTCGATGCGTCCATCATGACGTCAAAAGAATATTTGCAAGCACTTTAGATGCCTGGTCCTTGTAGAACCATCGAGAATTTAGGCGGGTTTGCCTGGGACAGCCAGGCAGGCGGTAATCAGCTTAACGTTTAGTCTACGACCGATGCTCTTCGAGTCGATGCAACTGTTTTCATAGTGTACTTTAGTGGTGCGTGCGCGTTCATCCATCAGTGTTTTACTTTGCCAGAGGTATTGTCGTGATCACCAGAGTTGCGTTTTACACATGTGATAACTTACAACACCGCAAGATTACACGAGGTTTACCGTATATCTTCTTCATGCCTGTATGGTACGACAATTTCACGATAACGCACCGTGGTAGTGGCGAGCTCGTCCGAATTGGTGTCTTGGCCCCTTTCAAGTTTGTCGCGAATAAATGTGGATACGAGCGTGCTTAGGATCTATACTGTACGACTTTCTGATAGTTTCTTGCTCTCTTGGCACTTCCGAGTAAGTTATAGGGTCCTATGTCCTGTGCAGACCGCATTAGTACCACAAGAAGATACATAGAGAGCCCCTTATGTCGACAAAGGCTCTACACATGGTGTGTACCATGTCGTGCAGTGTTATACCCGGTGGCAAGTACAATGACTTGACAAGCGGTATTGCAGCTTTCTTGATGTTGTGATCAATGCGGTCGAACCAACGTCTCAGTCAGATCATTGAGACAGGCAAAAACAGGATCAGTTCCCTTGCCGCTGTCGGCTACAGGCTGTCGTGCCATCTCATAATGCAGCAAGGAAGGGAATTGAGGCTCGCAGCATCGAAAGGGGAGCAAAGCGTTATGATAACTACGCGATAGCGATGAATTTTATCTTCGTTCAGCATTAGCAATGTTTTGACACAATGGTGTACTCGCCGCTATGTAAGACCGCAGCTACCGAAGACTTCGACAACGAACATATCGCGATTGACTTGATACAACAAGCAGGTCAGCAGATGCATGATAGCGAAACGGATTGCTCAGAGCTTCCCAAATACCCCGCGAAATAGAACATGCAGCAGCTTTCTCAGAGCAATAGGATCAAGTGACTGGAAAATCTGACCAGCACGAGCGCTCTCGAGAGTAGTGTCACATGCCTCAGCTCTTGTGCAACTGTTTTCTCGATCGAAAGGTTTCATTCAACCTACAGGATCACCATTACAAGAAGTCTACGCCAATTTGATGATACTGTTGCATGTTGATGTGCTGTAACTCCTCACCAAGAGAGTGCTGCCGAGAATGTTTCGCAGAGAAATCAACACAACTAACTACTTCATCACGACTGTCCAAGCTACGTCGAGCCAAATGGGTCAGCTGCAGACATGTTTCTCAAGCACATCACTCAAAGGATCACGTGAGAGAAGTTGCATACAGTTTGCTTCCAGACGTCGCTGTATCGGTATATCGAAAATACAAAGTCATCGCGACGCATGCACTTCACATGATTTACAACCCACGTGGCGTGCGTTACCAAAGGCTTAAGAATGCGATTTTGTAGCTATTGAAACACTCGAGTAACGTCGCGGGTGACAACATGTAGACTCTAGGCACAGGTTGACGCACTGACATGTTGCTACATTTCTTGCTGAGGCACAGTAGATAAGCGTCGTAAACTTTTGCAAGTTGATACTAGACTAGCACATGAATAGCCGCTCGACGTAAAAGGTTTGCACTTAATACCGACATCGTTTCTCAAGTCTGTAGACAGAGCCGCACCATGCGAGCTCGAATGAATAGTTTAACGTTGTTTTTGTTCACTCACTTGCAGCGACGTAGATCTCTCGTAGGAGCTACTTGTTGACTAAACCTGTCGTGTCTTTCTCTCCTGACACACGACATCAGGCTGATATGCGCTCTTGCTCGCGACTTCATGGCAAACTTCAGCACTTGATGATCGATCTAACACGGTTGTGTTGTGTGTCCGTTGTTGTTTCCCACACCGCGATGCAAATTGTATTCGTCTAGGATGGTGAATGTACATCACATGGTAATTGCAATCAGGTCTTCCTCATCCATCACTCACTCTTAAACTGCCACGGTAATGCTCGGATCTTGCGCAAGAACAGACGTGTTGTTTTTGGTTATTCTTCTACTCGCTGATGGTCAGGCCGTAAACGTAGCTTGATCGCGATCCGATATCCGCATGGATGCATGTCAGGACGCTATCTGCTACGCCTGGTGGACATGACTGCTAGCATCTATATCTCCTTCACACACAAGACTTTAGTTTAGAGTTACAGATGGTGCAAACTGGCGGCACATTATAACCGACACTCCGCGATGATGACGGGTGTTACGCGTGCTTCCAGTCTGCATTCGTTTCAAGCACGCAGTCAGCCAACACGATCACTACAACCTACAGAGCGGATCAACACAAGTCCTCAAGTCTGCAGTTCTCGTGAATCGTCAGGGTGGCTTCCGCACACAAACCATCACCATATTTGGGATGGTCAAACTCGCACGCAACATCGCGTGTATTGTATGATCTACCTCAACCTCTACACAAAGTGGTTGCACCACGCTGTATCACCGTTTCAAAGCAGATCACAGGCCACCAAGTTAATAGCCGGCTAAGAAGCTCTTGAAATTTGACCCGTCCTGCGCAACCAGCTTCTGACAGACTTTCTCATCCACGTATACCGAGGCAAAGGCAAACCCCTTCTTGTAAAACTTGTCGTCGACGCGATCGTGGAACAACCGGTCGAGGACCTTCTTTTCATCCCCACATGCTATGTCGTCCCTATCGATCAACGTCTCCACACACATCTTCTTGAGATCCACCAACCTGACATTTTCAATCGCCTCGTCGAGCAATTTCTGTTGATCCGCGTCCTCAGCATGGCGCAAGACATAGAGAGGAATCCCACCCCATCGACGATAACAATCTTCCACGACAGTCACCGGTGTATTCGAATACACGAGCTCACGACAGTTCAAAATCTCTTCCTCCGACCAGACAGGCATGCGGTGCATGCGTCCAAAGTCTGAAACCGTGCGCCATATGCATTCGCGTGACGACGAAAGTAGAATTGTCTTTGCTGGGCAGTACTTTGGGCGAGCGCCATCCACTAAGTAACACGTTCCAGTCTGCATGAGGATGCTGTCGAAATCCTCTCGTGTTCCTTGAACCACTACATTGCCAGAAAACAAGATACACTTCTCAATGGCGGCACTTTCGTAGACAACCGTCTCTCCACGACGTGCAAGATACAGCAAGATGGAATAGGCAAAATATGTTTTGCCTACTCCCGGGCTGCCGAGAATCCCAATACCACGAACACTTCCGGAAAACATCAGCCACAGCTCTTGGAAGCAAGAGCGAATGTAGATGCCAGAGCCGAGCGCTGGATTACCCAGGATGTAGGTCCCATTCGGTAGCGAAACCACAGTATCAGCTACGATCGCGGTAGATGACGTTGCAAGGGCGTGCCAGTATGCTACTAGTGGTGGATCATTGAGTACCATGCTCTCAGTAACGTGTATAATGACGCCTCGAACATTAAGCGGGACGCTTTGACGCTTCGTCAGAGTTGGAGGAAGCACCACCAGCACGTGGACAGGACTATTCTGACCTGCCTCTGTGGTTTCAGTCTGCACGTCTCGCTCCGATAAACCATTGAAGCTCAGTGGCACTGCTGCAAATTTCAGTTGCCGCAACCCCTTGGTGTCAAGTACGCCCTGCTGCACCTCTTCCCTCTTCATCCAAGCATCATTTACCCCATCTCTTCTCGCCAGGAAGAGCTGCAGGTCACGGGCATCGCTCTGGATCATCGCTGGTTTCGCTGCCTTGATCGCATCTTTGAGTTGATCCACCCAGTCCGTCGTGTCGATCCCCACAGAGAACACACTTTCACGCACACCGACGATCCCACAGACCAAAGTAACTTGCACCATCTTTCTTCGACTTGGCCGATTCTCAATTGGTACAAGCACAAGAGTTTGCAATCAACACGAGTGAGAGGAAGTTGCCGATACAAAGCCGATCAACCACTGCAGACGCCGAGATGGAAAGTGACTGATGCGACGCGACTCGTACAATACGTGCTGGGAAAAGGCGAGAATTGTTCCTGCGGTTTGTTCTCGTGCATGGATTCTCGATCCTGGTTGAGTCGAAAGAAAGAAAGGTCCAGCAATACTGATGCGTGAAGGATGCGGGAGAAAGTTTTGTGCAATCCAAGGACGGATTCATGTCCAGACACAAACCGAACTGTGAACTTGCTCACTGACGCGGCGTTAAGCTGACTCCGGTATTAAAGCATAGTCAAGTGCCACTCGTGGCTCATGATCTCATCCAGAGTGAACCAACCACCATAAGCAGAGTTTACGTGACCGTGGTACTGATACCATCAGGTTCACGCGAAATCATCATCTAGCCTTTTCGAGCTGTAGTAATCACGTTACAGATGAGAGAGAGCAAGTGCACCGCTTCTCGTCTTCTCTCAGTGTCTGCCACCTTCTAGCGACAATGACAAGAGCATGCACTGTACAACACAACTTTGCCAGCAACAGAGTTCATCGATGAACGATGCGTGCTTTCTGTTTTTTTTCATTATTTGAGCACGAACTGCAGCAGCAAGACTGCTAGCCGACAGAAGCAGTGTAACCGCAGATGCCCTGCCTTGCAAACGCGTACTGCAAAAAGAATACAGGCCAGAAGCTGGGCATATTTTGCCGATAAGTTTGCTCAATGTGGCGATCATAGTGTGCTCTTACCGAACTAGTAGCGTCGGCTGCGACATCGGTCGACGGTATCAAACAGGTCAACTAGTTTGTGGAAGCCATTTGCGCAAGTTTGTTACGTCATTGGAAAAGCTGCAGCTCAATGACTGAATGGATGTGTGCACGCAACAGCTAGTCAAATGTTGGTCTATGACAAAGTATTACATTGTGGTACGACGTCAATTGAAAGGCAGATCAATCGTTTTTGGGGAAGGTTTGGTAACTTTGCTGCCAGATTAGGTATCCTTCGTGTACAGAATATAAACGGATAGCCGAATGTTCGAGGACGTTTTTTAGGTCCGGCACTTTCAGATGCTCTCCGTGGTGACTGAACCGTGCATATACGTTTGATCTCTACGTAAGGGTATGTTTCGTCTCGATAAGATAAGGTTGTATGACATAAAGATCACCAACCGCTGTTTAAGCATGCAGCTGATTCTGCAAGAGCACGTGACGGGAGGTGAAATCATCGGACATAACGGCCCATATTTCAAGACACCGGCATCAAGTCTACTAAGCGAAGAGTAAAAAAACCGTCAGGATTGATGTTAGGCTTACCACGACACTATCCTCCAGAGGAAAGAAAGTCGATATAGCGTGTTGCTTAATATACGTGGTTTCGTTCGTCACCACCAGAAATTAGAAATCGACAATTGTTAGAAATAGACAATTGTCAGTTTTTAAATCCACACAATCCTCCAGTCCCACGCCGCGCTTGCAGACCCATTTCTATTGTTGACGATACGTCGCACGAGAGACGTTACTCATGGACTCCCCGTCACGCGCACACGTGGCGCTCCTGGCGTTTCTTGTGTTAGCTGCTATCACGTGCATATACTTGTTCTTCCAGTCTGCTCCCAAGGCCGAGTTGTACGTTGTGTGCGTCGATCATTTCTAAAAGCGTTTCTAATTAGGTTACACACACATTTTGTCAAAATGTAGTACCGAGTGTACCCCGATTTCGGTATCCTACGTTATTCAAGGTGTTTTGCCCACGTGGTTAAATGGACGCAATGACAAACTGGGCACTGTTCAGGGACTCTGGCTCTGTGCCAGTCAGTACCGCGACCACCACGCAGGCTTTGTGCTCAGCAGCTTTTGCATCGTGTACATCACACTGCAGACTTTTGCAATCCCGGGACCTATTGTGCTGAGCATTTTGGCTGGGGCGATGTACCCATTTCTATACGCCCATGTCCTCGTGGCATTTTGTGCAACAACGGGCGCGTCGCTGTGCTTTCTGCTTTCGTACTTTGTCGGACGTGGAGTCTTTAGTCGCGTGCTTGCCAGCATGCTCGGACGGTTCAAGGCCAAAATTGCTCAAAACCGGCACCACCTGTTTTACTATTTGCTCTTCTTGCGGATCACGCCGTTGCTGCCCAATTGGTTTGTCAACATTGCGTGTCCCCTTGTGGACGTCCCGTTCAAGGACTTTTTCTTGGCGACACTGATTGGCTTGATTCCAGCGAATTTCCTGCACATCTCGACGGGTGCGGCACTTAATAGTGCAACAGGCGCCTCGAGCGGCTCGAATGCAGTCAACTTTGCTGTACTTTTTTCGCTTCAGTTTGTTGCACTGCTGCCGACGCTGATGAAGAGCAAGATCGAAAAGTACGAGAAGGAGGCGTTCGAGAAGGCAGAAAAAAAAGTAGAGTGATTGGACGAAGGAGGTGCGGGAGATGTGCAGGAGAAGTCGGCGTTATTTGTGGATACAAAGAAAAGCAGGTTATAAATGCTCGAGCCGCGAAGTTTGTGCCGTGTGACGTCGCTGTTGTGCTCGGTTCATCGTTACTGCTTTGCTGCTTTGCTCGGGTGTACAAGCTGGTTTGTGTCGTGTTAGTGAGGGCAGGCAGATATCGCGGTTGACCCTCGTCGGAGATGCAATAGAATACATGCAGAAAGACTCGTGTCTTTAATGAAGTAATCTACAGCTTTACCAGCATTGCAAATTGGTCAAGGTGTGTTTACAATGGCAAATGCAAGGAACCAAAGCTTCTAACAACAGGTGTGACTTAGCGATGTCAAGGTCCAGTCAAGTTATTGACCCCTGCACGTTCTCATCCAGTTGATTCGAATCAGAGCAAGTTGAAGTTGGGCATTCTTGTACGCTTGCGAGCACTGTGACTGCTGCCTGGTGCATCCACAAGAAAAGCATCCGGGAAAGCGTCAATGCCAAGACCATCTTGTGCCTCTGCGAGTCGATCCCAACATTCCGTTCTACGTAAACGGGCTAAACCATTGTAAGTGTTGTTGTTCTTGCGTCGATTAGAACTTAGAACGCCATCTTCATGTACAGTGCACTAACAACACTGTGCGTCGGTACATGTGTTGTTAGTGCACTGTACATGAAGATAGCATTGATCAGCTAATCGCTCCACTGCAGTACTGTTGTTTTAGTAGCTGTTTAGTGTAAGGCAACCGAGTAACAATGGTACACTGTACGAGATCGTTCGCAGTGACTTAACTCGGCGTATTACGCTTATCAGTGCTTCTTCATCTTGTAAGGATCAGTGCGATCACGAGAAGGTTTTACTTTTCGGGTAGTCACATGAAACGCGACGAGATCAGTTTTGACACTTGCACGACGCCCTTGACAACAAGTGAGAAGTCTTCTGTCGCAAGCTGTGTAGTTTTAAAAAAGGATTTGCAGCTTGGGACATCCACGCCGTCATTGAGCTGCAGCTTATCCAATGACGTAACAAACTTGCGCAAACAATTTCCACAAACTAATTGACCTGTTTGATACCGTCGACCGATGTCACGACCGAAGCTGCTAGTTTGGTAAGAGCACACTATGATCGCCACATTGAGCAAACTTATCGGCAAAATATGCCCAGCTTCTGGCCTGTATTCTTTTTGCGGTACGCGTTTGCAAGGCAGGGCATCTGCGGTTACACTGCTTCTGTCGGCTAGCAGTCTTGCTGCTGCAGTTCGTGCTCAAATGATGAAAAAGAAAACGGAATGCACGCACTGTTCATCGATGAACTCTGTCGCTGGCAAAGTTGTGTTGTACAGTGCATGCTCTTGTCATTGTCGCTAGAAGGTGGCAGACACTGAGAGAAGACGAGAAGCGGTGCACTTGCTCTCTCTCATCTGTAACGTGATTACTACAGCTCGAAAAGGCTAGATGAGGATTTCGCGTGAACCTGATGGTATCAGTACCACGGTCACGTAAACTCTGCTTATGGTGGTTGGTTCACTCTGGATGAGATCATGAGCCACGAGTGGCACTTGACTATGCTTCAATACCGGAGTCAGCTTAACGCCGCGTCAGTGAGCAAGTTCACAGTTCGGTTTGTGTCTGGACATGAATCCCTCCTTGGACTGCACAAAACTTTCTCCCACATCCTTCACGCATCAGTATTGCTGGACCTTTCTTTCTTTCGACTCAACCAGGATCGAGAATCCATGCACGAGAACAAACCGCATGAACAATTCTCGCCTTTTCCCAGCACGTATTGTACAAGTCGCGTCGCATCAGTCACTTTCCATCTCGGCGTCTGCAGTGGTTGATCGGCTTTGTATCGACAACTTGCTCTCACTCGTGTTGATTGCAAACTCTTGTGCTTGTACCAATTGAGAATCGGCCAAGTCGAAGAAAGATGGTGCAAGTTACTTTGGTCTGTGGGATCGTCGGTGTGCGTGAAAGTGTGTTCTCTGTGGGGATCGACACGACGGACTGGGTGGATCAACTCAAAGATGCGATCAAGGCAGCGAAACCAGCGATGATCCAGAGCGATGCCCGTGACCTGCAGCTCTTCCTGGCGAGAAGAGATGGGGTAGATGATGCTTGGATGAAGAAGGAAGAGGTGCAGCAGGGCGTACTTGACACCAAGGGGTTGCGGCAACTGAACTTTGCAGCAGTGCCACTGAGCTTCAATGGTTTATCGGAGCGAGACGTGCAGACTGAAACCACGGAGGCAGGTCAGAATAGTCCTGTCCACGTGCTGGTGGTGCTTCCTCCAACTCTGACGAAGCGTCAAAGCGTCCCGCTTAATGTTCGAGGCGTCATTATACACGTTACTGAGAGCATGGTACTCAATGATCCACCACTAGTAGCATACTGGCACGCCCTTGCAACGTCATCTACCGCGATCGTAGCTGATACTGTGGTTTCGCTACCGAATGGGACCTACATCCTGGGTAATCCAGCGCTCGGCTCTGGCATCTACATTCGCTCTTGCTTCCAAGAGCTATGGCTGATGTTTTCCGGCTGTGTTCGTGTCATTGGGATTCTCGGCAGCCCGGGAGTAGGCAAAACGTATTTTGCCTATTCCATCTTGCTGTATCTTGCACGTCGTGGAGAGACGGTTGTCTACGAAAGTGCCGCCATTGAGAAGTGTGTCTTGTTTTCTGGCAATGTAGTGGTTCAAGGAACACGAGAGGATTTCGACAGCATCCTCATGCAGACTGAAACGTGTTACGTAGTGGATGGCGTTCGCCCAAAGTACTGCCCAGCAAAGACAATTCTACTTTCGTCGTCACGCGAATGCATATGGCGCACGGTTTCAGACTTTGGACGCATGCACCGCATGCCTGTCTGGTCGGAGGAAGAGATTTTGAACTTTCGCGAGCTCATGTATTCGAATACACCGGTGGCCATCGTGGAAGGTTGTTACTGTCGATGGGGTGGGATCCCACAAGTGTCACGAAAGGCCGTATCCGAAGGGAAAAAGCTCCCTGAAGGATCAGGTTGTGAACACGGATATGCATCCTTGGATTCACCAACTTGCAAGCTCGCACTAGGGGGCTTCGAATTACCTGCTGCGAATCGATCTGTGACGTGTCTTCAGAAAGAAGTGGAAGACGTTTCGATGGGAGACACCCCCTTTGAAGTGAAGGCTCCAATTCCGGATAACCGGAAGACCTCTGAGACCGAGACAGCTGAAAAAGTGGGAGCCGAACAGCGGACCCAGCAGCTCGAGAAGGCAAAGCGCATAAACAGATGCTCTAGTCTCATCGAAGAGACTTTGATTACCGAAGGGCTGTCAAAGTCAGACGTGAGGAAGGTGTTCAAGCAGCTTGCTGCCAAGTACGACCTCCAGGTCATCTCTAAGTACCAGGCTCCTGTATTCGTTGTCGCGACTGGAAACCAGAGTACGAAGAAGGGCACTGGTGGCCAGCATACTTCACATTGGAAGGAACCTCAACAGGCGAGAGCAGCTTGGCGGAGTGACCCCGTTATCATCCAGCTTCAACACGATCGCGATGAGCTCGTAGGAAAACTCAAGAGAGTTTCCCGTGAGCCTTCTGAGGTGGAAAGCTTGCTAAAGCAGGTCGCCAGCTTCAATCTGCAGATCAAGGAACAGAAAAACAGGGTGCGCAATGCTCAAAACAACTGAGTGGTGGCGCGTGCTTGAAGGATGCATATTTCTCACGTGCGGCCTTCAGAAAGCTTCCATTGCACGAGGAACATGACGACGAGCGCCAAGCGCATCGAGAAAAAGGCAAGACACAAGAGGTTTTAGATGGTGATTAATTGGGTTGAATTGACATCAGCTTGGAGACTCACCGTGTTTGTGCACATTGCCTATTGTTTGAATGTCCGAATATTCGAGCAGGAGAGTGAACTAGGCATAAAGGAGTCGCGTTGACTGACTTTGTACTTGAAACTAAATCACCGCCAGTGTAGCCATCAAATATGGCCAGAGTGGAGCTCATTGAATCAGAAAAGAGCAGATAAATGGTCCAGCAAGCAATCAAATATCGGAGGAGGGGATCGAACCCTCGATCTTAAGCGTGTTAAGCTCACGTCCTAACCACTAGACGACACCGACGACCGCAAGGACAGAAGAATTACATAGCAACATTACTACAAAACATTTCCCAACAACCACTCGCCTTCAGCTCTCTTCTTTGGACAGGTTGAACACATGCATAGTACTGTCATGGCTGCGATGAACTATCTATCAGCTGCAACTTCTTTGCAGAGCTTGTTGACCAAGTCACAAGAGACCGAGTGAAACGCAGTTTCTTGAAGTCGGTTGTATCTGCGCTACTCAGCACTAGTGACGAGTGAAAGTGTCAATTGTATGTTCCGCCAGCTTGCACCATGACACCGCCATACTGAGAAAGGTACAGCATGTGTCGAATATCAAATGATGATAGCAGACGAGTTTACCATGTGAGAGTGGTACGACACAAGCAAGCGCGGTTCGAACGGCTATCACGCCATCGTTTCGCCTGTTCCCCTGGTTTTTATTGCATACCAATGAATATCGGCTGTACTGCCGACTGTAACGGATTTGAGTGACTGTGGTCGTTAAACCTGTTTGACTTGAGGTAGTCATGCGTACCCTTACTTCGGTACATGGCTACTGGCTTTATTGCAAGGGGATGAACCCCCACTACCGAATCTACTCGCGACATGGTCCTTTGTTCTACTATGAACACCAGTGCTGCTGAACTGGACCGTCGACGCAAATACCAGCTGGGGCTCCGTCTCGGTGCTTTTCTTTTGGTATCGACCAGCGCCTTCGTGTTCTTGTCCATGTTACCGGTGCACAGGTACCTCGAGACCACATCGAGGTGGGTGAAAGGTCATTCTATTTTGGGCACACTGGGGTTTATTCTGGTGTTTTGGGTTGCCGTGCCACTCTGTCTCCCATCTACAGCTCTGGAAATGATGGCAGGGTCACTATTTGGCGTTTCATTCGGCGTCTTGGCAATCATCGTCGGGAAGACGGGGGGATCAACTCTGACGTTCCTTTTAGCCCGTGTTCTGGGCAAAGACGTGATTGGCGATTACTTACGTTCCAAGTTCCCCACGTTCCAAGCCTTGTCTGACGTGCTCAATAGTAAAAGCTGGAAACCTGTACTCCTCTACCAGCTGTCCAGTATTCCCAATATTGTCAAGATTTACACGCTCGCGATCACACCAGTGTCAACTGCACGGTTTGTAATGTCTGCTGCTTTGGGGAGCATTCCTCATGCTATAGTGTGGGCCTACATTGGCTCCCAGGCGACTGATATTGCCGCTACGCTTACGGGCAAGACCGAGATGTCTACAAGTCGGGTACTCGTCGTTGTCACTGGCATCTCGCTGACAGCATTGGCAATGACGGTTCTAGTAGTGTACACGAAACGGCAGTTACAGGAGCTACAGAGGCGCGAGTGCCGTAGTGGCAGCGAGGATGAATTGATACTGTCAATCGGAACCGATGATGCAACAATTGCCAGTGCAAAGGGTGGACGCGACCGTTAAGTAACAAATCCCCATGCAATACATTTGAACATGCACATTCCCCTCCGTTATGATACATCAAGCCTGAAAGTGTCCCACTTACTATCGTTTGCGCCCATCGGTTTTTTTTTGACTTCCGGTGACTTCCTATGTCGAAATGGTTCGATTCGCAAACTTTGCTGACTGGGATTGCCAAAGCAAATATTGCAGTCCTTCGATAATATTTCCATTTGCACAATGAATTTGTGCTCCAATCATCCGAATTTTGTTTTTCGTCTATTATTATCCAGTCTGTCACATCACGCGGTCTGTCATTGGTTGAAAGTCGTGCCAGTCATGCCATCCGATGCAGTGCTGCTCGTCGTGTCGCTCGGAGGCCTCGCCACGATTGTCCTGGCCGTTCTTTACATTGCCGGCTTCTTCAGATCCACCAAGGTGCGGTCTATCTCTCTCTATACACGTATACTCACCAGTGTCTCTTTTGACCCTCTTTACGCTCCTTCTATACCATGTATAGGCAAAAGAACCGCCTAAAGACCAAGTCGAAGTACTTCGAGGCGGTGAAAGACGGGGTCTAGCAGCGCTACGTAAGCGCAAGGACCGCAAGAAACGCCAAACAGAGCAAGATGAAGCTGAGGGGCGTGAAGAGGCCGTTGCAGCGGCTTTAAACGAAGCGTTGGAGGCTGCACAAGACGATGACGGAGCAGCTCTGGAGCCGTAAGGAGTTTTTTTGTGTGCGCTTGTGAACGGAGTGATACGGTAAAAACGTGGTGTTTTGGTGACTTGATAGGTGAAACTGTGGGCTGTTGTATTTTATAGGCGAACAATGACCAAGAAAGAGCTACAGAAGGAACTGAAGCGTCGAGAGCGCGAAGAGCTCCGTCAGGTAGATTGTGGCTATAAATAGGTATATGTCACTGCATAAATTATGGCATGATACTGAAGTTCTTTTTCGTCTTGAATTTCTGCAGTTTGACCAGCAACAACGTGAAGAGCGACAGCGACTTGCTGATGAGAGAGATGCAGCGTGGCAGACAAAACGGGACGAAGAAGACAAGATTGAACAGAAGTTGGTGGAACAGGAACGCAAATTGATGGAGGAGAAAGCTCGCAAGGAGAAAGAAGAGTTTGATCAGTGGAAGGACATGTTCACGGTTGAAGAACAAGGCACGAACGTCGTGACAGACGACGAGGAATGTCAAGCGTTGTTGCAGCAGTTTGTGGATTACGTCAAGTTGCACAAGGTAGTGCTACTAGAAGACCTTGGGTCTAAGTTCAATCTAGCCACAGAGGATGCAATGGACCGCGTTGAGGCGTTGCAGGCGTCGAATCGACTTTCGGGTATTGTTGACGACCGTGGGAAGTTCATCTACATTACGGACGAAGAGATGGAGAAGGTGGCCAAGTTTGTTCAGCGACGGGGGCGACTAGGTTTTGCGGAGCTGTCAAAAGAGTGCAACAGGCTCATCCGATTAGACGGAGAAGTCGACAAGGACGCCACGACACGCTCGTTGGACTGGCTTGACAGTGGAGAGTTGTGTGGAGGACCCGTCGCTGATTTGTCATCCTGAAAGGCGTGTCAGTTTCGGGTATTACAAGTCTGTTTGCGCAACAACGGGTGATGGACTCGAACTGGTACTCGCTGGTACTGCGTCCGACGTGTCGTCGATGTGTTACGAAGTACTTTGCATTTGAATGTACTTTCGTTCGAGCGTGGGAGTTTAAGCGATTCATGTTCGTGGCGGCAAATGGTGGAGAAGTGCTCGAAGTGTTTCGTCATGCTTTTTTCGACAAGTTGCATGTGCACAATCAAATCTTCAAATAACTAACTCGCATACTTTTTCAGGCCCGAAGAGTGATGCTACTCATAACTGAGTGCACGATGGCTAACTTGTAACATCTACCATTTGTCTGTCTGCGAATACCGCCAGGTGTGCCTTACACGTCGTGCTAAGTGCGATGCAGCCTACCACTTCCTCATAGATATGCACGACCGGTGTCACTATTAAATTGGGTCACTAATTGCAACCGTGCATAGAGCGGTAGTCACAAACACGCACTAATGCCCGCACAAACGTATGAGAGAATGTGTGTGGCTGTGTGGTCATTACCCGATCAAACTTGTGCCATCAATAATGACGGCATGAGGCAAACAACATGGAGGATTCAAAAGTAAATACTTAATTATGATTGATATGGGATCCAGCAAACTAACTTCAATGATTGGAGCGAATCGAAATTAAAATCACCTCAGAATAAATGGAATGTAATGTCTATTTATCATGTATTGCGGTAGATGTATACGTCAATCTGCTGGTTCCACGTCCACTGCTAGTTGTGTTCTTATCATCATTGCGTCGCGTCTAAGATCGGCCTTTTTTACCGAACGAGAATAAATCGGCGATGTTCGACGATAGTTGATAATTAAGATGTTAGGTTAAAGCTCCGTGACTTTTCAGTAGTTATTAAGGCGTTTTACGAATGTTTCTACCACTACCTACAACTTTTTACCAGCGTAAAATCTGTTTACCTGTTATTAGCGTTTTACCCTGTTTTTAACAGTTCCATTGGTCCACAGAGCAGGCACTTTCTATGCAGATGGGCCGGGCCGGGTGCAAAACATCAAAATGCTATGGAAATACCGTGCCAGAGGAGATTCCACTAGTCACAGTGTAGAAACAATGATATTTGCATACACAATGCGCGCACCAAAGCTTTCCCCCGACGTATAGCTTACTAGTGCTCATCCTTTAACTTCGCCTAATCGGGATCATCTCTGCGCGACTGTTTCATGCTGTTAGCAGAGAGAGCAGCATCAATGCGCAGAATACCTATGCTATGTGAACCTCCAAGCGCTCTGCCTAGGGTTGCAAATATCGTGAACATGAATTGGCCTTGGCCTTGAATTTGTCCCTATCCATTTTCACCTTTTCAAAGAGCGCCCATACCTGAAGATGAGGGCGTCCGAAGGTGGACATGGAAAGCCTTCAAATCGTAAAGAAACTGATAAAGATTAATAGCATTGCAAAGAAGACATGTAAAAGGCCTTTTTTGAAAGAAGGGGGCGCTAAGGGCTGATTGTATGGATATCAGCACATGTGGGCAAGATGCGTGTTGCGAGAAGGAAGCGTTAGGTGAACAATAAGATTCTGTTGTATTTCCTTACTAGTTCTCTCTTCTCTGCCGTGCTCGCCAAAGCCCTCTGCTCCAGTCATCCATCTCACACGCATTCTGGCTCTACTCGAATCACTATCCTGCTTGTATCTCTGCGTCCACCTTTTACGCACAACGAGTTTGTGACATCATGTTTCCAAATAAACCCCAAGTCACCGGCCGAACACTCCAATCGCCGTTACGTACCCTTGCACCCATTTCCAACATTCCAACACTCCTCCTCGGTCGTGACTTCCCCTCACCCATGTTCCCTTTCTTGAGCTCGCATATGTCCTTGTCCTTTTCCTCCATCCTTGATCTCCTTGATCGCCCTTGATCGTCCTTGACCTTTTCTTAACCAATGCGCACGAGTGCGCGAAGTGTCGAGAGCTTCGTCGTGTCCAACGCCTTCGTGAGGAGGTCTGCGAGCATCTGCTCCGATCTGACATAGCTCGCCGTGATGATACCGCGACGCGAGTAGTCGCAAAGGAACTTAAGGCGCACATCCACACGTTTTGCCTTCAGCGACGATGCCTCTCCCGCGATCTGCGCGATCGCCGCTTGGTTGTCCACCCGCAACTGCATCGGAAGCGCGGGCTCTACGCCCACTTCGCACAACATCTCGCGCAGGCCGAGCAGCTCGCGCGCGACTTCACTCGCCGCGACAAATTTCGCCTCCACCGTCGACAGGGAGACGCCTCCCTGCTTCCCGCACCCCAGCTGACGGCCATCTCGTTCAGCATCACGATGCCGCCCGTCATTGACTTCCGGTCCGTCTTGTCGGTGGCAAAGTCGGCGCCGCTGAACGCTTCTAGTCGCATCGCCGCACCTAGATTGTCTTCTGGGATCATCGTGACCTTGAGCGCCGCCGTACTCTTGAGGTATTGCGTGATGCGTTTAGCCAACTTCCAGACTGCTAATCGAGGCGCGTGGGCTCGTCTCGTGAACTTGTGCACCGCAAACACTATGTCAGGGCGCAAGCAACGCGCCACCCAGAGCAGCGAGCCGACCAGCGACTGGAACTGGCGCACAGTCGGTCCTAATTGCGCGCTTAGCGTCCCAAGAAGCTCCGCGTCGCCCTCCTCCAACTCTTAGCAGCTGTCGTCGATCGGCGTCCACGTCGAGTTGGCGTCAGCGAGTCCGTTGTCGCATAGGAGGTCTCTGATGGCCTCCTCCTGATCGAGCATGTACCCGTTCTGACCGTAGTGCGTCACGCGCATGCCCAAGAACTTGCTGACACACCCCAGGTCCTTGACCGACAACGACGCGAGGCTTGCAAAGAACCGCTCGACCGCCGCCGCGCTCGTCCCTGTCGCTAGAAGATCGTCGACATACACGCCGACCACGACGAGGTCGTCGCCGTCGCGCTTCCAGTAGAAACACATGTCGCTCAAACACCGCGTGAAACCGGCAGTAGAGAGCTTCGATTGCAGCAGCTGGATCCACAGCCGTCCTGCCTGCTTGAGCCTGTAGAGGCTCTTCCGCAGCTCCAGCACCAGCTCGCTCGCATTCGAAACGCCTTGCGCTCGTAGCGTCTCCTTCGAGACAGGCATGCCGTGCGGCATCTGTAGATAGATGCGGAGGTGCGGCTCCTTGTCCGCTTTAACGTAGGCGTTGGGGATGTCACCGTGCTTGGCAGTCACCCCGCACGTAGCCGCAAGCGCCAGGATCACTTTGAACGTCGATAGGTCCATCACGGCAGCGAAGGTGAGCGTGTAGTCGACGTTAAGCACCAGTTCGTTGCCACACGCCACCAGTCGCGCCTTCAGCCACTCGAGGTCGCCCTGCGCATCTGTCTTGGACTTGTAGAACCACTTAATGTGCAGTGCATGCTGTCCTGCCGTTCGCCTTGTGATAGTCCAGACGTCGTTGGCCTCGAGCGCGGCGATCTCCTCTTGCATCGCCTTCTCCCACTCTTCGCGCTTGCCGCTGCGCATCGCCTGACCGTAGTTAAGCGGATCGTGTTCGAAAGCAGCATTTACGACTTCTCCGCTCGCGGCTGTCTCCTCCTGACGAGCAGCCGCTTCTGCGCGTTTCGACGCCCCGCGTGTTTCATTCGCCGCTCGCGTCCATCACTTTCTGCTTTTACGCGTCGCCCTGTTGCCCTCTGCGCGACCATCGTTCGCCACCGCTGCTGCTGGCGCGTCCGTATCCTCCTGGCCTCCGGCTCGATCGCCGACGTCCATCGCGCGCTGGAGTTTCGCGTTTTGCGCCTCCGTCAATGTCTCGATATTCTTGATGCGCTGCGTGACGACCACTTTGTTGTCACGCGGTAGCAGCACCTTGTAGCCCTTAGGTTTTATAGCCGACGACGACGACAATGATGGCGCACCCCGAGCACTGCAGCAGCGAGTTCTTGCGCGGGTCCCTATACACGCTACACTGGGAGCCAAAAACGACAATTCCACGCAGATTCGGCGTCTTGCCCGTCAGCACCTCGAGTGGTGACGCTCTCTTTGCGTTTGCTCGCGTGGGGCTCCGGTTGAGGATGTGAACGGCGTATAGCACCGCGTCTCCCCAAAACATCAGGGCAGCGCGCAGGCAAACATCATGCTGCACGCAAGGTTCAGCACTGTCCGGTGCATTCGTTCCGCCTTGCCGTTTGAGGCCTGATTGCGCGCCTCCGACACTTGGCGCGCGACGCCCGTGCGCTCGAAGAACAGGTCCACGTTGGCTTATTTTCTGCCGCCGTCCGTGCGGAGCACGTGGACCTTGAACCCGAAAAGATTCTTAAAGTGAACGAGTAACGCCTCGAACTGCTTCGCCACAGCGTCCTTCGTGCGCGCGAGGACAACTCGGCAGTAGTTGCTCTTGTGATCAACGAAATTCACAAGGCAAAGATTGCCGAGTCGGTCCCGCGGCGTCATTGGACTCTTCAGGTCCGAGAAGACGACGTTGACGTCGACGATGCGATCGATGGGCGAGTGCTTGCCGCTGTCTTGTTGGGACTGCGCGTTGCGCGTCTGCTTGCCCTCGAGGCATGACACGCACGCCATACGTTTATTGTTGCTGAGCCGAATGCCTGATGCCGGATCGCGCGCCATGCGTTCGATCGTGTCGAACGCAAGGTGGCCGAGTCGCTGGTGTCAGTGCAACAGCGAGGCTTCGTGCGGCTCGTCGGCGTTAGTTTCCGTGGCATGCGCTTCGAGCACCGCCATGATCGCGTCGCCGCCTGCACCTTCCTTGTCGTGCGTGGCCTTCGTCACGACATACAGCACGTTGCTGTCATTTGTGACATCGAACGCGACTGCACCATCTCTGCACCGAGCGAGCGAGCGCCTGTCGCTGGAGTGCACTAGGTCTAATCCTTTGTTCGCGAGCTTGCCGTACGACACAATGTTCTTTGCCAGTCGCGGCACCAAATACACATCCGTGAGCGTCCCTACCGCCTCAGCGCCGCGCGCGAGAACCTCGAGGCGCACGCTGTCGACACGCGTCAGGTGAAGCGACTCGCCGTCTGCCATTGCAATCTCGTGGCTGCAAGCCGTCGACTTAAACAGCAGCGACTCGTCGTTGAAAAGATGCCGGCTCGCGCCGCTATCGAGGGTCCGGTCTCGTTAATCGACGCCCATGGCATCGGTCTCCGCAAGTACGAGGCCGCGCGTGCCATCCGTGGCTCGTAATCCGTCGCTCATCGTAAGCACGAAGCCGCATGTGTCGTCTATGGCTCGCGCTCCATCGCTTGCATTGGTCGCTGCGGCGTCCTTGCCGCGCGATCCCTTCTTTCTCCTGTTGCGCTTTTTCGTGGTCACCCTGCGCTTATCGTTCAGTTCAAGGATCATGCTGGCGCCTCCACCCTCCGCGGGTGTCTCGTCGTCGTGCACGACTCGCGCGCGACAGTCGGCCGCGATGTGGCCTGGTCTCCCACATCGGTAGCACGTTATCGCGCACTTAAGTATGCCTTCCACGTGCGTAGCGACGACCTCACGACCCACCGCGCTGCTGCCGTGATCAATGGACTGCGCGAAGTGCGCCAGCTTCTCGGGATGGCGCAGGTAGTCGAGTCGCGTGGTTTCATACTTGGAGCGCATCACGTTCATCAGCTCCGGCGAAGCGTGGTGGACGATGTTCAAGAACAAGCGAGTCGGCACCACCACGCGCCTCGCTGACGGCGACCATGCACAGAAAGTGCTCGGCCCAGGTGCGTCGTGCGTCCTTCTTGGCCATGAAAAACTTCATTGCCTGGCTTGCAGTGATTGCCGTCTTATGCGTGCGCAGGAGCTGCTCCATGATGTACTCCAGTGTGGGTGACTGCGTCCACCAGGTATCGACCTGCTTGCACCTCTCAACCGTGCCGGCGAGAAAGTGCCCAAGCAGGTCGACCTTGACGTCTTCGGTCCATCCGAAACCACACGACGCTTCCGCGAGGCTCACCGCGCGCAGAAACGTACGCCCCCAGTCAAAGAATCCGCTCCCGAGTCCGCGGTACAGCTCCGTACCATTGAACTTGCGTATGTTCAACTTCCGCTGGCTTGCCGACGGCATCCCGTAGCCGTTGAGGCCCGGTCGCACACAAGCTTGTGGCGGAGAGACTTGTTGCGGCGGCGGTAGCGCTGCATTCTCCTGCGGAGGTGGCGCAGACGCTGGTGCGCGCTGGTACCCACGCGGCACCAATGCCTTCTCCTCCGCGTCTCCGATCGCGTCAATCGTCATCGTTCGGCCGCGCATGTTGGTGCCGAATTTTGAGGCAAAAAGTCCGCTCTCCACGGCCCCGAGCATGCGCTCCTCCTCGTTTCGCACTCTTTGCGACGACTAGAGGCTCGCCAGTCGTTTGGTGAGTGCGGCGAGTGCGTCGAGGATCTTATCGTCTTGCTCCCCGCTCTCGCGAGCGGGTCCATCGTTGACGACCGCGGGTGTGGTAGGCGCACGCGCTGGCGAGCCGCGTCCAGGCGTGGCTAGCGGACACCTTCTGGTGTCTTCGTAGTCGGTTCGGTATTTGCGGCCATTGGGCTCATAAGATGTGGGCAAGATGCGTGTTGCGAGAAGGATGCGTTAGGTGAACAATAAGATTCTGTTTTATTTCCTTACTAGTTCTCTCTTCTCTGCCATGCTCGCCAAAGCCCTCTGCTCCAGTCATCCATCTCACATGCGTTCTGGCTCTACTCGAATCACTATCCTGCTTGTCACTCTGCGTCCACCTTTTACGCACAGCGAGTTTGTGACATCATGTTTCCAAATAAACTCCAAGTCACCGGCCGAACACTCCGATCGCCGTTACGTACCCTTGCACCCATTTCCAACATTCCAACAGCACACGGTTCCTAATAGGCGCCAAGTCTCCTTTAATTTTTTGTGCTAGATGGAAATGTATGGATGACGGACAGTGGTGGTGGTTGCAGCACAACCTCCTATTTATAATTCTTAGACACATTACTAGAATGTTATTAATTCATCAAAGGATAATAAATGAGAGGTTTGATTGTTTTATCCGCCACACTTTTATACCACTAGATTGTAGTAAAAAGATGTGGTGGATTTAACAATCCTTTGGCGATGATTGCCGGTATAAAGTCGGTTTAAAAACGAGGCCCATTGTTATCTTTTTTTAGGCTGGTAAAAAGTGAAGTGTTATTAACAACGACTGGTTTTCTAACATCACTGGCCGATGTGGCCGAGTAAATACTGCAAAATGTGCGTTGGGACTAAAATAAATCACTGGATACGTATTCATGGATTAGAGCTAATTCTGATACTCTTTCAGAAGAGACAAATGAGAACGATCGGTTCCGACCAGCTTTGATGTAGCAGAGCTACTCAGAGCTCCTTAACAGAGGAAGTCTTAGACTCAAAGTGTGGCGGAGCTACTGAGTACTCCTTAGCTGAGTAAATCCTCAAATTAAAGATACTCTTAATTATAAAAATTAATCCAGACGTACAGTCGTTCAAGTGCACAAGCTTGACAATCCCGGTTTAAAAGGGATTCCGAATCACAGAATCACACATTAATTAGTTAGTACTAGTTGAACAAGAGCAAGCGCCTTTACAAGGCTAACACTATTACAACACACTACGCCCTTTACTAGGCACTAGCGTCTAACGATTCAAAAGGGGAAACTGAAATTTAATTTTTCATTAACTACGGTAATAAAACCCTAAAACCTTGCCTGAACGACTTCTCCATTGCGATCCTATGACTGGAGTCTGATCCCTTATCCTTTCCCGATAATGCGAAATTACCGTAGGTAAGTGGTACCAAGACTGTACCACTCAGATCCACCGATCTTTACTTGATGTGAATACGCAACATAACCGGTTCAAAGCCGCCGTTTAACCTCGTTACAAATGGTTCCAATGTTACTGTCTCTTGCCATCAAATGAGGTTTTATAGCAGAGGGCATGTTGTGGAGCTACACTACTCTTAGTCAGAAATAGGATTACGACTTTAGAAGTCACTTTGTTCCATGAAACTTGGTTACGATTAGTTTAAAGAGTCTGTAGTTTTTAGAACTAATCAGCAAAGACTCAGATAGTCTCAAAGCTCGTAGAGCTTCTAGTCCTGGTTCAGGGGACTTACAATGACTCTAGTAATCGTACGTACAATGTTCTCTTGAGTTTACACCTCAAGCTGTATCTTACTCGTAATGATCTACTGACGTCTAAATTGGACACGTGTCAATCTAAGATCAAGAGGGGAACTGACCTTTTTTTAGTTTTATCTGTAACAAACCTCATTTGACGACCTCATGGTAGATTCAAACCGCTTCGCATAGTAATCTTTAGTCGATTATAGATAGATGGATGGTACGCCAATCTGTCATCAATGGATGACTGAGGTTATCGACCACATCGATTTTCACAGACAAAACTCGGGATTCTATATCGCACATGCAAGGTACATCCCTTGTGACTTTAACCGTCGTGGGACCCCGTTACACCCTCCTTTACCAGACTGACGCCACCAAATAACGTCAATCGAATTATTACTTCATCGAGGTTATTGAAGAACAGTAATCTCATAGTTTGTTCAACGCGTCAGACATGGCAACTCCGACTATTCTTCTGCTTTTGACCCCCTCGGCATTGAGGAGGAGGAGCTGGACAATTGCACCAACGTCGAGTCCTAAGTAAGCATACCCGTTCGAGGCTACATGTTGAGACAGGCACCTGATCCGTTCCCTGAACGTATGTATGTGGATGCGCTAACAGCGCTGCACGCAACATCGGTATGGGCTCGGCGATAATCACGAACCCACTCGACGAGGAGCGGGTGCCCTAATAACGGAAGATAGCTCAGCGCAGATCATAGATCATGTCGACAATCGAAATTCATACTGACTGTGTGTTAACAACTTCCAGTTTGAAAAAAATCTACGACAACGACTGGTTAGTCTTTGGAATTGTCGAACATCTTTCCAGCAGCCAATACAACTGACGAGGTTGAAGCAGGTAGGGTATTGCGTGAAAGACACCTGGTCTCGTATGTTATGACTTTGAGTGAGTACAAGACAAGGCTTTATGATCAAAGTCATGATATACCAGTTTCACCAATTAGGGGCATCACCGTACTCCTAGACGCAGGAGGTTTGGACGCTGAAAAGGACGATGCGTGTATACGCTGCGTGCATAAAGCGCTGCACCTGAGCAGCAATAAGGCGTTGACAGCAAGATCCGGCAAGGCTGACGTACGTCTCGAGTGGAAACATCGTTATGACTTCGCCAAATTGAGGGCCAAAGGCCAGCTGCGGGCGATGTTCCGCACGCGATACGCTGCGGGTGTGCCACTGACTGCAAGTCCACATTGGAGTTCTGTCGTGGACCCATCTACCGCTTACATTACTGTTGAGAAGCGTAAAGGGGTTCGTAAGTCGAGCTTGACCGTGGTACACATGACCATCCACAGAATACGAGCAATACTGCCACAGGAATATCTCGTACTCCCATGAGTCCTTAGACTCAAGGTACCCTCGCCAATTCACCAGATACTGTAATTGGTCATGTCGACGACGCCGTTGCATCAACCTCTCCACATGGAACTGGATATTTTATTGATGGTCAAGCGACGCCGGTGGCGGTTGGTGTGTTTGCTGCATCCAATGAGGCTTCAATGCACAAAGTGAACAGTCTTCGAGGGACTCAAGGTAAGACCTAACGCACCCTTGATGCGATGCAAGACCGCTTGTCGATGTTTGAAATGATCCAAACACGAATAAAGGTACAAATTTATCTTCTAACTCGTATGCAGCAGCCTGTGGCAAATATAACTTCCGCGGTGAAGCTTTTTTTAATAAACCTGGGACGGATACGGATACGTCTTAAGGAGTCCAAAGTAAAGTACGGTGTGTGTTCGCAATTTGCGCGGTAAGTTGATTGTATACGCAAGACCCTTCTCAGCCACGACCGCAAATGTGCCAAAGATGCGAGGAGGCAGCCTCGTCATAAGTACAGCAGACACTACATTTATGGTAGGCTTTTAGCGTTTAATAAGACGTGTTCACCGACCTCATCACTTTTTGGTACAGCTTCTGCCTTGAGAATCTGATTGTTCCTTATGTTTGTCTTGGCTATCAGCCATTGCGTCGCACAAATGTCGTAAGACATTCAGGCGCGCTTGTGACACGCGTTAACCTGTTTATGGACGGTAGTTGGGCTGATATCAGCAAGCCGATCGGCTACCTCTCCTCCACCAAGCCCTGAGCCACGTAGTGGTAGCGTCAACGGAACGCGCGGGTGTGGGAGGCCGTTCACGTCGAACGGAGTATAGCCTGTCTAGACATGGACTGAACTGCTCATGGCGAACTCAACAATGGGGAGTATCAAGCTTAATGCATGTGCATCTCAGCACACACTTTGCATAAGAAGTCACCGAGGATGCGATTGACTTTCAGTCTGACCATCGGTCTGCGGATGATCGCGGTAGACCCTGACCGCGATTCTCGTTTCACAAAATGTGTACGTAAAACAAGAAGCGCGGTCAGAGACAATTTTTAGTGGCAGTCCGTGTTGGCGAAACACGCAATCAATGAATAGCAAAGCTTTACTAAACCATCACTTGAATCCGGCACAGCCGCTAAGTGAGCCATTATACTCAAACGGTCAGCAAAAACCACAATATCTGTGTTGCCATTCGAATTTTTCGGTGAGCCGCACAAAAGGTCCATAATGATAGAATCATATCACCCAGAGGGCAAAGGTAAATTTGCCAGCGGTGCAGTCCCATGTACCAAGGGTCTGACCCGTTCGCACGTCTCACATGTGCGCTTGCTAACCTATTTGAAGGGTCTGTTATTAAATCTGACAAGTTTTCCAAGTGCGCGAGAGCCAAGACACCAGCTTCGCTGCTATTGCTGGCATCTGTTACAGCTGTCGGGTCGTTCGAAAGCCGCAAAGGCACCTCAATAAATCGCTTTTGTGTTTGAGTGGACGCAGCACCCGCTGAAATCGCTCGTGCATTCACGACGCCAATGTGAATGTGATCCAAGGAAATTGTAACCGAGTCAATATGATGCGACTTTGAAAAGGTTGACTTCCACCTTATCAGCTTCGCTGCATACTTGGTACAGAAGCAGATAATGCGAGCTGAACGCCAGCGCTTGCTTTGCTTTTCCCTCATCGCTGCATATACCATTCACTCATCGCTTATATTGCTCAAGCTGGAGACATGGACAACGAGATCAAGAAGACTGTTGCTATATGTGGTAACGAACGCGCCACAACCAACTTGAGTTTGTAACCCTTGCAGTCATCGCGATGCCGCGATACCGCGCCACAACACGCAAGACACTGAGATGATAATGCAGTCGGTAATGTCACATCGGCGTGAATGCACGTTTGCTGAATCTACTCAATCCACAGGGTCTAAAAGCTGAAGCAAACTTTCAGCAGAACACTCCAATTACGCTGGAGATAGGAGATCATTCAACATCCTGCTTGCAAACACGCTTCCATACCCATCTCTTTTAACGTCTTCGATACCTGTAAGTGTCACCCGATTCGTCATCTTGCGCCAAAGTCGATAAGTCAACCGCCTGAAACTGCACTAACTGGATCCAAGCGCACGCAAACAAACCTGGTGTGTGATCTCTTTACAGAATTTACTGCATGTGCTGCAACCAACCTGCCGCAGCAGTCCATCTCCTCCAGTGACATTTTAACCTGTTACCACAGACTGAATGTGGCACTAGCAAAGCGACGCCACGCATCAACAAGGTCAAAAATGAGTCACAACTGCAGACAATGATCGAGTTGGTTTCCAACCAAAATGTTTCATACAGCAGAGAACGACAACTCACGACGTGTCTGTGTGAAGTCCTCATTCCACTTTCGCCACAGCATGCGACCGCCTCAAAGAATGTGCTACAACGTCACAATCTAACCATCTTTTTTTAACGACATCTTTGGTCCGACTTCGGGTGTAAGCGGCATTAGCCACCACTAAAACTAGGCAGTGAATCCGGGCTATAGCTTCACCTGCTGAGCCATAAACGATCTTCCTTCGTCCTGATCAGGGGGCCGTCTAGTAGACAGAAGCGACAGAAGCTCTGGTGGTGAGGATAGAAGACTTTCTAACGCAATGGCCAACTGCCTTGCAACGTGCCAAAGCTTGCTCAGGCTGACTTTTTCATGCTTATTTTGCGACTTCGAAGGCCTTATCAGCGTGCGACCAACTGCTCGTGCGACGCTTGTCTTGTCTCCAAAACTTTAATCTGTAAGCATGGATGCCACTCACAGTGATGAGTCAGGAAAAAAAGCAACCACGTGCCTTGTAGTTACCGTTGGTTATCCGGCTAGCAAGCATGCACCCAGCTACTGACGCACGATCTTGTTGCTCCTTCGACTTGAACGGTCGAACTTGGCAATTCGTCCGTACATGTCCGGCTCACAGAAGCAATGCATACACATCACGGACAAATCGCCACTGTCAAAAAGCGCCATCACCTCCACATCTTAGGTCCGCAGAGGTTGGCGCTGCAGCAGCTCAATGAAGCGCAAACCAACTCGACCCGATATTGACTTTTTCTGATGCGGTCAGCCAGAATCTTGGGGGTTGTTTCAACACAGGAATCGCAAGCAGCTTGTATTCAAGACAGACGTATCATCACCGTCAATGTGCTTCGGCTTCATACTCTGACGTGGATTCGCAGAACTGTTCACTGCTTATTAGATCCAAACGAGACGCCATTGAGGATGAGTTTGACGATTGCATACAATGTTAGTCACATGTCCCTAGATTGTGCCCGTTGCGTACCTTTGAGAGGGAAGAAATTATACACAGCTTGACACTCTTCGGAATTTTAGACAAAACGTTGTAGTCGCGGAGCAGAACTAGACACGAACGAGACAGAATATGAATCGGGCTGCACAAAGCGCCACAGTTCCGGCCACAAGACAGTGAACAGCGCGTCCTGGATCACATTCGTCTCAGACCAAAAGCTGAGAAACGACACCTGGAAATGGAAGAGCATGATAGTGAATTCAGACTGATACTGCGAGAGCGGTCTCGGTGAGATGCACCACCCCGCATGAGAAACAGCTAGCGGCTGCGCAAAAGACTCTAATACAACATCACGCTCCCACGATGGCACCCCATTCGACAAGAGCGATGTCATCCACAGTGAACAATCCAAAAAATGTAGAGCGGCACATATGACCTCTATTCACAGATCAGCACAACTGGGTTGGAAGCTGCTTCGTTCGTATCCACATTAACATCACCACATGCAGCGTTTCCACGACCCGGAATAGGCGGATCCAATATACAGCACGTATCCGGAGCAGCATACCGCTAAGCAAGTTTCCAATTCCATCACGTTCTGGGAGCAAGTCCTTGCAAGAAGGAGCTCAAATCATTCTTGACAGCGGCCACAGCAGCATCCGGCTGCGTCATCTTTTTCTGCTTCTTCTTCCGCTTCTTCGGTCCGTCCAGCAGCTTTCTCGGTGAGCTTGGTGCTACTGCAGCAAACATACTACATGGAGCTGACTTTAACTCTACGCAATTAGGTGAAGCCTTCGCAACAGTTGGTGCGAACTGCTCGACTTGACCATCGATACTTTTGGTGTCCATTTTCTTCGTTTTCAGTTCGGGATCTGTTGCTTTCAAATGCTGCCCCTCACCACGGCATTTCTTTAGCTTGGCCTTATAAATTGCCGACGTCCCAGGTCGGTCGTTCGAATGCCGACATCGGTGGCAGGTCACTCGCTGGAGATGTTTTGACACACAGGACGTCGAGAAGACAGTGTTACAAACTTTATCCCTCTTATCAGAGTGCGACAATTACAACAACGACTCACCACGATAGTTGACAGAGTTGCACAGACAAAACGTCGTCCACTTTCAGTACTGCTTAACCGCTTACATGCTCGTCGCTGTTGCCTCGCGAGTCGACGGTTAATAGGCGATTGACGCGACTGAGAGACCACGCGCACGTCTGCAGACACGCTGGGCACGAGTAGTCCGCCACAGCATTCACAGATAAAGTCCAGCACCGACTGCGGCAGCTGAGCGCGACTGGTTCTTGCTATCTGCATCATAGACGCACTGCTCAAAAGGTTAGATATCAGTTATGGCGTTTGGACCATTTAGACGGTTATGCCACGGACATCAGATGGTTGGCCAGCGCGGCACTTGTGGGTAACAGACGATGCGCGGAGCTCCAGAGAAAGGAGAAGCGCTTCTCGATCTGGCGTGAGGTCTCCGCACTCGTGACGTTTATCTCGGGCAGCACGAGCGCGCCAATCGGCGCCGAGGGCAGCAGCGGTGCCATGTGACGCAAAGGACGTGTCCGGATTGTCAAGGATACTTTGGACCTCGAGAAGTTATGGGTACGGTAGACGACGAACCATACCTTAGCAGAGGTTAAACCTTATTGATTTTTGTGCATCGTACATAAGGCGAAGCAGTCAATTGAGTGATCAAAAAAACGGACCTGGGCACCCATTCCTATTCCTCACTTCCTTTTAGTGCAAGTCAAAGTCCATCCCAACGGTATGAGACGCACCAATAGCTTCTTTCGTCTGAGCAATTATTACACAGAGAAGCCACACGCATACGATTTCAATTGTGTCTTGCCTGTTGATGTGATGTATGACCAGTGTAAAATGTTGCAAATCCGTCTTACTAATGGACAACGTCAACCAATATGCAGCTCAAGATGAGGACCCAAATTTATCTCAAACGGCACTAGCGAAGTAAGCTACGAAGAGGTTCGGCCTTGTCTAAACGCCATCACAGGCAATAACCAGTAAGATCTTTTGGAAGCGGTCTAATCTAGAGAATATGGATACAAGCAACCTAAGTGCAATGCGACAGCGACTAGTTCAACATCCCCTACAAGATAAAGCTGTGTCACTTTGGGTCCTGCAATGCCAACACCGCGGAGTGAATATCACTGCGGATATCATCTGTGCGAAGACTCATCGTCTTGCTCGATTGCTTGGTACTCCTGACGACGCCATCACTTTCTCGCACGGATGGCTCATAAATTTCAGCAACGTCACATGCTCCGCGCTATCTGTAACGGGGCACCCTGAAGCTTGTACTGGTGACAGTACAAGCTACTTATTCTGATAACAGAATAAGGCGGTGCCTCGTAACTTCACGTACACTCGTACGTGCAGAGGAAGACGGTAAGAAGAAGCGAGTACTTGGTTAGAGTAAAAAGTAGAACTGTATTTATAATAGTTAATGTCTGCAATAAATCACTATTTATCTTCATCTAACTATGTCTAAATACAAATGTGTAAATCAGTTATCTGCTCACCACTCATTGCGTGCGTCTGTCGTGGCGCGTCTTCGTTGGTTGATATAATGGCCTATATCAACCAATTAGGAACTACTTGGAAGTGCTACAGAATATTGTCCTTATGACAATATTCTGAGAATATAACTCTTATAGTTATATTCTATTAACAATTTCTTATAAATTGTTATGTAACGATTCACCCCGTTACATCACCCCCCTTAACCATCAGTCACTTTAGTGACTGATTGACTAAATGGATACTCGTCCCAAATCATTTGGGACGGGGTTTGCACTTGTTGGTCCGCGTCCACTTTCCAACATCTCATCGCATGGTAAACAAGCCCATGCGATGCGCGAGCAAGGCCGCCGAGAGCGCGTCTGCACGTCTCTGTGCGGACGCCGAAGCAGAAACTACAGCAACTGATGTCCCATCGGTTGCTGAATCGACTCAGCCTGCATCACCTGGTGATGCAGGCGCTGGTCATGAAGACACTCGTGTCTTCACAGAGTACGAGCTCGGTGTCTCGTACTCTCCTGATACGGATGACGGATCCGTATCGACGGCAATTGAATCCAAGCCGCCTGCCAAGCGTGGCATGGACGATGCTTTGCGTCGCAGCATCTTTGGTTCATCTGATGAGTCAGATGAACCATCGCCGAAACGAAGGCGCTCGAGGTCGCGAGACTCGGGCGCTAATAGTGGTGTCGTTTCTCCAATGGACACCACTTCACAGCGAGGTGCCAGTACTTCTGTCGGCACGTCGCAGGAAGAGCGGGACCGCAATGTGTTGCGTCTCGCTCCAGAAAAAGAAGGCATGGATGCCTCCTAAATCTGTCATGGATCACTTGTCGGCGACGACGAGTGATCGTTATCGAACACGATTGTTCGATTCGTCGAGGATTCATCACCTTGACCCCAGCGCGAAAGACTATCGCGCTGAACATGAGTTCTTCATCGATGCTTTCTTCAGACATCGATGGTACAGTGGGAATCACAAACGTGATGGTCCCTCACTACTTCAGGCGTGGAACGCCTACATCCATAATCTCGAGGATGTAGGTCGTGACGCTTGGAACGACAAACTTATCAAAGCTCGTGATAAGTTTGAAAAGCGAACCCCGACAGGTGCACGCTATAAGCTGCATCGTCTGTCAAGGGAGAAAGGATTACCCTGCCTCTCTTGGGGAGACTCGTGCCCATGTTGTGTGAACAACTCTGCACGAGCACCTAAGGAGGCTTACCTCCTTACCAGCCCGTGGTGGCGCGTACGTGTCTCTACTGAGATGTACGAAGGGATTGACAACCTGAAATCCCTTTACGACCGTGCCGGGAAGACTTTCTCCGGCGGTCCTTCTGCGGCACAGGATGTGTCGCGTCGTACTGCTCGACCAGACCCAGTACGTCAACCATCAATTGGGAGCGGGGCTCCCAAGAATCCCAGGACGGGGGATAGCCGCGCCACCGGACGAGGTAACTCGTCCGACGTCCGTTCACGTCGCGGTGGTTCAACAGCTGCTCAACTAGATAGCGCTGGCCACCGCGAGAGTCCTCTAATGGAGGTGGAGGAGGAGGAAAGACGCTCTCCACACGATCATGTGGATCGGTGTGTTCCCGAGAGCTTCTTTGATCGCGTAACGCAAGGGTTACGCGACGATCTCGAGCATGAGCGGAATAGGCGTCTCCAGATGGTGGACACTGCCTCGAAGCATCGAGCTGAGTTTGCCTTTGCTCAGCTTGAGAACGAGAGATCTCTGACATCTCTTCGTGACGAGCTAAGGGTAGCTCGTGGGATTGTTGATCGGTCTCGGGCTGAGATAACTGCTCTTCAGACCCTTGTTGATGCCCACCATCGGGAGCACAAGGCTCTCTGCGAGATGCTTGAGCGCAAGGGCGTTCTTCATCGGAAGAAGCAGCGTACTGATGGTACGGCTTAAGCCGACCAACGTAAAACGTGGGATGCGTTCGCATCTTACGTGGTAACTCGATCGTGTATGCATTGCCTAGGCGGTGCAATACACGAAATGGGCCAATGTACTTGGGTAGTAGTTTACTGCTACCCAAGTTAGTCACTACATGTTTTGGTAGATTAACCGTAGACAGTAGGACTAAGTCACCTTTATTAAATAAAAGAGTGTTTGCCCTTCCATTCTTGTCAGCGTTTTGCTTTTGCTTATCCACCGCTTCGGCGATGGAGTCTTGCACAAAACGGACTACCGTTTCACGAGCCAGTATGAACTCATCTGATGACTCGTTAGCTTCAGTGTGCTGTGAGCGCACTGCAGCGACAACAACCTTTTCTTCAGTGAGGGCTTCCGCACTCTCACTGGGATCATTGTCTTCAGTGAGGGCTTCCGCACTCTCACTGGCATCATCTTCTTCGATATTGATGTTATCGATATCGGCATCAAACGCAATGACTTCTTCGTCAGAGCGTGATGAGCGTGAACCAAATCGGTTTTTGCTCGCGCGAGTCCCTCCCCCTTAAACCAGAGTTACACTCTAGTAAGGTGGGTACACGCGGATGGCGCAAGCCATTCACGTAAAACGGTGTATGTGTCGTGGACGCATGCACCGAGTTGTTGATGGCAAACTCTACCATCGGCAAAAACTCACTCCAACTCTTAAAGGAGTGTACGTATCCTCGAAGTATCTCTTCAAGGACACGATTGGCACGTTCCGTCTGACCATCTGACTCTGGATGATCAGATGTTGACATCTTCAAGCGCGTTCCGAGTGATTTGAACACGGAACGCCAGAAATCAGCAGTGAATCGTGGATCTCTGTCTGATACGAGTTCACGGGGCAACCCATGAAGTCGGAAGATGGTGTCAATAAAGACACAAGCACAGCCACTTGCCGTGATTGTCTCTGGTACAGCCACAAGGTGTACCATTTTGCTGAATCTGTCAACAAATACGAGAATACCCGTATTCCCGCGTGCGTCTTTGGGTAACCCGAAGACGAAATCCATTGAGATGGATTCCCAGCACTCAGCCGGAACCGGTAGAGGCTGTAAAGGTGCACGCAGTGAAGGACTTGACTTCACTCGTTGGCAGACTTCGCATGCGCGAACATACTTTCGCACAAACTGATACTGGCGGGGCCAGTAAAAGTCTCGACTTACCGTGAGATATGTTTTCTCTCGGCCACGATGTCCTCCTATAGGAGCATCGTGATACTCGAACATGATCCGCAAACGCAGATCAATATCATCTGGAATGACAACACGTGGTGTGTCACCAGAAACGGCTGTATAGTACAGTAAACCGTTACGAGTAGTGTATCGATCTGATGCAGATCGATACGCAGACGACAATCGTTTCAACGATTCTCGAGATGGTTGGGAGAGATGTGACAACAACTTCACTATCTCACCATCTTGGGCGTATGCCCGCCTCACATCATCATACAACGTTGTAGATGGAACTGAGGACGTCATAACCGCAACAGTGACTGTCTCACTGTTGGGTTTCGCGACTGTTTCAAAGTCGGGACGACGTGAGAGCGCATCAGCGACGACATTAAGTCGTCCTGGTTTGTACTCGACCGTAAAGTTGTATTCTGCAAAGAATGACAACCACCGCGCCATTCGTTGTGAAAGGTGCGGGCTGTTCACTGCCGTGCGTAAGGACGCATGGTCAGTGTAAACAACGAAGGGTCTATCTCCTAATAGATAGACTCTGAACTTCGCGAGTGCATACTTCATGGCAAGGAGTTCCTTGTCATGCACTGGATAGTTCCGCTCATCTGGTTGCAGCTGACGCGACTGATAGCAGACGACGCGTTCAACGCCTTCAAGGTCGTACTGCATTAATGCACAGCCGATTGCGAAATCGCTGGCATCACAGACCACATGAAATGGCCTGTCCTGATCGGCTATTGCTAGGACTGGGGATTGTATCAAGCTCTGCTTGATACCCTCAAAGGAGCGTTGACATTCAGCGTTCCATAACCACCTCTCGTTCTTTTTCAACAAACGAGAGAGGTGTACAGTCATCTCGGCGTAATTGCGTGAATACTTATGCAAATACGCCGCTAGCTCAAGGAATTTTCGAAGACCTTTGACATCGACCGGCACGGGCCAGTCGGTGATCGCCTTGATCTTTTCGGGATCAGGACGTACACCGTTCTTACCAACGATGCACCCAAGAAGTGGTATTTCGCTTGCTGCAAATATACACTTCTTGAGGTTTGCATACAATTGATGCTTTCGCATGATTGTAAGAACTTGTCGGACGTGGTACCTGTGAACCTCAACGTCCGACTTTCCATCCATAGCTCGACTATGGATGAATACGTCATCGAAATAACTCGGCGCGAATTCTCGTACTGGCCTCAACAGATGTGATACACACCTGTTGAACGTGGCAGGGGCATTACTGAGCCCTTGTGGCATTACTAGCCATTCCCAGAGCATGCCGCTAGGCGTGCTAACTGCGGTATAGGGTATATCCCGTTCCCGCATTAGGATTTGATAGAAGCCATCCATCAAATCCATGGACGAAAAGATGGTACTCTTTGACATACCATCAATGATTACGTCCTTCCTCGGTATCGGCGTCTGAGCCGGTACCGTTGCAGCGTTCAATTTGTTAAACGCGTGCACTATCCGCCACCCTCCTGTTGCTTTTCGCACACAGAAGGTCGGAGAGCTATGTGGGGAAGTTGATTCCCTCACATGGCCCGCTGCTAAACGATCGGCAAAGAACTTGTCGATCGCAAGTACTTGTTCACGAGGCAGTGGCCACTGCTTCATGACACAGTACTTCGAGCCTGGTTTAAGCTCGACCTCGTGTCGAATACCTTTATCCTTCGGTAATTCGCACGGAACAGTTTCAGGGAATACATCCTTGAATTCAACCAAATCTTCATAGAGAGGATTTGTCTTGAGCGATTCCCACGATTGGGAGTCATATCGCTCAATTCGTGTCTTTTCATCTAGGACACTCTCGTCCATAGATGAACTACTGAGAACTCTCTCGTTATCAGTAAACACTGTTGCTGACCTTATGTCGGCCACACACTCGTCGTCAGCGACGAGTACGCAGATCTGCTTGACTTTTCCACTACGCAGATCACGTAAGAACCTTTTATGTTCGAGCGTTGGCAACTGAGTGATCTCCGAAGTCAACTTCGGAGGCGCAATCAGATCAAGTGTATAAGCGCCTACACTTGATCCGTTATTGACTATGACATTCAATGTCTCTGTCATTTCCTGGGGACTTATTCCCACAGGCTTCGAAGGATTTATTCCTTCGGCTTCCCGGGGACTTATTCCCTCGGGTTTCGGGGAACTTATTTACGCCGTATTTGTATTATCGGGACTTATTCCCTTTACTTCCTCTAGCTGTGGTTGCGCAACCACAGCGAGATCCTCTACGAAAGACTCTCCAGTCGATCTAGGATTATCGTTTCGATTAACCTGAGCGATCGATTGTTTCTCTTCTAGATGTTCCCCTCTAGGGATACATCTTTGTCCCAGTCCACCCGACTTATTCGAGTGGTGGACCTTCGGCGCAGCCTGTGTTTCCTCACAGCCGCCGGAACTTTGCTCCGAAGTGTAACCGTTTGGTACACTAAGGTTTTGTGCAGTCGTACTAACGACCGTACCACAAGTGAGGCCATCGCACTCACTCGTAGTACATCCACACGCTTGTGGACGCTCCAAAACGTTCATCAGATGGCCATCTGATGAACAAGCGGCAGGCATCGTTACTGTCCGATGTTGCCAGTTTACCCGTGGTTCGTACCTTCTGAGCCACGGTATTCCAAGGATGACATCAAATTTGTCATCCAAATCCAATACGATAAAGTCATCGTCGTATTGGGTATCTTCTAGCGTATAGTGAATCTTCACTATACGCTTCATGACGGTTACGGATGCGCCTGTCGCAAGACGTACCGTCATCCTCGTAGGAGGTGTGTCACATTCACTGAATTTAAAGTGACCATCTTCTAGCGATTGGCGTCGCACAAAATTGTTGGACGCCCCACAATCGACTAGAGCTCGAAGGGACAACTTATTCGTCACTTCGAGTTTCAAGGTAATGAGTGAGATCTCATTACCTAGAGCAGCAACGCACAATGTCTGTGTGTTGGGAGCAACCTTCATCAAGAGGCCTACAAATTCTCTTGACGTTGCTGGATCAGTAGGGTGCTCCGCACCTACTGATCCTGTCCGTTTTTTGACGGTCCATCCCGTTGTTGCGTCTTTGCACCAACTGCGGACCCTCGTCCCTGCCCCTTTCTCATGGGTGGACGGTCACTACGCCCAGTGTCGCGAGACACTGGACGAGGGGCACTACACTCGTAAGCGTAGTGTCCTGTCTTTTGACATCTGTTGCATCTCTGCAACTTCTTGTAGCCTGTAGAGCGAGCCTTCTCGCTCTCTACATAACAGAGTTCCATCGGCTCTGGACCTCCGTTGTCATATCGTCTCGGTTGACGATATGATGTCGAGCTGGCGCGAGCCTGTCTCAGACTGAAGTCTTCCTGCTCCGCAATTGAAATGGCTTGTTCTAGTGAATCTAGTTCAAGCCGGAACAGGTGAGTCTTGACGGGACCATCCGCAAGACCCTGCATGAACACCGAAACCAACGTGTGTTCATCCACCGGATTGGAACTTATACAACTCGTGAGATGTCGTATATGTTGAGCGTAAGCGTGCACATCACGCTTACCCTGCTTGAGCTTCAAGAGTTCGGTTCGAGCTCTGAACTCAGCTCTAGGCGGTTCAAACGTTTGTCTGAGCCGCGACTTGAAGACTTCCAACGACCCAAACGCATATGGGTCGTGCAGCTTGAGCCCCAGTGCCCAAGTCTTGGCACGTCCTGCCAGATTTGACTGGGCAAATGCAACTTGCATATCCCCGTCGTCGATGCGACGCGCCCTTATGGCGTCATCCAATTCGACGAACCATCTCAAGAGGGAGTCTTCTTCGACCCCCTATACTTTGAGATGTCAATCTTCAAAGTCTCGGGCCGACGCGAGTGCATCGACCCGCCAGCAGCAGCCTGCTGCTGTCTCAACAGTTCAAACTGTTGAGCACCTTGTTCTCTCAACAACTCTGCTTGTTGAGAACCTTGTTGGTGAAGCAAGGCTACTTTCTCGCGTTCTGCGTCAAGTTCATTTTGAATGAACTTGGCGATAGTAGCATGTTGGGCATCTCTATCGAGAGCCTCTAGCATGACGCTAACAGCATGGATGCCCATGGTTGAACCCATCCGTTCAGCCGCATCCCATTCGACATCGCTCAAATGGGAGTAGCCGTCACGCGTAGCGTGAAAGCTTTGGTCATCTTCATCATCCAACATATTCATGTTGGATGTGAACGTGGTCCTTGGACGGACTACGAAGTGCTACCAGGTGTAACGGGGCACCCTGAAGCTTGTACTGATGACAGTACAAGCTACTTATTCTGATAACAGAATAAGGCGGTGCCTCGTAACTTCACGTACACTCGTACGTGCAGAGGAAGACGGTAAGAAGAAGCGAGTACTTGGTTAGAGTAAAAAGTAGAACTGTATTTATAATAGTTAATGTCTGCAATAAATCACTATTTATCTTCATCTAACTATGTCTAAATACAAATGTGTAAATCAGTTATCTGCTCACCACTCATTGCGTGCGTCTGTCGTGGCGCGTCTTCGTTGGTTGATATAATGGCCTATATCAACCAATTAGGAACTACTTGGAAGTGCTACAGAATATTGTCCTTATGACAATATTCTGAGAATATAACTCTTATAGTTATATTCTATTAACAATTTCTTATAAATTGTTATGTAACGATTCACCCCGTTACACTATCAACATCTACGGTGAAGGCGGATCGGTGGATGTGGGGGCTATAGATAAAGCTTTGCTGATGTAAAGAAGTTCATCGCAGAGTACGCGCTGTGAGGTGTTTACAACATGGATGAAAACGGTAAATTCTGTTTGCTCTATTTCTGACTGAAACCGAATCTGACAAAATTTATTTGCAAGACTATCTCACAGCGTGACACCTGACAGGACTATTGCACAGCAAGAAATTAAAGGACACAAACAAGCAAGGTGAGTATATTGCAGAATGCTTGTTACCATATGCTAACACAGGGGTACGCACTGATATCCCAAGCAGTCGCGGATTACAATTGCGTTCACTGCAAATGCTGATGGCTCTGACAAGCTGCAGCCTTTCTTAATCGGGAAGCCAGAAAGCCCCGCTGCTTTGACAAGAAATCAGGACACGCACATGATCCTTTCTATCGCAACACCACAAAGGCCTGGATGACGGGTATGTTCTTCCGGAAATGGCTTGCAAATGTAGACAAAACAATGCAGGTGCGTAGCCATTTGAAATTGGCAACTTAATATTGCTACATTATGTTTTTTCAGATCAAAAGTAGAAATATCTTCTATTGGTTGACAATGCTCCATCGCATATGACGAATGACCATGCGTTAACTGATGTCAAGCTCCAGCTGCTTCCACCCCCTACGACCTCCATATTTCAGCCGATGGATGCTGGTGTCATCGCAGCGTTCAAGTGGCGGCATCACCGTTACCATCTGCAGAATGCGATCGACTATGAAGAGCGTAGGGAGGGTTTGAACATCTACAAAGTCGAACAACTTACTGCCATGCACCGGTCGGTGGCTGCCTGAAACGAGATTTCAAGCACTACCATTGACAACTTCTGCGTCCACACGGGGCACTTTCTACTAAATCAGTCGTTTCAAGTCCAGTGGAAGTGGAAATGAGTAATGATGGCGCAATGAAGGTCGAGGACGAAAAGAATTGAGCTGGAGCAAGAGAGGATAGCACACCTCAAGAAGCTGCGTGTCCGTGAACCCATTAAGAATCAAAACTGTTCAATCCCATCGAAGAGGATGAGACTGCTCAGCCTGAGCAAATCGACTGAAAATTTTTAAATGAGGTTTAGAGTCAGACGATGAGGAGGGAGGTAAACAGTGAAAATGCGGCACTTGTTGCAAAAATTTACCGGAACCAAGAAGATTAACCTCCTTTGTGATGCCTGTAATGGGGCACCCTGAAGCTTGTACTGATGACAGTACAAGCTAGGTATACTGATGACAGAATAAGGCGGTGCCTCGTGACTTCACGTACACTCGTACGTGCAGAGGAAGACGGTAAGAAGAAGCGAGTACTTGGTTAAAGTAAAAAGTAGAACTGTATTTATAATAGTTAATGTCTGCAATAAATCACTATTTATCTTCATCTAACTATGTCTAAATACAAATGTGTAAATCAGTTATCTGCTCACCACCCATTGCGTGCGTCTGTCGTGGCGCGTCTTCGTTGGTTGATATAATGGCCTATATCAACCAATTAGGAACTACTCGTAAGTGCTACAGAATATTTGTCCTTATGATAATATTCTGAGAATATAACTCTTATAGTTATATTCTATTAACAATTTCTTATAAATTGTAATGTAACGGTTCACCCCGTTACATCACCCCCCCTTAACCATCAGTCACTTTAGTGACTGATTGACTAAATGGATACTCGTCCCAATTCATTTGGGACAGGGTTTGCACTTGTTGGTCCGAGTCCACTTTCCAACAATTCATCGCATGGTTAACAAGCCCATGCGATGCGCGAGCAAGGCCGCCGAGAGCGCGTCCGCACGTCTCTGTGCGGACGCCGAAGCAGAAACCACAGCAACTGATGTCTCATCGGTTGCTGAAGCGACTCAGCCTGTGTCACTTGGTGATGCAGGCGCTAGTCATGAAGACACTCATGTCTTCACAGAGTATGAGCTCGGTGTCTCATACTCTCCTAATGCGGAAGACGGATCCGTATCGACGGCAATTGAATCCAAGCCGCCTGCCAAGCGTGGCATGGATGATGCTATGCGTCGTAGCATCTTTGGTTCATCCGACAAATCAGATGAACCATCGCCGAAGCGAAGGCGCTCGAAGTCGCAATACTCGGGCGCTCACAGTGGTGTCGGTTCTCCTATGGACACCACTTCGCAACGAGGTGCCAGTACTTCTGTTGGCACGTCGCAAGAAGAGCGGGACCGCAGTGTGTTGCGTCTCGCTCCCAAGAAGAAGGCATGGATGCCTCCAAAATCCGTCATGGATCACTTGTCGGCGACGACGAGTGATCGTTATCGAACACGATTGTTCGATTCGTCAAGGATTTATCACCTTGACCCCAGTGCGAAAAACTGTCGCGCTGAGAATGATTTCTTCATCGATGCTTTCTTCAAACATCGATGGTACAGTGGGAATCACAAACGTGATGGTCCCTCACTGCTTCAAGCGTGGAACGCCTACATCCATAACCTCGAGGATGTAGGTCGTGACGCTTGGAACGACAAACTTATCAAAGCTCGTGATAAGTTTGAAAGAACCCCAACAGGTGCACGCTATAAGATGCATCGTCTATCAAGGGAGAAAGGATTACCCTGCCTCTCTTGGGGAGACTCGTGCCCATGTTGTGTGAACAACTCTGCACTAGCACCTAAGGAGGCTTACCTCCTTACTAGCCCGTGGTGGCGCGTACGTATCTCTACTGAGATGTACGAAGGGATTGACAACCTGAAATCCCTTTACGACCGTGCCGGGAAGACTTTCTCCGGTGGTCCTTCTGCGGCACAGGATGTGCCGCGTCGTACTGCTCAACCAGACCCAGTACGTCGACCATCAGTTGGGAGCGGGGCTCCCAAGTATCCCAGGACGGGGGATAGCCGCGCCACCGGACGAGATAACTCGTCCGACGTCCGTTCACGTCGCGGTGGTTCAATATCTGCTCAACTAGATAGCGCTGGCCACCGCGAGAGTCCTCTAATGGAGGTGGAGGAGGAGGAAAGACGCTCTCCACACGATCATGTGGATCGGTGTGTTCCCGAGAGCTTCTTTGATCGCGTAACGCAAGGGTTACGCGACGATCTCGAACATGAGCGGAATAGGCGTCTCCAAATGGCGGACACTGCCTTGAAGCATCGAGCTGAGTTTGCCTTTGCTCTGATTGAGAACGAGAGAGCTCTGACATCTCTTCGTGATGAGCTAAGAGTAGCTCGTGGGATTGTTGATCGGTCTCGGGATGAGATAGCTGCTCTTCAGACCCTTGTTGATGCCCACCATCGGGAGCACAAGGCTCTCTGCGAGATGCTTGAGCGCAAGGGCGTTCTTCATCGGAAGAAGCAGCGTACTGATGGTACGGCTTAAGCCGACCAACGTAAAACGTGGGATGCGTTCGCATCTTACGTGGTAACTCGATCGTGTATGCATTGCCTAGGCGGTGCAATACACGAAATGGGCCGATGTACTTGGGTAGTAGTTTACTGCTACCCAAGTTAGTCACTACGTGCTTTGGTAGATTAACCGTAGACAGTAGGACTAAGTCACCTTCACTAAATAAAAGAGTGTTTGCCCTTCCATTCTTGTCAGCGTTTTGCTTTTGCTTATCCACCGCTTCGGCGATGGAGTCTTGCACAAAACGGGCTACCGTTTCACGAGCCAGTATGAACTCATCTGATGACTCGTTAGCTTCAGTGTGCTGTGAGCGCACTGCAGCAACATCAACCTTTTCTTCAGTGAGGGCTTCCGCACTCTCACTGGGATCATCTTCTTCAGTGAGGGCTTCCGCACTCTCACTGGCATCATCTTCTTCGATATCGATGTTGTCGATATCGGCATCAAACGCATTGACTTCTTCGTCAGAGCGTGATGAGCGTGAACCAAATCGGTTTTTGCTCGCGCGAGTCCCTCCCCCCCTTAAACCAGAGTTACACTCTAGTAAGGTGGGTACACGCGGATGGCGCAAGCCATTCACGTAAAACGGTGTATGTGTCGTGGACGCATGCACCGAGTTGTTGATGGCAAACTCTACCATTGGCAAAAACTCACTCCAACTCTTAAAGGAGTGTACGTATCCTCGAAGTATCTCTTCAAGGACACGATTGGCACGTTCTGTCTGACCATCTGACTCTGGATGATCAGATGTTGACATCTTCAAGCGCGTTCCGAGTGATTTGAACACGGAACGCCAGAATCAGCAGTGAATCGTGGATCTCTGTCTGATACGAGTTCACGGGGCAACCCATGAAGTCGGAAGATGGTGTCAATAAAGACACAAGCACAGCCACTTGCCGTGATTGTCTCTGGTACAGCCACAAGGTGTACCATTTTGCTGAATCTGTCAACAAATACGAGAATACCCGCATTCCCGCGTGCGTCTTTGGGTAACCCGAAGACGAAATCCATTGAGATGGATTCCCAGCACTCAGCCGGAACCGGTAGAGGCTGTAAAGGTGCACGCAGTGAAGGACTTGACTTCACTCGTTGACAGACTTCGCATGCGCGAATGTACTTGCGCACAAACTGATACTGGCGGGGCCAGTAGAAGTCTCGACTCACCGTGAGACATGTTTTCTCCCGGCCACGATGTCCTCCTATAGGAGCATCGTGATACTTGAACATGATCCACAAACGCAGATCAGTATCATCTGGAATGACAACACGTGTTGTGTCACCAGAAACGGCTGTATAATACAGTAACCCGTTGCGAGTAGTGTATCGATCTGATGCAGATCGATACGCAGACGACAATCGTTTCAACGATTCTCGAGATGGCTGTGAGAGATGTGTCAACAACTTCACAATCTCACCATCTTGGGCATATGCCCGCCTCACATCATCATACAACGTTGTAGATGGGACTGAGGACGTCATTACCGCAACAGTGACTGCCTCACTGTTGGGTTTCACGACTGTTTCAAAGTCGGGACAACGTGAGAGTGCATCAGCGACGACATTAAGTCGTCCTGGTTTGTACTCAACCGTAAAGTTGTATTCTGCAAAGAATGACAACCACCGCGCCATTCGTTGTGAAAGGTGCGGGCTGTTCACTGCCGTGCGTAATGACGCATGGTCGGTGTAAACAATGAAGGGTCTATCTCCTAATAGATAGACTCTGAACTCCGCGAGTGCATACTTCATGGTAAGGAGTTCCTTGTCATGCACTGGGTAGTTCCGCTCAGCTGGTTGCAGCTGACGCGACTGATAGCAGACGACGCGTTCAACGCCTTCAAGGTCGTACTGCATTAATGCACAGCCGATTGCGAAATCGCTGGCATCACAGACCACATGAAATGGCCTGTCCTGATCGGCAATCGCTAGGACTGGGGATTGTATCAAGCTCTGTTTGATACCATCAAAGGAGCGCTGACATTCAGCGTTCCATAACCACCTCTCGTTCTTTTTCAACAAACGAGAGAGGTGCACAGTCATCTCGGCGTAATTGCGTGAATACTTATGCAAATACGCCGCTAGCCCAAGGAATTTTCGAAGACCTTTGACATCGACCGGCACAGGCCAGTCGGTGATCGCCTTGATCTTTTCGGGATCAGGAAGTACACCGTTCTTACCAACGATGCACCCAAGAAGTGGTATTTCGCTTGCTGCAAATATACACTTCTTGAGGTTTGCATACAATTGATGCTTTCGCATGATTGTAAGAACCTGTCGGACGTGGTACCTGTGAACCTCTACGTCCGACTTTCCATCCATAGCTCGACTATGGATGAATACGTCATCGAAATAACTCGGCGCGAATTCTCGTACTGGTCTCAACGGATGTGATACACATCTGTTGAACGTGGCAGGGGCATTACTGAGCCCTTGTGGCATTACTAGCCATTCCCAGAGCATGCCGCTAGGCGTGCTAACTGCGGTATAGGGTATATCCCGTTCCCGCATAAGGATTTGATAGAAGCCATCCATCAAATCCATGGACGAAAAGATGGTACTCTTTGACATACCATCAATGATTACGTCCTTCCTCGGTATCGGCGTCTGAGCCGGTACCGTTGCAGCGTTCAATTTGTTGAACGCGTGCACTATCCGCCACCCTCCTGTTGCTTTTCGCACACAGAAGGTCGGAGAGCTATGTGGGGAAGTTGATTCCCTCACATGCTCCCAAGGCGCTGCAAAAGCGACCCATCATCCGACGACGGATAAGTGCGGGTAGCAGCGACCCGTAGCGCCGCAGCTAAACGATCGGCAAAGAATTTGTCAATCGCAAGTACTTGTTCACGAGGCAGTGGCCACTGCTTCATGACACAGTACTTCGAGCCTGGTTTAAGCTCGACCTCGTGTCGAATACCTTTATCCTTCGGTAATTCGCACGGAACAGTTTCAGGGAATACATCCTTGAATTCAACCAAATCTTCATAGAGAGGATTTGTCTTGAGCGATTCCCACGATTGGGAGTCATATCGCTCAATTCGTGTCTTTTCATCTAGGACACTCTCGTCCATAGATGAACTACTGAGAACTCTCTCGTTATCAGTAAACACTGTTGCTGACCTTATGTCGGCCACACACTCGTCGTCAGCGACGAGTACGCAGATCTGCTTGACTTTTCCACTACGCAGATCACGTAAGAACCTTTTATGTTCGAGCGTTGGCAACTGAGTGATCTCCGAAGTCAACTTCGGAGGCGCAATCAGATCAAGTGTATAAGCGCCTACACTTGATCCGTTATTGACTATGACATTCAATGTCTCTGTCATTTCCTGGGGACTTATTCCCACAGGCTTCGAAGGATTTATTCCTTCGGCTTCCCGGGGACTTATTCCCTCGGGTTTCGGGGAACTTATTTACGCCGTATTTGTATTATCGGGACTTATTCCCTTTACTTCCTCTAGCTGTGGTTGCGCAACCACAGCGAGATCCTCTACGAAAGACTCTCCAGTCGATCTAGGATTATCGTTTCGATTAACCTGAGCGATCGATTGTTTCTCTTCTAGATGTTCCCCACTAGGGATACATCTTTGTCCCGGTCCACTCGACTTATTCGAGTGGTGGACCTTCGGCGCAGCCTGTGTTTCCTCACAGCCGCCGGAACTTTGCTACGAAGTGTAACCGTTTGGTACACTAAGGTTTTGTGCAGTCGTACTAACGACCGTACCACAAGTGAGGCCATCGCACTCACTCGTAGTACATCCACACGCTTGTGAACGCTCCAAAACGTTCATCAGATGGCCATATGATGAACAAGCGGCAGGCATCGTTACTGTTCGATGTTGCCAGTTTACCCGTGGTTCGTACCTTCTGAGCCACGGTATTCCAAGGATGACATCAAATTTGTCATCCAAATCCAATACGATAAAGTCATCGTCATATTGGGTATCTTCTAGCGTATAGTGAATCTTCACTATACGCTTCATGACGGTTACGGATGCGCCTGTCGAAAGACGTACCGTCATCCTCGTAGGAGGTGTGTCGCACTCAACAAACTTGAAGTGACCATCTTCTAGCGATTGGCGTCGCACAAAGTTGTTGGACGCCCCACAATCGACTAGAGCTCGAAGGGACAACTTATTTGTCACTTCGAGTTTCAAGGTAATGAGTGAGTCCTCATTACCTAAAGCAGCAACGCACGACGTTTTTGCGTTGGGAGCAATCTTCATCAAGAGGCCTGCAAATTCTCTTGACGTTGCTGGACCAGTAGGGTGCCCCGCACCTACTGATCCTGACCGTTTTTTGACGGTCCATCCCGTTGTTGCGTCTTTGCATCAACAGCGGACCCGCGTCCCTGCCCCTTTCTCATAGGTGGACGGTCACTACGCCCAGTGTCGCGAGACACTGGACGAGGGGCACTACACTGGTAAGCGTAGTGTCCTGTCTTTTGACATCTGTTGCATTTCTGCAACTTCTTGTAGTCTGTAGAGCGAGCCTTCTCGCTCTCTACATAACAGAATTCCATCGGCTCTGGACCTCCGTTGTCATATCGTCTCGGTTGACGATATGATGTCGAGCTGGCGCGAGCCTGTCTCAGACTGAAGTCTTCCTGTTCCGCAATGGAAATGACTTGTTCTAGTGAATCTAGTTCAAGTCGGAACAGGTGAGTCTTGACGGGACCATCCGCAAGACCCTGCATGAACACCGAAACCAACGTGTGTTCATCCACCGGATTGGAACTTATACAACTCGTGAGATGTCGTATATGTTGAGCGTAAGCGTGCACATCACGCTTACCTTGTTTGAGCTTCAAGAGTTCGGTTCGAGCTCTGAACTCAGCTCTAGGCGGTTCAAACGTTTGTCTGAGCCGCGACTTGAAGACTTCCAACGACCCAAACGCATATGGGTCGTGCAACTTTATCCCCAGTGCCCAAGTCTTGGCACGTCCTGCCAGATTTGACTGGGCAAATGCAACTTGCATTTCCCCATCGTCGATGCGACGCGCCCTTATGGCGTCATCCAATTCGACGAACCATCTCAAGAGGGAGTCCTCTTCGACTCCCCTATACTTGGAGATGTCAATCTTCAAGGTCTCGGGTCGACGCGAGTGCATCGACCCACCAGCAGCAGCCTGCTGCTGTCTCAACAGTTCAAACTGTTGAGCACCCTGTTCTCTCAACAACTCTGCTTGTTGAGAACCTTGTTGGTGAAGCAAGGATACTTTCTCGCGTTCAGCGTCAAGTTCATTTTGAATGAACTTGGCGATAGTAGCATGTTGGGCATCTCTATCGAGAGCCTCTAGCATGACGCTAACAGCATGGATGCCCATGGTTGAACCCATCCGTTCAGCCGCATCCCATTCGACATCGCTCAAATGGGAGTAGCCGTCACGCGTAGCGTGAAAGCTTTGGTCATCTTCATCATCCAACATATTCATGTTGGATGTGAACGTGGTCCTTGGACGGACTACGAAGTGCTACCAGGTGTAACGGGGCACCCTGAAGCTTGTACTGATGACAGTACAAGCTACTTATTCTGATGACAGAATAAGGCGGTGCCTCGTGACTTCACGTACACTCGTACGTGCAGAGGAAGACGGTAAGAAGAAGCGAGTACTTGGTTAAAGTAAAAAGTAGAACTGTATTTATAATAGTTAATGTCTGCAATAAATCACTATTTATCTTCATCTAACTATGTCTAAATACAAATGTGTAAATCAGTTATCTGCTCACCACTCATTGCGTGCGTCTGTCGTGGCGCGTCTTCGTTGGTTGATATAATGGCCTATATCAACCAATTAGGAACTACTCGTAAGTGCTGCAGAATATTTGTCCTTATGATAATATTCTGAGAATATAACTCTTATAGTTATATTCTATTAACAATTTCTTATAAATTGTTATGTAACGATTCACCCCGTTACAATGCCTGCTCCCTGCTCGACATATCACAGGGACGTTACCAAGCTGCTTATAATGTCCTTCGCAACCTTCAGATTGATCTTCGCAACACTCACACCACCTATACCACCCTCGACATGTGGTTCAAGTAGTTTGTCTTTTATATGATACAAAACAAATGCTAATTTTTCAAGTTACGTTGCACTGTTCGATCATAACTTAAACCAAACTTCGCGGCCACAGAACGAGATCTGTGGACCCGGAAATCGATAAAGTACTAGAGGTTATATATTATTGAAGGGAAACTTATCGGAGGAAAGAGTTTATACCCTGGATCTCGATAAAAGTTGTAGACCACATCTGAAAGATGAAGCATCATTTTAACCTTTAGAAACCGGGAATAGCATATCGTCCAAAGAAGAGACTGTTTGCTATCTGGCAACGATAATAATGGAGGCCCTCATTCTTTACTTAGCTAGGAAGGTCAAGCAAGATGAAGCAGTCGGAATGTTTTTCAGCGAGCATCATCATCGCAGCAAGCCGACAGCTGCTAAATCACCATGTTCGCACGACGGTCAAACATACGTCCTCTGAGTTCACATCATTATTTAACTCGGCCATATCTGCCTACCTACCCTTGCTCTCTTCCTAATGCTGCCGTGTTTGAACCCGGTAGATGAGTGGACGGCGTCAAACGTAACGATATGCGGGTCGGCCATTGTTGTTGTTTAGACAACAGTAAGAGCATTTATCTGGCATCTTATAGCATTGCAGCTCTTGAATATTTTACGTTTTCTGGAGTTGCTAAACAAGTTGACGGCTGAAAGCAGGTTTACTACTTACGGTGATCAATTGCTCGCATTCAGCTACCACCATATCAGTCTTCACAGCAATACTTACTTCAGCCCTTGAGGTCAAAATGTTATTTTTCCGTTTTTTAAAGAAGTTCATCGTAGTTTACATACTCAGCGCGCTACCCTGCTACCTCTACGTACATTGGTTTTCCCCACAAGTCAACATATCGAGCCGTTACTAACTTAAGCACAATGGTTACTAACGCATATATCACCATGTTGAAGTTGCCGTTGTTGCATACGACGTCCACACGATACAATCACCAATACAAAGTTATACAGAAATTGAACTGGTTGTACCTCAATCTTACCACACTTATCAACCTAGCGGTTGCCCCTATCTCGACACTTATATGTCAGCTCTTTATGTCAGCGTCAAGCTTGGCACCTATCAGCTTTAAACGGAGGTCAATCGGACTAAAACTCCATATAAAAGACGTGGTAGGTTGACCATCGGCGTGAAGACATTTGCAGAGTCCCAGACCTCACACACTAACTGTTATGAAGCAAAGGACAACTCATCTGAGCATCACAAACATTGGTGATCCACGAGGATCTTCCGGCAGCTCACTCATTCATTTTTCCTCTCTCCTCCTTTCTGATAAAGATGAAGTACACCATGAGCTAGGCGTAGTTCTCTGACTGTGCAAGAGCTAAGAGTGGAGCTGGTACGGGGTTGAGTCCTTCTTTTTGTGGTGTTTGCAGTCCCGCGCAGCACCACGAGGTATATTAAAAAGAGTTGCAATCGTAAACAGGAAACAGTTATGTGATGATCCATACAGAGCACAATCGGACGGTGGATGTTACTTATAGCCACTAGACGATCATACGAATGATTTTTATTCATAGATTCAATCGTGATGTTGTCACGAAGTGTGTCGCACCAATGGTATATGCTACGAGATCGATTTGTGTGAACGTACGATGTAAGGACCGCGGTGTTCAGTTTAGGACAAGAGGTTCTGTTAGGACAACAGCTAGGAAGCATTTGAAAAAGACATTGTGATGATAAGTAGGACATGCGAATCAAGTATTCATTTCGAAGTAAAATACACAAACTTGGTAATAAAACTTGAACGGACGAATACCGGTGTCAATCAACTGAACCAACATCAATATTATATGGACAGTTTACACATATATTTACTAACATGCGTGGAGATAGAGCTGCCCTCGATGTCGCAGAAATTACTACCAATACGTCAAACTCGTTCAGGTTACAACCAGTCGGATCTATCTGTTGTTGCAACGAATGTTGCCAGTGCGTGGTACTCTCCCCAAAAAATTGACTCGACAGTTAAGGATAGAGCCACTGGATAGATCGACAGTTGATGCGAGGATTTACAGAGTTAATAATCAGCGCATGAAGATTAATTACTTAATCCAGGATGAAACAGTTTTCTTCTGCTGGGACTATCATTTATCGATTTACTCAGTCGGTGTCAAGTCTTCCCATAAGTGTGAGCCGCTTCCTTCTCTTCACAGAGTATGCTGCCATCTTGGTACATGTCGAGACCTCTTTAGAGATGAGTGAGCCAAAAGAGCAGGGGGTGGTTGAGCGCCCGAATGAGCTCCTTTGCGCCCGGATGAGCTCCTACAGCGACGATGCACAACTCCTTAACTCAGAGGAAGAATTCATGCTCAAAGAGCGATGTCGCTTTAAGAAATTAGACTCTATGAGTCAACCAGCGTAAAGCTTAAGGTCCCTGTTCCAGGGGACCGATCAATTCAGTGAATTTACAGCACTTAGTGCTCAAAAGTACCTACCTCAGGAAGGTGTTGCTAACTCTTAACGATCTACGACCAGAGACCACTGGCAAGGCACGTGTCTCAGACAAGATCAGAGGACAACTAAAATTTATTTAATTTTAACTCTATAGAATGTTTTAATCCGAATATTATCTACTCTAGACACTCATATCCTAAAATAATATCTTCAAGATCTTTCCTATCTTGTGGGTGACATCCGTCAGCCCCTACAAACCGATAAAATATTCTATATCTCTTTCATTGGGATCCCATCCCGTGTGTCTAAGACACAGGATACCGAGTATTCTGCGATGTGTAATCCCTTGACAGCTCCTTTCTTCCGATGCCAACAACGATAGCTGCGTCCTCATTTAGCCGCTTCGTAAAAAAGCCACTGAGACGATAGAAAAAGCGAGAGCATTGTTTCTGCCTTCTTCGTTCGAAGCTAGTATGCGTGGATGCCACATAAAAGTAATGGACCATAACGGTCGGTACAAAAAATACGATCGACTCCATCTTGTCAAAATTGCATCTCCAATTCTTGGCGCTGACGAGTCACACTCCTCTCAAGCTCGTCACTTGCCTGAAGCTTCCTAAAGGCGTAAATCTGTATGGCAGCTAGCAATCGAGGCTGCTGCAAGAATTCATTAAGTTCCTTTCTGAAATGGACAAGACCGTCGCGACGTTGCTGGACACAGTGATCACACACTTTGGCGGCGAGGGCAAGTTTGCACCGTTCTTGCTGAAAGATTGGCCCCGTACATTGCCAGCGTTGCGTTATGGAACGCAACGCTGGCAATGTACGGGGCCAATCTTTCGTTATAGAGTTGTTTGCCTTGAGGCGGATGGCTTGGAAAGCTGCACTCTACCTTCCAAGGGATGGCACTCGTGTAACAAGTGGGAAACTCAAGCTGGTGCAACATTTCATCGGTTTTCGTCCCGGAACACGCTTAAACAAAGTGCAGGTCATGGACACGGTGGAGAAAGACTTTGGTAGCAAGACTGAGCTTGCACGGGATTCGTTCAAGTTCGCAGTCGACAATACTGGCGTCAAACGAGCAGACGACATCTGACTACCAGAAATAATACGCAGCTCGAAGATAGACGAGGTGCCATTTGAAGAAGTGTTCGCAAGCTTCACGTCAAAGAGGCGGGAGTCTAGGCTCTCTTAAAGAAGTCAATGAGTCAATTGAGCAACACCAAATTCAAAGACATCGCAGATGTGTTGCAGAATCTCCTCATAAAAAAGTTTGGGAGTAGTGACGGACGCGTTCTCGCGCTTGTGGACGCAGAGGTGGCCACACACACAGTAGGTGAAACCTCTGGTCCGCTGGCGACGACTGCTTTATGAGTGGCAAACACTGGGATATGACCTAGAAGGTCTACCGAAATCGGTTTCTGCGTCAGAGAACATCGCAGATGATTTGTTTCAGGAGATCAAGACTAGATTCATGTCGGAATCCGATTAGGATCGGTCGCTGAAGTGACGCAAGTGCGAGTCTGACCTCGTCGAGCAGTGCGCTAGCTTGCTGAAGTAAGTAGATGAAAAGTGCTGCACCCGTATGGCGGGAGACTCAACACGATATCGATGGTGACCTGCAGTGTATCCTCGGTAGCAAACCTGCGTTGATGCATAGTTCTTGCTCTTTGATGTGCTGCATCTGCACTGGTTTCGTAGGAATGCAGAGGGTCACGTAGCAATGCAAGTTCTAGCGTGTGTACCTGCTCTTGAGCATGAGGTATACGCTGACGGAGTTGGTAAGCTGCTATTCCTAGTACGGACATGACTGTGTGTAGTGCGTCATCGACTGCGAACTGACTGGGTCCATCCTTTAAACTTTGCAGTTAATTGTGCACGCAAAGTCATTCATGTCTTGTCAATCTTCGATACAGACGCGGTCCTTCAGCAATGCAAAACCCGATGATGCAGTTACTCCATCCTCGAACGGCCATGAGTTCTCGGACTTGCTATTCATTAAATCAACACTCACTCATGGGACATCGGCCATAGCCGATCTCCTTTCTTTGACGTTGTCAGATGCGCTTCAACTGCTTCTACTTCAGCGCTAGCTAACAGACTGACACTCATTTCTACACCGCCGGCGATCACAACATCACTTACAGAAGTTTACTCTGGTCGATCAACAGCTGGAACTCGAGCTGGAGACAGGCTGTTGTTGTTTGCTGAACAAGGACTTCTGAACGCTGACGAGATGACTGGCGGGCACATATATAGCACAAAACACGCAAGGCAGATCAACCAACGAGCTGGATCTCATATTTGATGACACCACAACGTCGTTGAAACTCGCAGTACACATTCATGAAAAGGCGTCAATGACGCTGTTTGTCGTTCTGCTTCGCCTGAACAGCTTCGACTTACTGAGCCTTCTGAGCACGACGGGCGTTCCTGATAACATCCAGCAAGCCACCGACGTTTTTCTTGTACGATTGCAGCTTTTCATGCATCTCATTCCACTGCTCGTCCCCGAAACGACGTTGTAGCGAGTGCGATATCGTCACAGTACGAGCAAGTTGGTCGATCTTCGCACTCACAAGCCCAGCTGTAACGGCACGTACGACCCATTGCTCCACATCTTCATTGTCCACATCCAGAGCCGTTGCCACGTCAGCGTACGAATTCGCCTGGAAACCCGTAGGCAACGTGCACAGCGTGAACAAACGCATAGCAACAGCCACGTTGGCTTCATCCAGTCCGTTGTCCGCAAACACACTCTTCGCACCGTTTCTAAACGCTACAAACTCTTTAATCGTCTTGGTCGACACGATCTCGAGCAGCTCATACACGGGATCCCCGTGTAACGAGGCCTTGACGACTGGCAAAGCAGCCAAGTCCACATGCGCCAAAAAGCTCGCTACCGGGTTCTGCAGCACCATCATACACGCACGCAGTGCCTGCTCCTTGTCGGTCTCTCCCTCATTGTATGTTGCCAAGTACTGTTCCAGTACACTAAGCACCTTTAACTTCTTGTCCGGACTCTGGTCTAGTACATTCGCCACAGCTAGCAGCAAAGCTCGACGGTCAGCCGGACTTTTAATTTCTGAAGTCGCCAGCGTCTCCACTTGAGGTAAGTACGGATCAATGAGGTTCACATTGCCCGAGCTTTGGGCAAGCGATAGAATCTCCAGAAGCGTCTGAAGCTGCACTTTTGGCAGCCGGTTGGCCTTGTTATACAACGCAGCCAGAAGCCGAATACGTAGGACATTACTGGCCTTCTTGTCAGCTTGTAGAGTCTGCAAAATAGTCAGAAACTCGTGCTCGGGCTTGGAAGCGAGTCCTACTAAGTCAAATAGCAGTGAAAATGCCCCTTCAACGTCGTTTTCGGACTCAAGCGCCAGCAGCTGCGGTATCTGAGAGCGCACTGTCAAAAGGACAAGCGACACGTCTTTCTTCTTGATAGGGTCATCTAGCACGTCCGAGAGATTCGCGCTCGGCAACAGCTTGGACACGTACGAGACGAGGTCCGACGCCATGAGGACGAGAATGAGTGGTGCAGGCTCGTTTTTGGGGAGGGAGTAGGGATTGGTCGAAACTCGTCGTGTTGCGAGCATGAATCAATCTAATTATTCACCATGATTGCTTCATATTATTCGTTCGGTATGATTTTGTAATCAGCCAAGATAACTTTAGCTTTTATGCATGCAAAACGATGTCAATGACTTGCATTCTTTTATATTTCGAGCTGGTTTAAAACGTCGTGCTAAGGTGAAATGGTGCATCTCTCTATTTCGTCGCACGCACGACATCACACTGATCACAGCAAATACTCCCACATTACTTATATTTCGTGATTTGTTTTTCGACTTTTTTAGTATATTTGTCACTAATTATGAACTCCGACCCTATTTTGTGTGGTTAAGAGATTGGAAAAATGAAAAAAAGGTACCGGTTGCGAGCGGGTCATTATGCTGCCGACTTGTTTTGGCCAAGCAAAAACGACCTCACAACTTATTGTGAGTAATGTTAAAATCTCATCATGGCAACACCATTCTAGTGTAAAGATACCCACCCGACTACAAATTTAAATCGAATTTGCACTAATGGCTAGGGCTCCAATTCGGACTATGTTTATAGAGTCGACCAGGTACATGACCCGACTACCTTGGTTCATGGTCTGACGCGGACTAATGACCCATTGGTGTCTTTTATTCCCCCCACGTAGTTGCCATTACAACCAACCCAGATAACATATGTTAATGATTGATTTGGGATTCTGTATCGAACTCTGTGTTTCAGCTCTAGCACGCGTTTTAATTATTTAGGAGGCTTGTGTCGGTCTCTCATAAAAACTTAAAAAGCCTATTTTGTTATTGCGAGCTCGAAGGGTGAGGAAAATAGTGACTGTGCGCAAGGTGGATGCCAAACTACAGAAATGTACTTTTCTCTCTTTGTCTGTCTGTCTGCAAGTAGCGCGATTAAGTGTAGTAGTTAGTGCAATCTAGACTATCCCCTCGTACGTTTAGGTATATCCGAAGTCACTCTTAAGCTAGCTAGGTCACTATTGTGGTGCGCGCTTATGATTGGCTTCAACTCGATCAAAGGTAAACAAAATCACATGAGCAAATGCTCGACGATCATATGCAAAGGCCGATCACGTTACTTAAGTATACTGTAATTTATATCGCAGGCATTAACAGCGTTTTACTCATTTTTAGCAGTGACTGCTGTTTTATAGTGTTTTGCAACTTGATTTAGTTCTACGAACTAGATAACTCTTAACAAAGGCGAGCTCCAAAGCTTGAACCTTTTCTTGTTTACGTGATACTATACTTTAAATTTGTTTGTACGGCTTCATTTCTTTCGTCGTGGGACATCTATGTCGCTGTTTCTGTTGATCTGTAAATGCGCAGAAAAAATTCATCGTCGTCTTCGACACCATACTTGTCTTTTTCGTCTTCTACTTTCCTCTTTTCTAATCAATTTGTATTTTAGACCTATTATTATCATTATTATTATCATTATTATTATTATTGGTATTATTTTTGTGTGATTTCTATTTTTTCGTTGGATGCTATATAAAAGCTGCATGCGACTGTCTTGTCGTTTCCGATTATCGAAAAAATGTGTTTGTTCGGGAGGGGGTAGTATCGTAGCCTTAAAATTATCATCATTTGTGGAGGTATTAAAAGAATTTGTACCCTTTCACTACATGAATACGCTATTTCTTATTCAGAAACTGATAATTATACACGCAAGATCATTGCTGCCATCTGATCCCCAATGACATCGCTTTATATGATGATGATGACAATTGGTGGTTTCGCTAAGATACAATGCGATGCCATACGGCAACAATTATTTTTTGTTATTCAAGGGTGAAAGGAGAAAATAAGTATACTTGGCTCTATAAAACTAACCAACGACAACTTATTGTTGCAAAAGTTCACTTAAATAATGTTGGGGGTAAATTTTCCCATTCTTCTTCTATAGGCGCCCTAATGGATTACCACGTTCTAACAAAATGCCGACAGTTTTATATAAATTTTACTTATTTCACTTAAGCAATTCAGCATGAAAAAGCACCGTGTGTAGATTTAAACAATGTCATTGATAATAAAATAATTGCTATACAAATTAACAAGTTTTCATCAGAATTTTTCACAAAAAAACGAAATATAAAAATCAACAAAAACTTTAATTTCAAAACGTTTGTTAATTTAATTTTTGTACTTTACGCAAATACACAAAATATCAAAAAAACTATCTTAAAACAGAATAAAGCGATTGCTTCATTTTAAGCAAAGCCTATAATAGCAGTTCGCATTAAAAAAATTTTTGCTGTAAAAAGAATGTGTATACAACACTCTCCTTTCTCTTGCAATTATCCTTCGTCATAACCCTATTAAAATGAACGTCCTTACACCACTATGACACAAACACATGTTTATCTTGATGATATTCAAACTAATATAAAGGCACATGAAATGTTACAGGGACATAAATTGTTACGAAACGTTCCAAGAGAGTTATCAGGTGGAAGGGAGATGACGAAAAGGTAGTTGACTATCCGTGCTCGTAATCAAACGCGCCTGGTGTGCGCCGTGGCCAACTTGGGCGTATGAAGCCAAGCTGGAGTAGCGGTCGTGCGAACCAAATCGCGTTTTTAGTTATTGAAAGAATAATCCCCAGACACACAAGCTAAGCGAAGAGGCCGGCAATTTTTTTTACCATTAAACAATTGAAAGAAAATGTTCATTACGTTTTTTTGTGGGATCAGAGTATTGTAAGTGTTACAAGGTGTATGCGCATGGCGAGGAAGTGGATGCTTTACGCCTCCCGATATATATTTTGATAAAGCTAATAAAATCATTTTTAGATTCGAAAGTAGAAATATCGGCTTTTAAAATAAGTGTAAGTTTAGAAAAAGAATTTTCTGGATATATACCTCTCATCAAAAGCGCCCTAAAAGTTAGAATACGATACAATAATATGAGCTACCTCTTTTACATTACCTTTGTCACTAATCAAGCAAATTCTTGATTTACAACGTTATTCAGCTTCGGCAAATTTGAATATTTAAGCATAAAAGAAAGCCTTCATGTGATACCCGACCAATGATATTCATGATCCGTACATATTACTCATCTCATTTTAAATTTAACTAATTGAAAAGGCAACTTTTTACAATTTTTTACTCGGATATGCGTCAATTAAAAGCTGCTTTGACTGTTTTTAGAGTCTTTACAAGTTAAGATAGCTCACAGTTAGAGAGACCACGGTTAAAGAACCAAAACAGATTTAAAATCGCACTTTACTAGACAAAAAAAACATACAAATTATAAGTGTATTTTTTCTATCGCACAGCTATTGGACAAAAGAACGTAGTGATGCCCGCCACCCGTCCCATTCTCCCCACGCAAGGACAATTCGCAATTTGTGAACACCTCCGCAGACAAAGACGACGTATGAATAGCGCCCCGAATACACATTTCCTTCTTCCGGAATAGAGCTCTACAGCACACCAGCGAGAGAACCCTGGACACACGCAAGCTGATCTCTGTCGATGGGCGCTGGGAGAGTTTGGAGTCCGTGTTGCACGGTAAACGATCAGCAGGATTCTGAGCGGAACATCACGGTACCCTCAATCCGAGAGCCAAACGGCAGCAGAAGGGCAGACATGCCGAGTTGGAGAATACGCTGTCCCATTTCGTGCTCGACACTCAAAGGAAAGTCACGTTGACCGACTTCGTCCTCCACCAGAAGGCCAATCAACTGCTCGAGGACGCAGGTGTATCGACAACGCTCTCGCTTTCGTGGGTTTCGAGGTTCAAAGCCCGACACGGCATCAAGTCTTACCGACTGCATGGCGAGGCTGTAACGGGGCACCCTGAAGCTTGTACTGGTGACAGTACAAGCTACTTATTCTGATAACAGAATAAGGCGGTGCCTCGTAACTTCACGTACACTCGTACGTGCAGAGGAAGACGGTAAGAAGAAGCGAGTACTCGGTTAGAGTAAAAAGTAGAACTGTATTTATAATAGTTAATGTCTGCAATAAATCACTATTTATCTTCATCTAACTATGTCTAAATACAAATGTGTAAATCAGTTATCTGCTCACCACTCATTGCGTGCGTCTGTCGTGGCGCGTCTTCGTTGGTTGATATAATGGCCTATATCAACCAATTAGGAACTACTTGGAAGTGCTACCGAATATTGTCCTTATGACAATATTCTGAGAATATAACTCTTATAGTTATATTCTATTAACAATTTCTTATAAATTGTTATGTAACGATTCACCCCGTTACATCACCCCCCTTAACCATCAGTCACTTTAGTGACTGATTGACTAAATGGATACTCGTCCCAAATCATTTGGGACGGGGTTTGCACTTGTTGGTCCGCGTCCACTTTCCAACATCTCATCGCATGGTAAACAAGCCCATGCGATGCGCGAGCAAGGCCGCCGAGAGCGCGTCTGCAGTCTCTGTGCGGACGCCGAAGCAGAAACTACAGCAACTGATGTCCCATCGGTTGCTGAATCGACTCAGCCTGTATCACCTGGTGATGCAGGCGCTGGTCATGAAGACACTCGTGTCTTCACAGAGTACGAGCTCGGTGTCTCGTACTCTCCTGATACGGATGACGGATCCGTATCGACGGCAATTGAATCCAAGCCGCCTGCCAAGCGTGGCATGGACGATGCTTTGCGTCGCAGCATCTTTGGTTCATCTGATGAGTCAGATGAACCATCGCCAAAGCGAAGGCGCTCGAGGTCGCGAGACTCGGGCGCTAATAGTGGTGTCGTTTCTCCAATGGACACCACTTCACAGCGAGGTGCCAGTACTTCTGTCGGCACGTCGCAGGAAGAGCGGGACCGCAATGTGTTGCGTCTCGCTCCAGAAAAGAAGGCATGGATGCCTCCTAAATCTGTCATGGATCACTTGTCGGCGACGACGAGTGATCGTTATCGAACACGATTGTTCGATTCGTCGAGGATTCATCACCTTGACCCCAGCGCGAAAGACTATCGCGCTGAACATGAGTTCTTCATCGATGCTTTCTTCAGACATCGATGGTACAGTGGGAATCACAAACGTGATGGTCCCTCACTACTTCAGGCGTGGAACGCCTACATCCATAATCTCGAGGATGTAGGTCGTGACGCTTGGAACGACAAACTTATCAAAGCTCGTGATAAGTTTGAAAAGTGAACCCCGACAGGTGCACGCTATAAGATGCATCGTCTGTCAAGGGAGAAAGGATTACCCTGCCTCTCTTGGGGAGACTCGTGCCCATGTTGTGTGAACAACTCTGCACGAGCACCTAAGGAGGCTTACCTCCTTACCAGCCCGTGGTGGCGCGTACGTGTCTCTACTGAGATGTACGAAGGGATTGACAACCTGAAATCCCTTTACGACCGTGCCGGGAAGACTTTCTCCGGCGGTCCTTCTGCGGCACAGGATGTGTCGCGTCGTACTGCTCGACCAGACCCAGTACGTCAACCATCAATTGGGAGCGGGGCTCCCAAGAATCCCAGGACGGGGGATAGCCGCGCCACCGGACGAGGTAACTCGTCCGACGTCCGTTCACGTCGCGGTGGTTCAACAGCTGCTCAACTAGATAGCGCTGGCCACCGCGAGAGTCCTCTAATGGAGGTGGAGGAGGAGGAAAGACGCTCTCCACACGATCATGTGGATCGGTGTGTTCCCGAGGCTTTTTGATCGCGTAACGCAAGGGTTACGCGACGATCTCGAGCATGAGCGGAATAGGCGTCTCCAGATGGTGGACACTGCCTCGAAGCATCGAGCTGAGTTTGCCTTTGCTCAGCTTGAGAACGAGAGATCTCTGACATCTCTTCGTGACGAGCTAAGGGTAGCTCGTGGGATTGTTGATCGGTCTCGGGCTGAGATAACTGCTCTTCAGACCCTTGTTGATGCCCACCATCGGGAGCACAAGGCTCTCTGCGAGATGCTTGAGCGCAAGGGCGTTCTTCATCGGAAGAAGCAGCGTACTGATGGTACGGCTTAAGCCGACCAACGTAAAACGTGGGATGCGTTCGCATCTTACGTGGTAACTCGATCGTGTATGCATTGCCTAGGCGGTGCAATACACGAAATGGGCCAATGTACTTGGGTAGTAGTTTACTGCTACCCAAGTTAGTCACTACATGTTTTGGTAGATTAACCGTAGACAGTAGGACTAAGTCACCTTTATTAAATAAAAGAGTGTTTGCCCTTCCATTCTTGTCAGCGTTTTGCTTTTTGCTTATCCACCGCTTCGGCGATGGAGTCTTGCACAAAACGGACTACCGTTTCACGAGCCAGTATGAACTCATCTGATGACTCGTTAGCTTCAGTGTGCTGTGAGCGCACTGCAGCGACAACAACCTTTTCTTCAGTGAGGGCTTCCGCACTCTCACTGGGATCATTGTCTTCAGTGAGGGCTTCCGCACTCTCACTGGCATCATCTTCTTCGATATCGATGTTATCGATATCGGCATCAAACGCAATGACTTCTTCGTCAGAGCGTGATGAGCGTGAACCAAATCGGTTTTTGCTCGCGCGAGTCCCCCCCCCTTAAACCAGAGTTACACTCTAGTAAGGTGGGTACACGCGGATGGCGCAAGCCATTCACGTAAAACGGTGTATGTGTCGTCGACGCATGCACCGAGTTGTTGATGGCAAACTCTACCATCGGCAAAAACTCACTCCAACTCTTAAAGGAGTGTACGTATCCTCGAAGTATCTCTTCAAGGACACGATTGGCACGTTCCGTCTGACCATCTGACTCTGGATGATCAGATGTCGACATCTTCAAGCGCGTTCCGAGTGATTTGAACACGGAGCGCCAGAAATCAGCAGTGAATCGTGGATCTCTGTCTGATACGAGTTCACGGGGCAACCCATGAAGTCGGAAGATGGTGTCAATAAAGACACAAGCACAGCCACTTGCCGTGATTGTCTCTGGTACAGCCACAAGGTGTACCATTTTGCTGAGTCTGTCAACAAATACGAGAATACCCGTATTCCCGCGTGCGTCTTTGGGTAACCCGAAGACGAAATCCATTGAGATGGATTCCCAGCACTCAGCCGGAACCGGTAGAGGCTGTAAAGGTGCACGCAGTGAAGGACTTGACTTCACTCGTTGGCAGACTTCGCATGCGCGAACATACTTTCGCACAAACTGATACTGGCGGGGCCAGTAAAAGTCTCGACTTACCGTGAGATATGTTTTCTCTCGGCCACGATGTCCTCCTATAGGAGCATCGTGATACTCGAACATGATCCGCAAACGCAGATCAATATCATCTGGAATGACAACACGTGGTGTGTCACCAGAAACGGCTGTATAGTACAGTAAACCGTTACGAGTAGTGTATCGATCTGATGCAGATCGATACGCAGACGACAATCGTTTCAACGATTCTCGAGATGGTTGGGAGAGATGTGACAACAACTTCACTATCTCACCATCTTGGGCGTATGCCCGCCTCACATCATCATACAACGTTGTAGATGGAACTGAGGACGTCATAACCGCAACAGTGACTGTCTCACTGTTGGGTTTCGCGACTGTTTCAAAGTCGGGACGACGTGAGAGTGCATCAGCGACGACATTAAGTCGTCCTGGTTTGTACTCGACCGTAAAGTTGTATTCTGCAAAGAATGACAACCACCGCGCCATTCGTTGTGAAAGGTGCGGGCTGTTCACTGCCGTGCGTAAGGACGCATGGTCAGTGTAAACAACGAAGGGTCTATCTCTAATAGATAGACTCTGAACTTCGCGAGTGCATACTTCATGGCAAGGAGTTCCTTGTCATGCACTGGATAGTTCCGCTCAGCTGGTTGCAGCTGACGCGACTGATAGCAGACGACGCGTTCAACGCCTTCAAGGTCGTACTGCATTAATGCACAGCCGATTGCGAAATCGCTGGCATCACAGACCACATGAAATGGCCTGTCCTGATCGGCTATTGCTAGGACTGGGGATTGTATCAAGCTCTGCTTGATACCCTCAAAGGAGCGTTGACATTCAGCGTTCCATAACCACCTCTCGTTCTTTTTCAACAAACGAGAGAGGTGTACAGTCATCTCGGCGTAATTGCGTGAATACTTATGCAAATACGCCGCTAGCCCAAGGAATTTTCGAAGACCTTTGACATCGACCGGCACGGGCCAGTCGGTGATCGCCTTGATCTTTTCGGGATCAGGACGTACACCGTTCTTACCAACGATGCACCCAAGAAGTGGTATTTCGCTTGCTGCAAATATACACTTCTTGAGGTTTGCATACAATTGATGCTTTCGCATGATTGTAAGAACTTGTCGGACGTGGTACTTGTGAACCTCAACGTCCGACTTTCCATCCATAGCTCGACTATGGATGAATACGTCATCGAAATAACTCGGCGCGAATTCTCGTACTGGCCTCAACAGATGTGATACACACCTGTTGAACGTGGCAGGGGCATTACTGAGCCCTTGTGGCATTACTAGCCATTCCCAGAGCATGCCGCTAGGCGTGCTAACTGCGGTATAGGGTATATCCCGTTCCCGCATTAGGATTTGATAGAAGCCATCCATCAAATCCATGGACGAAAAGATGGTACTCTTTGACATACCATCAATGATTACGTCCTTCCTCGGTATCGGCGTCTGAGCCGGTACCGTTGCAGCGTTCAATTTGTTAAACGCGTGCACTATCCGCCACCCTCCTGTTGCTTTTCGCACACAGAAGGTCGGAGAGCTATGTGGGGAAGTTGATTCCCTCACATGGCCCGCTGCTAAACGATCGGCAAAGAACTTGTCGATCGCAAGTACTTGTTCACGAGGCAGTGGCCACTGCTTCATGACACAGTACTTCGAGCCTGGTTTAAGCTCGACTTCGTGTCGAATACCTTTATCCTTCGGTAATTCGCACGGAACAGTTTCAGGGAATACATCCTTGAATTCAACCAAATCTTCATAGAGAGGATTTTCCTTGAGCGATTCCCATGATTGGGACTCATATCGCTCAATTCGTGTCTTTTCATCTAGGACACTCTCGTCCATAGATGAACTACTGAGAACTCTCTCGTTCTCAGTAAACACTGTTGCTGACCTTATGTCGGTTACATACTCGTCGTCAGCGACGAGTATGCAGATCTGCTTGACTTTGCCACTACGCAGATCACGCAAGAACCTTTTATGTTCGAGCGTTGGCAACTGAGTGATCTCCGAAGTTAACTTCGGAGGCGCAATCAGATCAAGTGTATAAGCGCCTACACATGATCCGTTATTGACTATGACATTCAATGTCTCTGTCATTTCCTGGGGACTTATTCCCTCAGGCTTCGAAGGACTTATTCCTTCGTCTTCCCGGGGACTTATTCCCGCGGGTTTCGGGGAACTTATTTCCGCCGTATTTGTAATCTTGGGACTTATTCCCTTTACTTCCTCTAGCTGGGGTTGCGCAACCACAGCGAGATCCTCTACGAAAGACTCTCCAGTCGATCTAGGATTATCGTTTCGCTTAACCTGAGCGATCGATTGTTTCTCTTCTAGATGTTCCCCTCTAGGGATACATCTTTGTCCCAGTCCACCCGACTTATTCGAGTGGTGGACCTTCGGCGCAGCCTGTGTTTCCTCACAGCCGCCGGAACTTGGCTCCGAAGTGTAACCGTTTGGTACACTAAGGTTTTGTGCAGTCGTACTAACGACCGTACCACAAGTGAGGCCATCGCACTCACTCGTAGTACATCCACACGCTTTTGGGCGCTCCTAAACGTTCATCAGATGGCCATCTGATGAACAAGCGGCAGGCATCGTTACTGTCCGATGTTGCCAGTTTACCCGTGGTTCGTACCTTCTGAGCCACGGTATTCCAAGGATGACATCAAATTTGTCATCCAAATCCAATACGATAAAGTCATCGTCGTATTGGGTATCTTCTAGCGTATAGTGAATCTTCACTATACGCTTCATGACGGTTACGGATGCGCCTGTCGCAAGACGTACCGTCATCCTCGTAGGAGGTGTGTCACATTCACTGAATTTAAAGTGACCATCTTCTAGCGATTGGCGTCGCACAAAATTGTTGGACGCCCCACAATCGACTAGAGCTCGAAGGGACAACTTATTCGTCACTTCGAGTTTCAAGGTAATGAGTGAGATCTCATTACCTAGAGCAGCAACGCACAATGTCTGTGTGTTGGGAGCAACCTTCATCAAGAGGCCTACAAATTCTCTTGACGTTGCTGGATCAGTAGGGTGCTCCGCACCTACTGATCCTGTCCGTTTTGACGGTCCATCCCGTTGTTGCGTCTTTGCACCAACTGCGGACCCTCGTCCCTGCCCCTTTCTCATGGGTGGACGGTCACTACACTCGTAAGCGTAGTGTCCTGTCTTTTGACATCTGTTGCATCTCTGCAACTTCTTGTAGTCTGTAGAGCGAGCCTTCTCGCTCTCTACATAACAGAGTTCCATCGGCTCTGGACCTCCGTTGTCATATCGTCTCGGTTGACGATATGATGTCGAGCTGGCGCGAGCCTGTCTCAGACTGAAGTCTTCCTGCTCCGCAATTGAAATGGCTTGTTCTAGTGAATCTAGTTCAAGCCGGAACAGGTGAGTCTTGACGGGACCATCCGCAAGACCCTGCATGAACACCGAAACCAACGTGTGTTCATCCACCGGATTGGAACTTATACAACTCGTGAGATGTCGTATATGTTGAGCGTAAGCGTGCACATCACGCTTACCCTGCTTGAGCTTCAAGAGTTCGGTTCGAGCTCTGAACTCAGCTCTAGGCGGTTCAAACGTTTGTCTGAGCCGCGACTTGAAGACTTCCAACGACCCAAACGCGTATGGGTCGTGCAGCTTGAGCCCCAGTGCCCAAGTCTTGGCACGTCCTGCCAGATTTGACTGGGCAAATGCAACTTGCATATCCCCGTCGTCGATGCGACGCGCCCTTATGGCGTCATCCAATTCGACGAACCATCTCAAGAGGGAGTCTTCTTCGACCCCCTATACTTTGAGATGTCAATCTTCAAA